TTAAGAGGCTCAGTCACTTTGAACCTGTAACTGTTCCATTATGAGGTGTTACTGAGCTTCATTTTTCTTAATGCTGGATTATTAACGGCTCAGACCCTCATGAGCTATGAGAGTTTTCCCAGCACAGATTCCCTGACCTCAGTACGTAAGTCCACTGAGGCTTTTCTAGTGAAATGGGACGTTGGACAAAGGCCAGAAAAAAAAGAAAAGAAAAAAAAGGGTTTGTCAGCGAATCCGGGTTGTTGTTTTTTTTCCACTGCACTCATGTGATCGGCCCTGAACTTCCCTCCCTGAGTCACAGCAGAAGGCAGCGGGGCGATTCGGTGCTGCAGTCCTTCATTTCATGGCTTCTGGGGGGGAATTCTTAGTGACTGTTACTGACACAGATGAGGAAGGAGCTCAGGAAATGAGAATAAAGGGTTTTGGGATTGCACTTACGTTACTGAGCAGCGAGTGAAATGCAGCTCAGTGCGTTGGTAAACTCAGCTGTTCACACCCTCAGATTATTTCTTTAATCGGCCAATCCTTCCGTGTACTTCTCTGTGTCCAGGAACTCCCTCCGCATCCCGCTGCTCACACATCTTCTAAGAGTCTCCTCCTTTTTCCTTTCCGGGAGACAAAAAGTCAGTTCAGAAGTATTACATACATTTTTTTTAATCATTCATCATTATCATAATATAATTATTATTAATTCATTAATATTCATTAACTGTTGAGGTTTTGGGAGGAATAATCTGATAAATTGAGCGATCACGGTAGAAAGTACCTCTGAAATGTAAGTGTAAATGAAGTACACTTATTGAGTAAATAAACTTCAATCAACGCAGTAGTCTGTATAAAAAAATCCCTACAGTGCATTTAAATGAGTGTTAAAATGAAAAGGAGTTGGACATATTTTAGTGTGCTTCTGATCATCTAACCCATTTTCCAAAATGTTGAGTATAAATTACATCCACCAGCCACTTATTTACTTCCCAACGCTTGTTTCAACGTACCTAATTCCAGTTGTTATATTATATTTCATTAATTAGTATAACAACAGAGAATATCTTTTCCCCTCTTTTGTTCAGAATGAACCTTTAATGTCAGTTTGTTTTAAGGACGGCTCATCATCTAATGGTTGCTCATTTCAGGGCGGAGTGCAAAACGTCTGAGGGTTATGTTCAGGACACTGACTGTTTGTTTCTTCGCTGGACGAGTCAATAGGCCCGATTGTCTTTCGATGTGCTGCACAAGGAGCTCCAGAAAAGTGCTTCTTAATTCCCTCCACATGCTTGAGATGTCTATCGGAGTGTCTCTCTCTGTCCTCCAGGAGGACCTTCCCTTCGGCTCTGTTGTTGTAGCTCCGCGAAAGAATGTGTTTGTGTGTGTGGATTAATATTTGCTCAGGAGGTGCGGTGACTCGTGTGTTTGATCAAACCTTTCAGGGTTTATTTCATCAAAAGAATGTGAGGTTCTCACAACAACAACAACAAAAAAAGTTTATTTTCTTCACGTCTCCGCCCCAAAACCGTGCAACATGAAGTGGGATGATTATAATCCCAACAAGCAGTGACAGCAGAGATGAAGACGCCACGAGGCCACAGGCTGGTAGGAAGCTTCCCTCTAGTGGCGTGAAGAGGAGTTTCCAATCCAAAAATATCATTGATATTGTTGGAAAAACTGCAAATACTGTGTGTCTTGATATCAATAAGGCTGTTATACTCAAGGTTTTTCCTACCCTCAGCAGACAGACATCTTGTGTCAGCCGAGATTAGGGGCGCTGGCCTCGGTAGGGACATTCTGTCCCATGAGGGTAAACAATCAGTCCTCTGTGCGTGCGTAACCATCCCTATGTTTTGATGCCATACCTGCAGTATATATTCCTGCTCCAAAGATGAAAACCTTCGAGCAAGGCTTGGCGCATGACTTGTATGTGTGTCAACTCTGTCTCCTGTTTGCAAACATTAAATAACCTGTTATGATGATTTTACGCCGGTGTCGGGTGAGAATGTTTCTAACAGATATCATGCCATGTTTTATCTATTCCTCGTGTAGGCCTTAGGCTTCTTTGTGTAGCACCCATCAAACACAAATACGTTGTTAAGGATTCAAAAATAAATCGTTAGATGAACATTTAAGTTCTGCATCAAAAATTTGCAAAAAATATAATTAAAGGAATTTAAAGGTAAATTAGAAACCTGTTGTAAACGACTAGTATCTGCTGTCCTAAAATGCATTGCCACAATATGGTGAGGGGATCGACGTGTCGGAACGTGTCTCCAAATGAACCCATCTGCATTACAAGAGCACGGTGTGCGTTGCAGGTCCCACCAGCGTTAGCCGGCTTGTGGAGGCTGGGATTCACTCTGACTCAGCGGCTGTATCTGACGCCGCGTGCTGATCCCTCCCTGCAGATAAAGAGGCTCACTGATCAGGAGTCGCATCTGTGTCTCTCTCACAGCAAAACGGGGACATCTGGTGCAGTTTTCAGATTAAATCAGCTTTTTACAACGGAAATAATGATGGATTCACCTACAAAGGAAATATGATTACAAGCACATCACTGTCAGTTGCCCCATTTAGCAGTTTAAAAGTGTCGGACCCACCAGGAAGGAGGGATGCATCTAATAACCATTTCAACCATCTGGTAATCAAGTGCATTATCGCAAAGAGAGCCTCATGCTCAATCTTCTGGTTGTTACCATGAATTTGACACCAAATGTATCTCCCCTCGTAATTTCAAATTAAACTTTAAAGGCACAGTCTGCCGTTTGGAATAAAACCTTTATTTTCTTTCTACACCGAGAGTTAGATGAGAAGACTGATACCACATTTGACGGCACGCTGAAGATTTGCTTAATTTAGCAGAATGTAAAACGAGGGAAACAATTCGCCAGGACTTTGTGTCCAAAGGAATAGCAAAATAAGACCTGCCAGCATCTCTACAAAGCACAATTTAACAGCATTTATCACACGTTTTTCTGTACAAACAACCCGGTAACCAGCGGCTGGCTCCATCTGTGTAATATAAATAAATGAGCATATCTGCCAATATAAAGGGATTCTTCTAAAATGCACTTTCTGGGTTGAATGCTCTCTACATGTATTCATTATTTCATCAGAAACTATTATTCTCATGTATTTATACTTTTATTGCATCGTAACACAATCAATCATAGATTGACAATTCCTATTCCTAATCCTATTATTAATACAGTAAATGCTGTATACAAAATGTCATATATTTTATTCCCATTATTATTGTTATATCTTTGTATATCACATATATTTTTTTACAGCCACAAACCGGTGGTGGAGAGATTCACTTTAGAGGATTATCATCTGTTTGGATTACAGGGACAGCCTACCTTCCCATCTGTCACCTTCAAGATGAGGTCATCACACTGTCTTAATGCGTCCGAGGCCTTTGTTTATTCATTCAGACCGTGAGCAGCGTCTGCATTGAGCTTCAGTCTTCCCTCCGATGCACTGTGTGTAAATACTGACCTGCAGAGGGGGGAAGGCAGGGATGTAGTAAAGGGCAAACCCATCAAAACTCAAGCTACGCTATCCCGATTCATATGCGCTGAGACAGTTTCATTGAGATGCACAGTGCTAGACCGATCAATGCCTCGTACAGGTACATGTTATAAAAGGTTAACAAAGTCAATCTCTATGCTTGACGAAGCTTATTTTCGCAATCTGCAGCTCTTTTCCATCAGAAGAGTCTTCATTGATGAATGACATGCAGCGGCCAGATGAAGCAACCTGTTAACCTGTGAAGTAATGAACTCTTTAATGGAGTATTAGTGCTCTGAAAAGCTTGAAAAACATTGGATTCTGGATCACACAAATACGTAGAGGCATTTGGAAAACACCATAATTGTGCAGAATAAATGTTTATAATTTCATTTTCAGTTCATATCCGTGAAAGCATTGGATCTATTTGCTTATATTTTATTACAGGAACTTGTTTAATGTCCTATTTAAAGCACTGTTCCTTCTAAATAGTGTTCACCTTTCCTACTTAGTTACTCTTTTGTTATTTCCGTGACTCACGTTGTATCATGCTTTGAAAACTGCTTAATGTACCATATAATTAATGTATCTTCTTATTTTTGTTGTATTGTATATTCGTTGTCTACTACCTACTCCTATATGGACCTATGGTTTTAACACAACAGACTTGAAACCATTTCTGGTTAAATATTAACTGTGAAGATCAGTTTCAGCTGTTGAGAAGTCACAACGGTTTCCTGCTCACGCTGCCGGATGCTGGCGTTTCTGTTTCTGACTTAATAGAGTTCACAGTTCACCCCGCATCCTATCTAGCTGCACAACACCCAGGAGGAGGAAGAGGATGGTGCTGGAGGTGTAACTGGGCTTTCGAGGTTAGAGTGAGTCTATACTACGGGAGGCTTGTGCTCACACCCACACACACACAGAGCGAGCCAACAAACCTTCACGTCTCCACCTACGCTACGGCGACGACGGCACATTCACCTCTCGGCTTCTCCATCATCTGCATCACACGCACAAACACCCCCCCCCCCCACCTATAAAGCGATGCATTGCCTTTTTCTGGGGCCAGTGGGATTAATTATCTGCGTGAAGTACACATGCCAAACAACTCCCTTTGATTTATCTCCCTCTTTCCATCTCGCCGGCTCAGCCCACTGCGTCCTCTTTATCTGCCTCTTTGTCGCTCTCCAGCTCCCTTTCAGCCGACGGAGCTTATTGTGGGCAAATAGGCTTAGGAGCATCGCCATGGCAACGCCGACTCGCGCAAAGCTACATAAGCACTTCATCAGGGGGGCCGTGATCCGACGGCTCCATTCGGAGATGGTGCCCCCGACCTCCTGCAACAAGTAAAGGCAGGTCCACAGAGGCTCAGGGGAGGAGGAGCGAGAGAGAGAGAGAGACAAAGAGAGAGAGAGAGAGGGAGAGAGAGAGAGAGAGAGACAAAGAGAGAGAGAGAGAGGGAGAGAGAGAGAGAGAGAGAGAGAGAGAGAGAGAGAGAGAGAGGGAGAGAGAGAGGGAGAAAGAGAGAGAGAGAGAGAGATTGCTATGAGACTGAGAGGGATCTGGAGAATCCATTTCTCTCCTCTCTCGTTCTGCTCCTGGCAAGTCTTCTCAGCATCCATCTGCCCTTCTGATGTCTGGCGACTTTTCTCATTCTGCTTTTCATCGATTTTGATTCCCTTCTAGAGAAGGAAAACTTTCGAAAGGCGTAAGAGGTAAGAATTTTTAATTGTACTACAACAATTTGGATGTTTCAACATATTCATGTTAGAATCTGTCGCAAGCTGCCACCAGCCGAGCACGGATCAATGTTTGTTAGTGATGTGACACCAAACAATGGGGACACGGAGAGAGAAAGTTTGAATCAGTTGGAAATGCGCACATTTGCTGTAATTCCCGGCAAAGAAGTCATATTCAAACACTGATGTCGTCTCTAGGTCGTCGATTCAACAACATTAACCAACCATCATTTTTTATCGTCGTTAAAATACATTTGGAGGCCGAATGCTGAATGTAGGATAGTCACAGGCTTGCTGTCCTTGCTCTTAATAAGCTGAATATTCAGGTTTGTTTTGTCTTGTTGATCAGAGAAAACAAGACTCCATTTTGAAGGGCCATCGGCTCAGTAGAACTATGAGCTCCAGAAGTTAGAGCTCCGACTAATCTCACACTGTGAAAGCTTTTTTTCTCTCCTTTTGACCAAAAATAACCCAATCATAGAGTCGTATAAAGCATTTACAGCAGATGTAGTTTGCAGGACTACCTCAGCACAGATTAAGCTTAAGGGACTCAGCAAATTGGATGGAGATTTGATGAAGGGAAGGAAAAGATTACCTACAAAATGAGTGAAAAGGCGACGTGAAGGCAATGCACACATCTGTTGAGATACACAATTGAAGCATTGGAGCTCTTTTAGGCTGTCTATTTATTTTCTAAACTAATTAATGTCATTCAATTGTAATAGTGTCAGCACATGCATTATTCTGCTGATTTTTTTAGCGATTAACTCATTAATCAGTTGTAAAATAAAATCCCATTGCAACTTGATTTGAGCATTAATCGTTGCGTTCACATCTTAAAATCCCTTTACTCTGTATTATGTCGCTACAACATCTCAATCAGTGTGCTCTTCTGTTCCTGTTGAACTGAATACAGCAGTAGAGTGAGTCATTATGACACCTGGAGAACAAAGAGCCATGTGATTGGGGAGTTTTGTCCAGATGTCGAAACATCATTCGGATGTGTTGATATAAATGATGCCAAACAATGCAAGACAAACTCTTTTTTTCTATTGGTTTCCCCCTACGAGTTTAGTTATTACTGTACAACCTCTGGCAAATGTCTCATTATGTGTTTAAATAAAAGCAGCAAATCTAACAGAGGCCCACACAATCTTATTATCCTCCATTCAGCTCGAAACAAATGAATAAGAGCAAATATTCCAACAGTTTTGGAAGCACTCCTGCTGTGATCTCTCACGATTCCAGCCGCTGTCCCCGTCTCCGCAGGGACTGCGGAGGAGGACAAAGGCCATGGCCTCGTGGTTCGGCTGGAACGAGCCGTATTACCGGAGGCCCCGACGGGACCCGGCCGACGTGGTCACCGACACCCTGATGCTGGAGTTCAGCTGGCAGCTGAAGGAGGCGGAGAGGCGGCAGAGAGAGAGGGACATCGAGTACCAGCGCCTCAAGACCGGGGTGGACTACAGCTGGCTGGCCAACCCGCCGCGCTCCTCCTACAGCCTCTGCACCGGGGAGCGGCTCGGCCTCGAGGAGCTCTGCTCCAAGGTGCCGCCGCCGTGCTGCGGCCAGGTCATACTCAGGTGAGGCGAGTATTACAAGGAATGTCTCATCTCTTGGGTTTTTAGAACAACAGCAGGAGAAAGTAAAATCAGTTTACCACCCAAACTGCTAATTGGGCAAAATTCAAAGCGCCCTTTAAATCAATTAAAGTCAGCTGTTCTTTTATCCGTCACGTGACTCTGTGGTTATTTGTCCTTTAATCTGAGGCAGAGACAGCCTGAGCTTGTTGGAGCATCTGTTCACAGGAAGCTGCTGATCCCTCCGGTGTCTTGTTAGAGGTGGAAGGTGTTTGGGGTGGTTTTTTTTTACTGCTGGTGTTAATGGGAGGTGCTAAATGCTGTACAATCTGGACAATGCACACACACACACACACACACGCACTGGGTCAACCGCAGCGTAGTGCCACCTGCATTCTATATTTTGAATTATATTAACTTCTGCGGAGCAAACTACACTTCCATTAGAAATATGTTGAATGAATAAATCATCTAAAATAGTGGAAAAAGACTTTTAAACGGTCACGTTTAAAAAAAATGATTCTTCAATTTTCTTTCTCTCGACCACTCAAAGCGCTTTAACGCTACATGACATCATTCACCCATTCACACCCATTCCTACACTGATGACAGGAGAACCATACACAGTGACACCTGCCCATCAGTCACTAACATTCACACACTGTAGTCGCAGCTACAGGAGCAATGTTGGGTTAAGTGTCTTGCCCAAGGACACATCGACATGCGGGTTAGCGGAGCCTGGGATCGAGCCGACAACCCTCTGATTGGACGACGACCGTGCTCCCCACTCACCCACAGTCGAGATTTCACAAAGAGATATTATATATTTGAATAATAGAGGTATGACAGATGAGAAGATGAGAGGTTTTTCTGCAAACTGTATCCAAGTTAAAGAATGACCTTTAATGCTCGATCAATAACTTTCATGCAGTCATTATCTGGTGTAAATCCTCTCTGAAAGGTCAAACGATCAACGTGAGGCAGCAGGTTCAGTCCTGTACTTTGTGGACCGTGAGGCTTTATTTTCATTCACCGCTGAATCCTGCATTGCGCCTTCAATATAACTCTTTCCCACCTTCATTTGTTACAATTCGAATAGCAATTCCAGTCGTAGTTCAATGCGAAGGCTCGGTTAGATATGATAGAATATGATTCTGCCCATGAATGCGTCATTAGAACGAACGCGTTTGTGTCGAAGTGAAGTGGGTCAATCATCGGCTAACTGGAAACACTCACTGGGAAGCAGATTTTCAAATGGGCATCTGTTTAAAGGCTTGTTAGTAAGAGCACCAGTAATTGGGTCGAGAGCAGCAGTGTGCTGACGAACTGTGATCCAGGTTGCCTTTCATGACATTTATCATCTAAGTGGATGCATTTTTTTTCTCTAAGGCCAGAATAATAGTCCTGTGGTGCAGTTCAATGCTTATATTTTCTAAGACCGTTTCATTTTATTGGTTACAGTGATTTGATTGAACTGTCCAAACACCATGAGACAATGTTGCATAAAAACAAGTAAACCTCGATCCACGGCCCCTTTCAGGTTCAGAGAAGTTCTGCAGGCCAATGAGCCCGAGGTGCACGAGGTGTCCGGCCTGTTCCGCTCCGTCCTCCTGGAAACTCTGGACCAGCTGAAGGAGGAGCAGGAGGCGCAGCGGCTCGCCCACCAGTGGCACAACAGACGAGGCGTGAGCACGTCCCTCATGAACTTCAGGTCGCGGATCAAGATCAACCCGTTTGGGAGCACAGTGGGCCTGACCTCCACCGAGGCCGACGGGATGGGGCTGAACGAGCTCAAGACGGTGTCGGAGGATGTGGAGAAGGGCACGGAGAGGTCCCACAGGGTGTGGAGCATGCCGGACTTCAGATACAAAGGAAGCAGCAGCAGCGAGGTTGTCTGATGGGAGGCGTTCACGGCCACATGCATTTACTAATTTACCTGTGAGGGCAATGCCAGGCGTTTCTTTTCCCATCGGAGCCTCTGTAACTTTAATAGAACTTTTTTGGGACTGAAGCGGTTGACATTTTGTGTAAGAGTATCGCCTCTGGCAGTGGAACGACTTTTTTCTTTTTTGTAGACAGTATCCAAGCAACGAGGGCTATTTACGGTTGGCGTAGGATACGCTTGTCATATGCAGGATGTGTTGATTATGGCAGGAACGTGTGAAAAATGTTGTTTGGTCAGAGAACACAAAAATGAATGGTCTTTCATGACAGTACACACATAAAAGTATTTATAAACTGTATGCTCAAGTTATTGGTGATAGTCAACGTCACTCCGATGTCGATTTGTGCTCCACTTCTACACACTGCCTTTCGTTTTCTCCAAACGGCACAAAGACAACAATTCATCACTCGAGGTCAACAGACTGAAAGCTTTTTCTGTTCAAAGAGGATGAATGCGTTTAGATACGTAGGAACGTTACCAAACCTTTTAGAGCATAGAAAAAATCTCCCCGGTGTTTAACGGTTGTTTGTCACACCCCAAAGTTCAGCAGTACCCTACAGGTTAATTCCTTATGAAGCATCAAAGTAGATTGATTGATTTCCATTTAATAAAATGAATAAAGTTGAAACAATAGAGAAGACAGAATCTGGGGGAATGAATGTTATGAATAATACATACAGTTACCATCAAAGTTGATTCCCTTATAATTTGAAACAAAGGTACACATATAAATATCAGTACACACTGATAACCCTCACATTTACAGTAATCTTACATGAGGAGCGGTTGACATTAACTAAAGGCGAATCGATTTTACACATCAAAGTCTTTTTAGGGGGGTTGACGAGTACCGCTGCGCGTGTGAGAGTAAAAGTTGTGTGATGCCACATGAAGTTGGACAAATTGACTTAAGTGATGTCACATGAGTCTGGCGGGTTGGGACCGAGTTACAAAGTGAGTTTACCGGATCTCTGAGGCCTGACAGGTTGAATTCTGGGTAATGTATGCAGCTGGTTTGGAAGAAGAGTAAAATAAAAAAGATGGAAGAAGAAAATGTTTCTGGTACACTGTGATCTGATGTTCTAAAGATAAAATGTTTTAACGGTGGAGTAAACTGTTCGAGGGGGTGGGACCAGAAGTTCAAACCACAAAGAAAGCCGATCGCCGGCCGTCACCGACCTTCATGTGGTGGAGTTACTACAGATATCATTTTTGATGACACTGCTGGTCACAAACATTTCTCTCATCACAAAAGCTACCGGCTCACGCTGAAGAATCCGCCGCCTGGACGGCGCCACGATGAAAATCAGGAAAGTGTTCTGAACGCGGCTTCTTCGCCCCATCAGGCCGTGTGCTGCCTGTGTGTCAATGCAAGTTGTAATCATCTCTTTCTCAGAAAACTCTTCATTGTTGTTCTCCTGAAAAGCAGAGTTGTTGTCTCCGGAGTTCTGCCGGAGGATCTGAGTGGCATCACAGGGTGGAGTTCAAGAACTCAAGAAGTTCTGCTCGATTTTTATCTCGCTGTAACACACACACACAAAAAAAGAAGAGAGAAGCAAATAACCATCTATTCACACGCTGTGTAGATTGCCTACTTCACATCAACCATTTGAGATTACCTGTTTGTCTTTTTTCGACTTCTTTACTTTCATTTTTATCTTCTTCCCTGAAATCATGCTGTACTTGCCCTTCTTCTTGTCCTTCAAGTACTGAAAGAAAACAAATAGTTACCAGTGCATTATAATAAATTAAATATGAATAAAGTTAATTGACTAAATAACATAGCCGGTGATTACAAATGTAGCTGTGTATGTGTGTATCATACTTGCACAGGTTATGGGCAAGCAAAAGACCTAAAACGTTGTACAATGGTCAACATCACAAACCACTGGGATCCTATTAGATGGCTTTGAGATAATAAACAAAACAGACCTCAGTTTGTTTGATGTAACAACTTATTGTACTAGACTCGATTTTAGAGCTCAGTGGCCCTAAATGAATGGAAGTCAATAATAACAATATAATGTAGGGACGGTCTAGGATCATGTGCAAAATGCATTTTTGGATGTATGTATTTCTGGTCTCACAGTTGTTGAATGGGACCTCACTCACCTTGGAGATTTGTACAGGTCCCGTGTTTTCCTCTCCTCCTTTTGCTTTCTTGTCCTTTTTACGTTTGTGTCGTTTTTCCTTCTTAACTTTCTGCTGAAGGAAACAGAAGAAGTATAATTTAGTTTTTTAATTGCTTTAATTAATAAACAATTCAACTCTTACTGAAAACGTGTGTCAATTATGCATGAGAACAAAGAAAATACTTTTTTGGGTTTCTCCTTTTTCCTTTTCTTAGACTGCTTTCTGGATTTACTGTGAGAGTCTACAAAACAAAACACACAACACATCAGCCAATTTATTGATATTTGTACTTATATCAAATAAAGAGAATTGCATTATATGTGGCTGAACACAGCACGACATTTATAAAAACACTTCTGTCATTAATACAATTCAACAATTGTATTCCCAGATGTATAGCAGATTATGAAGCCACACTTACCGCTACTGCTAGAGCTACTCCGACTGTTGCTGGATGAGTTTGACGAGCCCGACGAAGAAGAGGACGACGAGGACGAAGATGATGATGATGACCTAGAAGAGGACGACGAGGAAGACCTACTGCGACTGCGTTTCCGTTTCGTTTTTTCTCGACCTGAATGAACAGACGATATAAAGATACACTTTTGACAATGCCATATGATTATTATCAAGAAATTAAAAAAAACGGTAATTAATGGTGTCGGTTTTTTTAATGTTAAAAAGAACTGTAGATTCTGGGGGATGAACCACCTACTATCCCCTGATGGATGATACAATGGAGGGACCCATTCGCCCTTGATCCCAACATACAAATACAACTTTGTGACGAGCAAAGAGAAAAGAACACTAAAATAAAAGAGAACGATGAAGTATTTCACTCGAGACCGTGGGAAAAGTGGGAAAGGCAACCACAATAACAGTGGATGTGACTGTAAAGTCACACCTGTCCGGTGTTTTTGTCATGATGTGTCACAGGTACGAGCGGTCTTGCCTGTACTGCTCGATCTCTTCCTTTCATCGGTTCTGGAGCTGGAACTGGAGCTGGACACCCTGGACTCCGCTTTCGTGGACTGGCGTTAAAAACAAAAACAAATATTTACACTCCCGCTATTGGGAGTACGACAGTTTTCCCATTGAAATCTGATCTGCGCTCCCGGGGAAAGGTATCGCTAACAGTAACGCTAACTCACCCGAAGTTACAACTAGCAAAACGTACCCAACCTTTCAAAACAAGTAAACCATTGCAAATACTCGTGGCTTTAGGAGACAATTCCGACAACAAACCCACAAAACCCTGACGCTTTCACTTGAGCTTAACCAGGCTACGTCTACTAAGCTAAAGCTAAAATGCACTTCAAGCTATCAACGCTGAAGGAACTAAAGCTGCTGGAAGAAGTTCTGTACTCACCATGGCGGCAGCAGCTAGCTTAGCTAGCTTATCATCTATAAACACCGACACGTCAGCGGCGGAAAGAAGAGCAAGACGTATATTTATTCGCAGTTATCTCTCTCAAAGTAGCGTTAGCCAGCGCTCTTGGGAGACATTTTGTAGCCCACAATGCACCACGTTCATAACAACGGCGCTAAAACCAACGTCCGTCCGCCAGTTGGCGCAGCAGCGTCGAGATGATCCGCTGAAGGCTTTAACTAACGTTAAAGACGGGACGCGGTTTGTTCCTGTCCGGGCTGTTTTTAGTCTCTAACAAGCCCCCATTCGACCACGAAACCACCTGGAAACAAGTTCGGGGAGTCGACGTTGTCAGGTGTCCTCATTTTCGCGGGAGTAACGTGACGTTACGGTCGATTTAACGTTACGTAACGTCACGTGAACAACAAACAGAACATGAATGCGGTCGAATACCGCAACTTCGCAATACAGATGACTTTCGTTGTGTTCGGGATTTGTTAGAACTGATTTGGAGAGAGGGAGAATTAATTTGTCATTTAATAGACATGTCAATTGTCCATGTCCAATGTAACGTTAAACGAGGTGGGCTAAAAAGCCATGTGACCATCTCAGTCTAATATGTGACACCCAAAGGTGCGTAATGCATCAATATTTTACTCTTTAAAATCTGATAATTGTGCATTGACCTATCCTAGCATGGATAAAGATATTCTAAATGTGGGGTATTGTGACCAGGACGTTCTGCATTAATCAGTTTGAATTTAATTTTTGGAACATGTATAAAAGGGAAAAAAAATATTACTACTTATTAAAAAAAAAAAAAATAGAACAGCAAAGAGCTAAGACACAACAGAAAAAAACTGTTCGAAAAAAAAAATATTTAAAGTTAAAGATACACTTTGTATAACGGTAACCTAACGTTACATCTTTATGACCTCAAACATATATTTCTACTCACTAGTTACATATGCTTCATGATGCATAAGCAAATGTTGGTAGACACATTTGGGAAAAATTCAATTTTGTCCTGCTAGTGGTGCTAGAGGTAAATTCAGAGATAAAGATAATAGATGTATTATATGCATTATTTCAGAAAATGACAAAACACAGAAACACTGTTATTGTACAAAACCATATTTATTATAACAGTATTAGTACATGATACAAATATGAGCACATCCCCACCGTATAAAAATACAAAATCTTGGTGTGTTCCGCACATAATAAAACATTTGACAAACTCAAATATTGATTCATGTGTGTAGTCAGTTTCATATAGCCCTGCAGCTTCATGTTAAACAAAAAACATGTGTCCTTCATCAAATATTCACAAGTAAGCAAAGGCTGCTCTCCAATCCTACGACGGACACTGGAGGTTTGTTGCATGTGCCAACGTCAACTATCTAATCCTAAGTAAACCAAAGTAAAAGAACCCAACAGTAACTCAGCTTTAGAGAGTACGGGGGGGGGGTGAAAATGGTAAAAAAAATGCTTTTTATTCGTAACTTTTGCATGTTCTATGAATGCCAGCCCTTTCTTTTGGGCCAGTATGCAGCTTTCTGTTGAATTATTTTCAGGATCTGAAAAATATTCAGCACCGGTTGCTTTTCTTTTTTTTTGCTGGACTTCAATAAAACTGACCGTGTCATTTCATCTAAAAGCTAAAGTATATGAACATGTAAGAATATACGTGGGATATCAATTGAAAGCAGGCAAAAATAATATCTTTGAAGTGACAGCCAATCTAATGCTAAACGCATTCATCCTCTTTGAATCAAAGAAATTCTTCAGCTGCCCTCGGATAGAAAGAAAATTATTTTGAGCAGTGGGAGATAAGCAACGGCGAAGTTCATTAGTTACAACATATCATGCGAAGTCCCTCCCCGAGTCGGAGCCTCACGGCTGGTTTCACACAGCCAGACTCCGACTCCTTGCAGAGGAACCGGGCTCCATGCGAGGTGACCTAAGCGGGTTGGACTCCTCTCTTTGGCCTTAGCTTCAGCCGAAAAACAAGTGTGAGGTGTGTGGAAATATAATACATTGTATGTAAAACGCTAACTATACTAATATCTGCAAACATGCTTTAATGCTACAACATAAGGGGAAAGCTTGTGGGAATAGTTGCATCTACTTTCTGTAGATATCTTTGCTCACAAAACAGTTTCAATATTGACTTGTTTTGGGCAGAAGAGCAAATCGTCTTGTGGGGGAAAAAAGTACATTAATACAATTGAGGAATTGTTATGGGCAGACAGGTGGGCCAGATTATCAGTCTTTTACTTCCTAGTTTTCAAGATGAATGGACGGCGAGCAGATAATTAAACCTCCGCTTTGTTCTTTGAGTGATCGGCGTGAGCCAAGCTCTCCTCGTGCTCCTCCTCCTCCTCAGGAACCTGGAAAACATATCGTCCAAATTATTTTCTGCAAAATGTTATTATAAGCATAATGAAAGAGACCAAAATGACATGTGAATGAATGTCAAACAAGCTTTACCAGAGAGTTGCAACGTACACAGAATAAAATCTAATAAAAATCTTGGTTGTGATGACGGGGTGAACCACATTCATCTCATAAAAATCACAAAACAAATATAATAACTAAGAGAAAATACCGCTTCTATTGCTTGTTATGCTCAGTAGTCCGGAACTAGAGATATTATTTATGAGAAATGGGATTTCTTACCTCCCAGTATATTGAGTCATCATAGCAGTTCTGGTCTGGCGGCTGTCCCCAGAACGGCAACTTCATTATGAAACCTGGAAGGAGAAAAGACATCGTTTGATTGCTGAAGCTTTTTCAAAAAAATGGAATCTTCCATTTCCACTGAGTGACAGTAATTGAACTTTTGTGTCACATTGAATGCCTCGTGTTTCATCTCCACCCACCTGTAATAGCACCTCCAACCAAAGCGAACCCGAGGGACGAAGCCAAGGCAGCAGCTTGCATGGCAGCATCACCTCTAAGAGGGGGGAGGAGGAGAGACGGGGACGCAAGAGCTGAAATTTAACTAAAGCATAACATCGCTTCAGAGCTACAATAACGTTATGTGCTTAGTCTTGTGGCTGGGTGATAATTCGAAAGGATAATTGTGCACATGCACACACACAAACATATAGTCATATGTAACGTATGTGGAGATGAGGATGGTCCTTACCCCTCTTTTTTCCCCAAGGCCACAGCCACTATACCGGCCAACCCTCCCAGGATGCCCGGCATGCCGTGCAGATTGTGGACGCCACAGGTGTCCTGGATGCCCAGGTTGGATGCCAGGATGGGCTGCAGAAGAGAAAAAGAAGGCCCCTTGTTGCAACCAAATAGTGTCTTTTATAAAAGGTGGAGTGCACATTTACTTTGTAAAGACGGCTGACAAAGACATTTTTGTGTTATTTACTTAATATTGTTCATTATTGATCCAAAAATATTTTCACAAATTTTCCATCACAGCTTTCCAAATCCCAAGGTGACTTTTGATTTTTGTTTTGCTGGACCAACAGTCCAAAACTCATTTCATCACTCTTTATTGTTTTTTTTTTTATGGAAAAAGACTAAAATCAGCCTTTTTAATTTTGCACCTTCGCTTGACTTTGCACTTACCGTAAGGTACTTGAAGCCCACAGTAGAGATGATGCCGGCCACAAATCCAATCAGCATTGCCCCATAAGGCCCAATGGCCATGTCAGCACACGTTCCCACGGCAACGCCACCGGCCAGGGTGGCGTTCTGGATGTGCACCTATAATATATAATCACATGTAAATCACTATATAACTGAATCACTTTCTTTATAAATGATTTAACTAGAGTTGTCAGATGATATCTGACCATGTCCAGTTTTCCTTTGTGCTCCACGAGACTGGAGATGGCGTAGGCGGAGAGCACGCAGGCAGCCAGGGAGAGGTAGGTGTTGATCACTGCCGTGAGCTGAGTTAGCCCCGGATCGGCTATGGCCGAGTTAAAACTGGGCCAGAACATCCACAGGAAGACGGTTCCTGTAAAAGAGGGTAAGAAGTCCTAATTATCTCATCCCTGTCAAACACGTTGAACGGGATCCTGCCGCGTGTTTATTTGCGTCCACTAGGTGACAGTAGTCGCACGCGTTCCTGTGAAGGAGGCCAGAAGGAGGCCAGTGACGGACCAGTGAGAGAAGCCACATTTTCACTGCTGAAGATTAGTTCGAAGTGCAACGGGCCCCCACCTATCATAGCAAACAGATCGGAGTGGTAGACAGATCCATCGTTGTCATGTCCGTTCCTCAAACCCGGTCGGTAAAGTACCCGAGCCACAGCCAGGCCGAAGTAGGCTCCAAATGCATGAATAATCATGGATGCACCAACGTCATTGGCCTGTGAGAGCAAAGGGGACGGGGTTCATTACGCTTTCATTAAGTAATTTAAATATAATACAAATTTTCCTGGTTGCAACGCCGTTGGTTCATTCACGCGTGCGTCATTGTGCGCTTACTTTAAAGATTTGGGCCACCAGATGTTCATTGATGGAGAAGAGGGAGATCTCCAGGACGGTCATGATGAGGAGTTGCACAGGGCTGGTTTTACCCAGAACAGCTCCGAAGGAAATCAGGACTGTAGCTGTGCTGAAGTCCGCGTTGATTATTCTGCAGGATTGAGAAGAAATTAGAAGTGACAGACCAGCACAGTTTAACACTCATCGTCTACCGAACTTAAAGTGATCCGTTGGAGCTACTAGTTTGTAGATGTCTGTTTAACTGCATGCACGTAAAACCGGCTGTCACTGAGAACCAACACGTGCAGAGGAAGACGTTCATACTTGAAGATGGTAACTTTGATCTTGCCATCTTCCAGGTGCCACAGACCCTGCGTGAGAAGGCCCCACTGCAGGCCGAAGGCAGCCAGGAGTAAGTTGAAGCCAACGCTGCTGAAGCCATATCTCTTCAGGAATGTCATCAGGAACCCGAAGCCGATGAAGATCATGACGTGGACATCCTGGAACACTGGAGACATGAGAAGGGAGGTCAGTGCTGCTGACGACTTGGTAGCGGGGAGGTGATTCGTTTTTTTTTCAGCTGAATGCCGACGTGAAGTTGAATTATATAAAACACTTTCACATATTCTCTTTGTCGCTTTCACTCTGCCTTTAATTAGAAACCAAACTGGTCTCCTTTCGACTTTGAACATCGCAATGACCAATTGAGCAGTTGCCAGACTTCCCTCCAGTCATTTCCTTCCCCAGGGCTGCATTGTCAGCCCAGGTCGGTTAGCTGGAAAATCAATTCAATCACACTGCGAATGGGATTCTGGGAAAACGCTTCTGCTGTTCCTGTTTCTATTGAGTGCGTGTGATCTTAATGAACTTAACTTAACTAAATCCCCTGAGGCAGGCGAGGTTCAGCACACCCTTATCTATTAGTCCGCGTCAACAGTCGGACAAAAACAGCAGAGTTTGGAATTTATTTCACCGTCAATTCATGGTGTTTCCGCTGTATTTTCAGAAGATCACAGAACGAGGTAAGCTCTTGAAGAGGAGCTTCTCTGTCTGTCAGCGGGATCTACGTGGACGCAGGCCAGCATCGCCATCCTGACAGGAAGTGGGGACTCCTGTTTGTGAGCCTTCACACTTGATGTATCGAGCCCCATTTGTGGAAAATACATGGAGGCGGTGGCTGACAAACAATGTGCTTCGTTTCCTGTTGTGTGGACAGGTCTCCAGGGTTGGGCGATGTCTACAGATTTAGCATGTGAGGTTGTCCGCGGTGACAATTCCAGATGGGCGATGTTGTCAGTGTGGTGGAATCCAAAGAGGCTACAATTGAAATACTCGTTAGTGCTTTACTGGGTTTCTTTAAGGGCTCCAAAAACAGTTTACTCAAACAGATGTTACACTGTAGGCTGCTGTTGATCATTAACCCCTCAGATGAAAACAGAACAGCCGAAATCTTGGGAAGTCATAGCGGTTTCCTGGCTGCTCCAAATTTGAAATATTATTTATTGATGTTAAGACTACTTGAATCTGAAACAGATTTATTTTTCCAAAAACGTCAAATCCCTTATTTCACTCGTTTTTAAAACGATAAAGATCCAATGCGCAACATAGCAGGGTGCAAACGTCTTGAGTGTCTTATCATCAGTCTGTCATTTAAGGGATGATTGAAGGCATATCTCATGTTGTCAACCTTACTTTTACATTCTCCAGGCCTGATAAACTAATCAATTGTTTTGCAAGCACAGACAGAATCAGCTTGACAGGACAAGAATGCGTTCACATAAAGGGAATTTTGTGAATATACTTTTAAAGAAATCAAAATTAAACCAAGGCACATGGACAACACAGACTTTTGTATACACAAATATGTATGAACATAATTATTACATACACATATTATAAAAAATCCCCTAAATGAGTAAATAAATGTGTATTCTTTAAGTGCACAACACTGCACTGCACTTACACTGCCATCGTCAGCAGCTGATCCAGATGTAAATATTCATTTTGCTCACTTCCACACAGTCTTTGCCCCTTCGAGTTGTACTCTGACCCCCCCCCCCCCCCTCCCCTACGCGGTTGTGTGGCACAGGCGTTGCTTCTCTTGTAGTAGGAGCATTACAGTGAACAGTAGAGTAGATTGAGGAAGAGGAGGAGGAGGAGGAGGTACGGCTGGAACGCTGCCACGGTGTCTGGCACCACGCCCAGATGTTCGCTCATGCTCAGTAATCTTCTCAAGAACTGGTTGAGCCGATACGATAAAGAGAGAATCCCCTCAGGACCGACTGCCGTGCAGTCTGTAGAGGAGGGAAGCAACCGGTGCTGCAAGAAGAATTATTATTTATTTCAAAGTGCTGGAGCAGCAGATTCCTCTCTCAGATTCCTCAGTCTCCGATGTTTTAAATCTGAAATTATACTTTATTATAAAAACTTGCAGTGTTTCGTCATGCCATACGTCCAGAATTCTCCCTTACTACATGATTGATTTCGTCCGCCATAGTTTAAATTCACTCCAGATCAGTCCTCCCTTCGATCCTGTAGCTGCAGATGTCTGGTCTGCAGATCTCACCAAACGCATTCCAAAGGCTCTCGGCTTCAGCTCACGCAACACAAGTCTTGATACTTGATATTCTTTCGAGGCATTCGCTGATATGTCCTTCGTAGCAAGGTGAACGTCTTATTTAAAGAAAACCTGCTTATTGGTACCTCAATTAGACGTTTGGATCTTGTGAGTTTTTTCACTTCTATCTGCTGAAGGAGTTCATGTTTCTCTTTGCTCGCCTTAAACCTCAGTTTTACACGTGCACACATGATGTATGTTATATTATAACTAGTTTGAAAGCCAATGGCGGGCCAATATGGAAAAAAAAGTGGAAACTACACTAATGATGGATTTTTCCACTGAAGTACAAGAACGTCTGTGTCAAGAAGTCACCACGATACCTGAACATTGAAGTATGGACTGGAAGGAAAAATAAGTGTGAATGTGATCAGGAATGTTGTAACTGCAACATTTTAGCAGGAAAACCGTATCACAAAGCAGAGGATTATTACACAGCAGACTTTCCTGGAGAGGACACTCTCTCAATGTGATCAAAACGTAAAGTAGAGACAAAAATAATGAAAGACATTCTGATAGACAAGCTGGGCATATTGTAGATACACTCAGCCGTCACGAGGAACCAATGTGCTAATCTCTTCGGGGCACACCTGCCCCACCCAATAATGAGCAGACATTCAACAGCTGGGACATCTTCTTGCAGATAAGTTTTCAAGATCAACTACAGAAGCCGCTCTCAATAAATACCGTCATTAAACAGTTGTTTTGCCATTTTTAACATCTGCTATTCTTTTCTGTTATCTGTTTGCTTGACACATTGATTTGTAACACATGTGACCTCCACTCTATGAGACCCGACACTCTTCCCTGCAGGATCCTCAGCTGCATGCGTATGAATAGACTTCGTGAGAGACGGGAATGTGTCCCCATGACTCCTCTTATTGCAATTAGAAAACCTCTGGACAGGCCTCCAAAAATCGTCTATTTCTGTTAGCAAATAATTGGAGAATTTCACCCATAAAACAGAATTAACATTCTTTCAATGAAAGAAAGGCGGCCCTTTTCAGTTCAGTCATAACCTCAGTTATAGTCACTTCAAGACCATAAAAACCAATGCTTGGAAATATGGAAGATTTGTAGATTTCTCCCTTTTTACAATCTTTTAAAAAATGTCCTGCAATTGTGTCATGTTCTACTTAAAAATCGGACCTGTTGACATCAAAGCTACAACAAATCCAGCTGATATAAATATGTTAACAAGAGAATTCGGTAGAGGAGCATCCCTCTTTCAGCAGCCCCAAGCACACTTACTGGGGTAGAGCTCCATGGGCCGCGGCTCTTCATGGTGGGTTGCGTTGCTGTGTGGGTCGTGCCCGTGACTTTTCCCATCATCATAGGTCACAAACACAGCAAACAGGATGATGATGACAATCTCCAAAGCCAAGGCTACAATGGGAAACTTCATCCTCATGTTGGTGGCGTACGCAGGCATCCTGAGACCGGCTGTGGTTCACCCTCACAGTCTCCCTATCGGTTGTTTTTAGTGGGTAATGCTGTGAAGGGGGGAGAGAATAAACGCGTGTCTGGTTTTAAACCGATGCAGGTTTGGTGGTGACCAATGACAGGGCAGAACACTGAGGCCTGGGTGGGAAACACCCCCCTCAAGGACTTTGCTCATGGGGACGGGTTTCCTCTCAGAGCGTCAGAGTGGATAAAGCAAAAAACAACTGTAATGACATAAGAGAAATATTTAATGACTCCTCCTTCCTGTCGGGGGAGAATTTGTGGAGCTGCATTTTGTGAGTCTCTGAGGGTGTGTGACCTTTGTTTGTTGTTTTATGTGTTGGGACTGGTGCGTTTGTTTCATGTCACACATTAGAAAAATAAAATTAAGTCTCTATTTACTATCTAGGACTGCTGTTTCAGATACATTACTTTACAAATAGTAGTAATACATTGCAAGTAAAAGCCCTGCATTTTTGGTTTTTCCGCAGGTAAAGTACATAAGTAGCAGCAGAAAAGTACGTAAAGTACTGGCATGGTGTATGGACCCATTATGACTAATCCATTTCTGTAAAAACTGTGTTTTAATCTTCTAGCTGGTTGAGGTGCCGCCAAATGTTTTGTAATTTGATTTTTGTAAGTAGAATCCAAATCTGCGTCTCTAATTGCAATTAATATGCAGCTATACACATAGACATCACTATCAATCAAATAAAATAGTAATTGCACTATCATTGCACACAGCAAGTACCTGAGCAACAAAATGCAGTTTAGCATCTAACCTGCAAATGGTAGGATACAGATATTTATTTTACAGAAAGACTAATTCAACAACCGAACCTTGAACCTGTTGGTTACTAACCTCAACAACTGTGATAAATAGACAATAAACGACTTATATAGTTACAATATAAATGAATGCAACCACGGTAAATCAATGGATGGTATGTACAGTATACACAGGGACATAGAATAGTATACACATGGGGAGAACAGCTCTGGTTATGTCGTGCAGTACAAACAGAAGCAGGATAACATGTACAGTGACCATCTGTCAGGTCTGGTACACTGTAAAAAAAAGTCAGTAAAATTTACAGTGAAAAACTGTCAAATCAAGATGGTAAGAGATATTTGAATGGAAATGAGTTAAATTCAGTTTCTATGACAGTAAAAGACAGTGAATATATATCAAAATTATTTTCAGCATTCATTTCTTGTAATAAATGCGTTTTATCACTGTCAACTGCACAATTTTTTTTACTCATAACAGAAATACACCGTAATATGGAAAAATTCAATATTGTGAATTTTACATCAATTACTTCTAAAAAATACATTTCGTTAGGGTTAAATATATGGACCATTGTGGTGTCTGTGACCGGTTGACTGGCTGGTGGACCTGCAGGTGGGCGTGGCAGAGGGAACACTTGAGGTAATCAGCAGCACTGGAAACACATGGGCTTTGTGTGCCAGTGCACTCTGATAAAAGGCCCTCTGGTCTCAGGGTCTCTCTCTCTCTCTCTCTCTCTCTCTGCCTTGAGACACCCGGTGTGCAATTTGGTTAAAGAGTATGGTTTGTTATGGTTTGCTATTTGGTTAAAGAGTATGGTTTGTCCTGATACAACCCTACACACACACACACCTTCCACGCATGCACTCACCTCCACTGCTGTCTCCACGTGCCACTGTAGCTGTGAGTCAAATAAAACTCCATTCTGACTACTTGCTTGTGGGATCCCCTCCTCGTTGTCATATAAAATATTTGTAAATTTTAAATAAAACATCTGGTCACCAGTGCTGTAGTGGTAAAATTAGAGGTGGGTAAACTACAATTTTTGTTATCATACAGAGCTCGACGCGATACAACGCTATGGGAAGCAACGCAACACAAAGTGCCGCGGCTCTGTAAGGTTGTCCTGGCTATATTGCATTATGTTATCAGTTAAAGTCAGATACAATCAATGACAGTGAATACATGTGTTTGTGGTTTGTAGTTTAGTAAATTTCAAGAAAACAGTAAAGAAAAGTATGTGTAGGCCTTAAAAAATTGAAAGTGGTGGAGGGGGAGACAAAGGAAAGAACCTCTATTGGACCTTAAAAAAAATGAAGGCCTCTGGAAACAGGCCCAAAGTGTTACAGCTGAAACGTGTAATATTAACAACCTGCAAGTTAACACTTCCCCTGATCCTTAACCAATAAGAGAAAGCTCCAAAAGTCAACTTAACTAATGAATCCATTCTGATCAGGCGGGCTGATCCGTGTGTGTGTGTTTACATCCTGATTGGTGGAGCCGCCGCCGCAGGGGGCTGATTGGAGGGTCACGGACCAAACAGCGCAGATGAACGTGATTCAGACCACAGCGTTTATATGTTCAACAATATGAAACGTAGTCTTAGGTGTTTTAAAATGACACCAAGTTTATTTCGGATTATTCCAAAGAAAGAATACAAGGCGCGGGAAACTTTGAGGTGCGTAAACGCTATTTCCAAAATCCCAGAGATGCGTAAACGATGTTTACGTGTGTTTACCCTCCACTACAGCCCTGCTTGTCACTGTAAATTTCACTAAACAATATTCTTATGACAGAAACACCTCATCATTTGCACAACATTGAATATTTTGTATCACTTCTAAAAACTACATTTTGTTAATGTTCAATATACTAACCATTGTGGTCCCAATGGTGCCATAACGTATTATACACTTAACAGGCAGCCCTGTAGTGAAAAACTGTTTCTCACTGTTAATTGTAATGAATATTGCACCAAAAACAGCAATAGACTGTGATGTGAACAAAACCGGTATTAGCAGAGGGATTCCTTTCCTGCGTAAAAGAGCTAATGACAGGTGGTGGAGGAGGTAGAGGGAAACAGTCAGAAAGAGAAAGAGGGAGAGATCAAACTGTAGTGATAAGCATTGAGAACTTCTTCTGCACGAATTAAACATTACTTTTTCGATGAGAAAGCCATGTGATTCCAAGGAACACAGCCTTTCTTCATGAGGTAAACATCCTTTTTGGATTTATCACAGTCGGAAAGGAGTCATAGGAACCTTGTATTGCATTGCATGAGACAATTTTGGCATCTTTTAATTTTTACTTTCAGATCTTTTTTTTCGCGTTCGGATCCTTTATTTCACATTCAGACTTTTGACCCTGATGTGGCGTAGGGGGCGGGGCATCAACTGGAAGGGGCGTGCAATCCTTTTTGGAAAAAAAATGTTTTGAATCTGAAAATATAAGATTTGTATGCGAAAATATCAAATCTGCAACCAAAAAATATAATAAAGTCATTATCAAAAAATAAGTAAGTGATAAGTGAAGATTGAAAAAATATATATATTGAAAAACAATAGAGAGCTGAATCAAAACTATATTCAACCTGAAAATATTTTTCGTCCAGTTATTTTTATTTTGAATACATTGTTGTATTTTTCAATGTTCAACAACAAAACTTAAACTTTCAATTTCACATTTGTTTTTCAAATGAGCAAAACTTTTGACCTCCATAGCACTGTAGATTTATTACTTTGTACAGTTATAAAGAGAGCGAGAGATCAAGGGGGGGACCTGTGTACTGAAACATCCTAAGGGAATAGAACATGTGAACATACAATAAGTACTTGTTATCCAACAGTTGAGAAGAAGAGGACCTGTAGGCAGTCAGCTGCATGGATCACGATGCAAGCTTATGATAGTCTGTTACACAACAAACTATCACAAAATAGGACAAAACAAGTTATGTCCTATTTTTTATAAGGATATCAAATACTCGTAAGATATTCAAATTTCCATTTAACAAATAGTTTTATATGTGAGCTCACTCAAAGGGGGAATATATAATATAGAAAAACTGTAAATACAGATCAAACATTGAATGAAAATGTGTTTCCAAACTTTGGCTGGTACTGTATGTGAGTACCATAATGCAACTGTGTAAGTGCCATGATCAGTCATATTGGTATTGTTGTTACTCTGATTATTATTGATAGTTTTGAACAGACAACACAAAGCTGCATCTCTCCTACCTGTCTTCAATCAAATCTGGACCCAATGACTCAAACATCATCTTTGTCGAGGCTAATTACAGGTAAGCGGTGGTATTGTTCAGTGTAGCAAATATTCCTCAGGTATATACAGGACTCACTTATTCAAATGCAATACAACTTAAAAACAGGACAGTGTATTGTATTTTCCTTTTTTTGCAACAGTTCTGTAAAAGTACTTCAGAAAATGTTTTTTTAGAAACAACCTTTTTTAACACTCATGAACTCTGAAATGTACATTTATAAAAATACATACCGTGATGTCTTACACGTTGACGCCGTCATTTTTACGGTGTCAGTATTTTACCGTATTTTCAACATTTTTTTTTTTTACAGTGTAGGCGTCTCACGCTGCATCACCGGGGTTCCGTCCGTGACCCTACAGGCCGCGCGTGCAACGAGGATCTCGTCGTGTCACAGTGTTAAATACTGTACATCACACGCCTGTGCCTCCTCTCCCACTGGAAGCCCACCCGGCAACCTCATCTAATTGGTTCGCAGGCCCCCAAAGTGAGTGTGATGACAATCTGAGCGCCGCTCAGCAAATCCCCTCCGGCCAAAGGTCCTTCATTTGGATCCGAGAGCTTTATGAATAACCAGAGGTGTTAATCACTACCAGCAACAGATTTCTGTTATTTTTGGAGCGCAGCGCACTGAATATTTCCCCAGGCCCTTTTGGGAAATGACTTACTTGTACAAATGTTGAGAGATCTCTAATCCGCTCCACTACCGCTAGAAGTAAGCCACACAGAGTTGCGTTGTAATATTTGGCAGAAAGTAGAGGCTTTTTATCCTGTTCATCCCGGGATCCCTTTGTCGTTGTTGTCTTCACAAATGAGCTAATAAGCAAACATGCCGAGCAGGAAAGGATATGTGGTCCGACTGTTACCGTCATTCATTCATGACGGTCGTAGATACTTCTACCACGTCATTATACCTCATTTTCTTTCTCCTCAAACTCTTTAAAAAAAAATACAATTTCAGTCCACTCATTACAAAACAAAGCCTCGTCCTCGTCACATGACTGACTCATTTTGCCTCCTGAGTAGTTAATATCCTGTGAAATGTTTCTACAACAGTGAAGCTCTGATCTGCAATTATTGGACCAATTATTATGTCTGTAGTTTAGCAATCAACTGCAGGGAGCATGAGAACTGTTTGTGTAGTCAGGACGGCTCAATGACAGTAAGTGCTCTGAGTCTCACATTTCTCAGCAGAATGCCCCGGAGGAACCGGGGCTCCAAGGTCGTTGCTTCTACATATCGTGACCTACCTAAGAGGCATGAATGAGCTCGACGTTGAGACTGATTTAGATAACACGCTTTGATCTGCTAGTGTACAGGAATCCCCTCAGGATGGACAATATATAAAATACACATATGTGTCTTCTTTTGTGGAATAAGATGAGAGGAGTAATTAATGGGCCTTATCTGTAGCTACTGGCAGGCGACAGCATGCGGTATTCACAGTGCAGGTTAAAGGGGCCGAAATACAATTACTTTGTGACATCTCTTTTTTTTCATAAGATTATAAACCACACAAATCAAATAGAATTGTACATTTTTGACTCTGACTTGGGCCTCTTTCATATGTCGTCTGATGTTTTACGCGGCAACCTCTGTGTGTTCATTTTGGAATTCATGCAACGCTTAATTCCTCCTTCCTATGTTTCCATGACGACCACATACCACATATCTCTAACGACTTAATGGTTGACTAGAATTGCTTCTGTGCATTTCAGTGAAAAGATGAGAGCTTTTTTCTAATTTGAAGCGGTGAGAGCGGTGCACTCAGTAAAAAGACATACGCTCGGTCCTCATTGGGAACAAACACTGGCCCCCGAGAAAAGGGCGCTATGTGGACATGATCCTGTGTTACCCACAGACTTATTTCAGGCATCTAATCAAAAAGCCATTAAAAAAGCAGATCAATGACTCGAGACGAGGGAACGTGAAGTGTTATTCTATTGGCTTCTCTGGTTAGACCCCGAGGCTGCTGCCTAATCGTGTGACGTCAAATTCTTGCTTCGCCAGGCTTGTATGGACTTTTTGCCCAATTCAAACAATAATTCCCCATTATTTCTACTGGAAATAAATGTGTTGGCTTGTTTAGGTTCACAGAATGTGAGAACATTCAACTCTTTGAACATTAAAGCCACAAAGCAGAGAAAAAAAAACATCTAAACTAAACAGCTCAATCACTTTTAATCTCGCCTCCCTGTGAACTTTAAGAAGCATTCCAGAAAAACCATTAAGCGATTTATCTCTGCTCACTCACCGTAGTGAGATAAATCGCGTAATGGTTTAAATCTGTGCCATAAACCACAGATTTGTGGAAAATAAACAAGCCGCCTGGCCGAAATGAGCTCCATCCTTTGTCCGGGATGCAACATATACGACTACTCAGCCCTCTCTGATGTCATGGATGCTTCAAAACCCTTCCGACTGCGTAGTAGATACTTTTCCATTGTTGACAGATTTAGTGTAACTGCAGTGGAAAGATGACCCGGTGAGTTTAAGGGATCGTCCACCAAAGGAGCAGGAGGATGGAAGCCTGCTTTTGTTCGCTTTACTTAAGTCGGCCATGTAAAGGTCGAACTGAGGTCCAGCATTTCCATTTTTTTTTCTGAGCAGACACTGCAGATTTATTTGGTATTTTTGATGAAATGTCACGGTTAAATATATCAAATAAGAATATACGCAGTACATTTGCTTAGTGTTACTACTCTTATCTCTTTTTTTGGGGGGGGCACCACCTTGCAGCGGATATTTTTGCACGGACTTTCCTCCGTGTGGTTGTTTGCTCAGTTGTTTCACATGCAAAGGTCAACTCCACATGCGTGGTTGGTATCGCGTGCCCCATCCCCAAAGTATTCACTGGGTGACACTTGTAATGAGGACCAGTAATGTCCTCACAAGGAGTCCTCCCTGTGCACTGCACGATACAGCTCCTGTGAAGCTACTTACTCACGTCGTGTGGGATACTCGGGGGATCAACATTACATTCCTTGGGAGGAATCTTCCATAAGGAGTTATGTATGTGGCTGATGGGAAACAGGCCCGCGTGACAGAGAAAAGCCAGGGTCCTTTTTCCACATTACTCGTAACTGTCCTTAGTCGGGTAGGGTAACAGGTTTCTACATACATGTGCATAAACTCCAGAGAGCTTTGCATGAGCAATATCTTGAATAGTCCAGACTGATTTATGAGGCCTCATAAATACATGTGGCGTTGATGCACTAGTGAGTTGACCTGGAGTCAAAGGGGAGCCTTGGAGATACTTTAAAGTCCTCTCTGGAGCCGGTCCATCTGCTGGGAAACTTTTGTTATTGCTGTTTCTGTTTTGAATCTCTTGGAGGTTCCGAGCAACGCAGCAGGTTTGCAAATGTCTGAAGAGCTCAGAAGGGCAGAAGCTGGAAGTTAAAAATACTATACAATACTATACAAACTGCATGTTTGACTAAGATAACTTGCATCGGTAAAAGCCGTAGCTGTTGATTTACATTAATGACTAAGGTCAGCTAAAGGTGAAGCATTTTATTATTATCATTTTCAAAAATGAAGAAACGCCGGACGGACAGAGGTCATCGCAGATCGAAAGGTTAAAATAAAATGTATTTAATAAAAGTGATGGTGTTGGAGCCGCTGGTCTCAGCAACCAACAGGCCCCAGGTCCGTCCTTTGACCGTCCCTAGTGCCCGTTTGTCGCCTCCACCAGCAAACTCCAGAACAATGGTTCCTACAGGTATTTATACCAATGCTTAAAGGTGTGAAAGTTAGTGTTCACGCCTCTGGGAGTGGTCTTCTGGTGAGTTCAATGTAACTCTTCGAATTTTGAATGGCCCTTAGTCAATATCAGTTGTTGTTCAAGTATTACATGCATGCATTACATCAAATACAATCATAACTGTACATTGATGTTATTCTATTACAGTTGCAGAATTACAGTGGTTTTACAATATTGTCATTACTTTATTGATTACACAGTTTCAGAGTCATGGCTGTATAATGGTGTACACTATATGAATTTTTATTAATTTTATGAACCGGGTCGTCAATTTATTTCTAATATCCTACATTACAATGCACTTTGAAGGAACCCAATTAGCTGGGTGAGAAAAAAAAGGGATATTTTAGCCGCATGTCATGAACAGAGACCTTACCAATGTCTTCTTTCCAGAGAAGACCAGAAGTATTGACCTTAAAATATGTTGGCTCTTCAACAGGCACTGATGTTATGGCAGTTATGAAACTGTTTGTGTCCCCACTGCAGTGAGTCTGTGTGTAAATAAAACGTGTTGAGTGTAAATACCACTCTCAAAGTTTTTCACTTGAGCTGAGGTTCTCTGCTGACATGGAATTCCTCAGGCGGAGCATATTTTACATTTCCAGCTGCAGAATTCTCTTCGACTCGGCTCTTTGAGCTTACCATGTGCTGAAACTCCTATGGGGGAGAGTTATCTAATCCCAAGAAACGAGTCCTGCATGTTTTCTGTTTTTTTCCGGCCCTCCATGTGTCGTTATCTCCACGTGCAACCCTTTGAGCTGTGTGCAATGTGACGATCAGAGGGGGGGTTCAGAACGCTTACAGGGGTCAAAGAAGTACATCAGACACTCAGCGGGCGACTGCTGTTGAAGCTAAAGATGAGAAGCACGCAGGTGAGGAGAAAAGAGCTGGTCTCTTTCTCTCTGCAAAAGAAATTATAGAAAATCCAACTGAAAGGCTTTTTAGTTTCCTAATAAAAATACTTTCAAATACTAATAATTGTATATTTATTCTCAAAAATCACTTCACCATCTCAACCTTTTTACAATGTAAAGTCCAAAAACGCCATGTGAGGCTCGTCAGGAAACGCCATGGCTTCACTAAGAACCACATACTAACATCTGTTGATACTTTGTCTTAATCGGCAAGTTTTTTTGTGAGACATTTGTGCAATGCGGCCTTTCAGAAAGGAAAAAAGCAAGTGATCAATCCTCTGACAAGCATGTGGTCCTCGTTATGCAACTATACAGGATCAAACTTTTTTACTTTTTGATATATGACAGGGATGCTAGAGGAATGTTTTGCCTCGATAGTAATGCTTGACTGAATGATTTCACAGGATTCTTTGATACTGTGCTAAGAGAGTAAAACATTTTAAAATATGGATGCATCTGTTGCAGCTTGTGAGCAGAATTAAATGGATAGATGTATAAAGAACTATGTGCTCTTGTAAACTACTTTTCTCATAAATATACTGTTTGTATAAATATGAGTTGATGAGATGGCAAAAAAGAAGAAAGAAGTCGACCTGCAGCTTTTACCGCTGTGTCAATGCTAATTGTGTCGGTGTAACCAGGGAGCTTGCAAGCATGCAGCAAAATGACAACCCCATTCTCAACATTGCCTACGAAGCTCTGGTTAGCCAAAATAGCCGTCAGCGAACGCGACACCTGGGGCCCGCGACCGGGCCCAGGAGCCGCCCTTCTCAAGTCCACCACCACATTCCCCATGCATCTGGTTTAGCAGTTATTGAGAAATCTTCTCCCGAGCCGAAGGGACGCGCGGTCCTCCTCGCGAGTCATCACCAGAGGAGCCAAAAAGATATCACTACTAAAGCCACAAGGATGGATGGAATGGAGAGGAGGCAAGTGGATAGACACTCTTTCTATCACCACAGCCCTCCCCCGCCCCCTCCCGCAAAACACCCCACCCCTCGTTTCCTGCGACTGGGGCCCTCAGCCAGGAACAGTTGCACACCCTGATAAGCCCGCTCGAAGGGAAGCCTATGCATACTGGTAATCAGCGAGCTGGATGCATGCAATCAAGAACAATTACAAGCTCTCATCGTGTTTATGTAGAGGCCCCTTTCATGCTGCTTAAGTGAGGGGCAACTGCGCGATTCAAGTCACACGGTTAAGAGGGCGCACCTCCGCCGGAGTTTGTTCAGGTGGGATGAAAAGTAAAGTGAAGGCCAGATAGAATGCAATGCAAGGTTTTACAACTGCAGTTTCTCTGCCGCCAGCAGCTGCTTGCCTGAAAGGCTTCGCAAACAACTGCAGATGCCGACAGGCAGCGATGTTTGGAAAAAGAAAAAAAAGAAGAAAAAAAAGGCTGAGAGCACTCGAATGTTTAACAGGTGTTTGGGACGATTGAGCGGAATGCATATTGAGTAACCGAGGGCCGCGGAAAACAGGCATCCGTCAAACCCGGGTGCGGACAGAGGAGCGTGAGTACAGTATGAGTTCTGTTCAAACACATGTGCAAAATTGGATACAGACCTTCCAGTTATGTCTTTTCTCCGTGACAGGAGGAAGATTTGCAGTGACTGACCCTCTGACGCCCTCTCCTAAGAGGTGTGGTCGTTCCCCGAGGGTTAATGGATTAAATCCATAGATTTAGATATTTAACTCTCAGCAGTACGGCAACACAGTTTGAGCACTCACAGAATATTTTAACAGAGTAGATTCATTTAATGGCATTTGCTAGTTTCCTGTTTGGCTCCATGAAGACATATTACGTCTACAAATACATTTCAACCCATGCTTACTGCTTACTGTATATGGGTGCAACAGGGGGGGGGGGGTCAGTTTGGTTACTGTGTAGTGCCTTGGGACTTCTTCCATTTGCCTGCAAACAGAGATAAATCTTTAGTTTGCTTTCTAGTTTCCTCAATTACGAAGATAACACATGCGAGTTGTGGTCCATGGACCCCGCAAGTAAAAAATGCATGATTACGCCCATTAACATTTCTTCTGCCTGAGAAAGTGACAATAAAAGGTCTTCAAAAGAGCTGGACTTGAACTCTGAAGCCACCTTCCTTTTTCAGTTTTTAATGTCAGCTCGGTGAGCAGAACATCTGTTCCTACAGCTTTGCAGTGTTTTTAAATCCTCTCAAGACTAGAAGGAGTTGCCTGTCGGGTTGTTGTTGGATGAAAGCTTTTGTCGGACAGCGCTTTGGCTCCCTCACTAGTACATCCTGATGCCATGTTGTAATAGCTTTATCTAGCGCAGGCTTCTTTAAATGACGCCTAATTGGGGGTCTTCGCCGCACCCTTTCCTACTGTGGCTCCATGAGGCAATCAACCTGCCGCGTTATCGCCACATCTTAATAAAAACTAAAATGATTGGACCACAACCCAGGACTTCCCATAGAAATAGGAAAAGGAGGGAGGAGGGATGCGGTTAAAAGGCAACCGAAAAAAAACAAAACAAGAAAACATCCTGACCTAAAACGACATGTGTGAGTGGGCTTTCAATACACAGGATGTAGAGAGCGTTTGGTGGGTTCGGCATGTCGGCGAAGTAGAAAATGCAAGAAAAAAGAGAAAATAAGTTGTCACGCAAGCGACGGAGTAGACCACACAGCAGGGAGGAGCTTCGTGTATGTGCGATATGATTAACGACTGCAGTGTTTAAAACATTTACACGTTGCAAAAGTGTTTGGCATCCAGCAGCAGGTTTCAGCTGTGTGATGAACTCTTTCTGGGAAACATTGGTTTAAAGGAGTTAAGTAATTATATCCTAGAATTTCCAGCAGCCACATAGAACAGAATATTTGTTGAATGTGTCTTTTGTGGGACAATCCAGCTGTTTAAAATGCGTCCCTCACATGTTAGTTATTACAGGACGCATGATAATTACATAAGAGCTGGACACAGATGTACAGTTTAGGGCCTGTTTACTATACATGGGAAACCACATGTTTGTTCTCTCTTCTTTTTCTCCTGACAGTTGAACACCCCGAGCCGTATTCGTGGTAGAAACACCATCAATTTGGGGGGACATGGTTAACTTCAAATGTTAAGAGTCCTGTCAGGGCTGTGCAAACAGATTCATCTGATAATATTTGCAATTTTTCTAGGTATGTGTCCGTGTATGTGTGTTTGCATGCAATGTTGGTTTAAGGTCACGGTTAAGGTCACAGCAAGGCCTGTTGAAACCCTGTACGACTAGAATCCATTCCAACCACATGTGCAGTTTTATGTTTATATTTAATTCTATGTTGATACATAGTTATGCACCACAATTATCGTTTAGGTGTTTGTTTATTGTACACTTATTTACTCATTGTACAGATAACTCCCCGTGTCAGCTTCACGAATCAGACATTCATCTTCCATCGCTGTGCTTTGAACGCGAGCAACAGAAACACATAAAAACAGGGCGTCGTCAAGCGTTTAGCCTGAACCGGTGCAACATGGTGCTTGCCGTACCATTTCATTTTATAACTAGCAGCATTGCTACGTTTTCAGTTTAACCTGATGCTGTAATCGTGGAGGTCATTGAGAATTCATAGCTACTATAAGATTTTCAGTCAAATGTGTTTATTTTTGCAGGTTCAGCATATAAATGTTACCTTTCGCGCGTTTAGATGATTGCAATCAGTTGATGAACGTTTTCTCAAATACCAAAGCGCCGTGCACACTTTACTCTGCTTTAATGACGTACGTTGCCACGGGGCCTTTGCACAGCAGACTGGAGCAGATCCTGAAATAGAATTGAACAGAATTGCGAATCAGGTTTGAAGTTAGATTTTAATCATTAGATAGCGAATGATTTCTCTACCATCTGTACAATAAGTGGACCTGGTCATGCAGCCACTGAAAGTGTGCTGGAAATGGCTGAAGGACTTGAAAGGTGCTCCATGAATGCAGCTCCATTCACCATTTACTTTGCAAACCATTTTAGTTTGAAACTAGATACTAAATATCCTAAGAATCCAGTCCTGAACTTCACCCTTTCAACTATCTCCTCTCATGTCACATAACTGGCCGTTGCCACGAATGCTTCGGCTGCCACTGAAATAATGAAGCGAGTGATTGACCCTTGCGTGACCAATCCATTCCTGAGTGAAGCTCATGGATTTGGACCCTGCATCTGTTGGACACGGCTAATTGCAAACAGACTCACCAGGATGAGAAAAGGGAATGTTCTCCGTGTCTTCTGTATAAATGTCAGGCCCAACAAACGTCTGTGTTAGATTACCGTGGCAGGAGTGATAAGCAGATGTAAAGACCCGTGGGGGTTATTTATTATCGGGGGGGAAAAGCGTGGAGGAAAAAAAAGGGCCAGAGCACTCCAGTGAGAGCAGCGCTGCGGAGTAAATAATGCGCTCTCATGCAATATTATGTCAGGGCAGCGCGCCTCCCTCTTGGGATCATACACCGGATTGGATATACAGCTCGTGCGTTTCTCCCATCAAGTTTCAAAGTACTCATGTAGGAACGAGGAATGTGAAAGTTGATAGGGGAAGCGTCAGAAGGTGCCTCTGAGGTTATGTGAGAAGACAAACATGTGCATTCATTGAAGTTGCTTTATGTCAAACAATTCCACGAATAATGTTATAAGAAGTAAGAATGTATAATGAGATACTAAAATGTGGTTCTGTATCCTCTGTTTGCAGTGAAATAGCAATATAGTTCCCTAAAAGTCACATTATGAGAATTCTGCACACGGCACTTTAACTTATTTAACTTAATTTATAGTTAACTTATAATAGATGAGCAATAAAGTATATTTTAATATCAATAAGCAAACAAAAGAAGATTAATGAAGGCATGGCAAATATGCTTATAAATGTGTTATAGCCTTCTATTAACTGTATTATAATGCCATTATTAACACTTATATAGGCTTATAAATGTTAATAAGCATCTTGTAGGGACTTGCAAGGGCCTTATTACCTATTAATTAATAGTTATTACAAAGACCTTAATATAAACGTTACCAATGTATCTTTTAAATAAATGCAACCTATGTTTTTCACAGCAATAAAACATGGACATTAAAGAGGTAATTATGACATGTTTGAACTCCTAACACAAGATCTAAGCAGCTTAAAATACATAACTAAAACTATATTCCAATTATATAATTAGAAACTCGTTGTTTTATACAAATAACTACTGTGGATGACATAACAATGTAAATGGTTGAAATTTAGAACTGTTGATGGTTTACACTTTACGTCAGTTGAAATGATTTTAAGGACCATGGTGAAAATATAAAAATATAATCCGTATATGAATTAATGACTCCTGTATTGTGTTTAAACCCTGGTTTAATAAACCCTTATCTGTGATTGATTTGTTCTCACTCACGGTTGTGATTGTGTGTGATGGAATGTTTTGCACTACATTGTGTTTGGGATGTTCCTCCACCCAGCTTTTCCTCCTCTGCTGCCTCGGGACCCCTTTCCCAATGTTTGTTCAATGTACTCTTGCTTGGAGGACTGAATAGCGCTCAAAATGGCGCGAAGGGAGAAAGAGCACCACCAGTCTGCTGATGGTTGACACGATCCAGGCCTGTTTTATTGAGCCTTTGGCCACTGGGTGAACTTGCGGCCGTCACGCAGCCCTTGAAACAAACACCTCACCAACACGCGCCAGAGGAAGCGCAGCGCTCCCTGTCTCCATAGGTTATAAACTCCTCAGGAGAATATTGTGAAGTATGTGGATACTACAGAACCAGCTACCACATGTAGATTATAAATTAAAGTTCGCCATGGCAACCACCCACCTTCCTTCAGGTCTTTGTCGATGGAAGTGATGGACTGTCGGTGCTTTGGATTGTGAGAGAGGCTTTTGACCCTGTGATGTTTGTGTATTTGGGATGAAAGCTGAAGAACCTGCATCTCGAAGCACTTAATGAAAAGGAAGGAAGCTGCTCGACACTCTGCTTTTTTTAATGTTTCGGTGGCACTCAGTGGATAGGGGCTCACTTCCCCACAGGTAACACAATACAATGTAGAATGTAGTATTAGACGACCAATCCAGATTAAGTCCTTACCAGGGTTTTTATGTGCACATGGACAAAGGATTCATACAGACGTGTGTGTCTAATCATACTTTGAGGGGTTTCATTCGTCTATGGGACTTTCCAAGTTGAAGGCACACTCTTGAGTAATGAGTGCTGAGTAAATGAGTCTGGTATGCGAAACAGAACCAACACAGTTGGTCACGCAAAAATAAAAATAAAGTTCAGTTCCAATATGCCTCTCGGCGCAAAAGGGAGTCAGATGACAGCGGCTCAGCGGACGTTTGATGGGGCCAGACAAGGCTCCTCTTCAACGCGGAGACCAGTGTCAATAGGTTTTAGTATGTCCCTCGGCAGAATGGGGGTCATCTGACAGTGGTTCAGCGATACACGTTTCCTCTGCAGGTGGCAGTTGAGTGTAAAGTGTATTCAACACCATCCCGTCCCCCCGCGAGTCAACGCGAAACATGTCAAAATCAAAGAGAGCAGAGGAATGTTATTTATGAATCCAACCCTGAATCACCAGACAAAAACATTAAGATTGGGAAACTCTGCCAAACCTTGGATTATGTTCGATACTAATTTATTTTTCCAGGGCTTTTCAAAGGGATTAAGAATTGATTGGCTGGTTACAACTTCAGACCAAAGAACGTGTTTTTTACAATCGTAATCCCATACTTGGAATTCATTAAAAGGGTTATTTAAATAAATAAATGCTTATTGAGTATCACACTACATATTTGAAACATCTTTCTCAGGAATTTGCTTCACTGCTCCCTGAGAATTGCGGTCAGATTAAAACGGAGCGAGGTCTCTTTGTGGGCTTCCTGTTTCGAATCCAAAGGGATTGTGATGTGTGGAGATAACAGCTCAGACTAAATGAGCTGTCTTCAACGAGGACAGACTGATGGGACTGATCCCCCCGGTGTCTTCCTGCCTTTGAGGATGTATTTTTGTCTTTCCGCCAACACATTTCCCCTGTTTCTCTCTTCTCTCTTTCCCCCTTATTCCTCTTTTTTTTACCGCTTTTATCGCCTTCTATTCTAACACTATCAAAATACATTGCAAGCGTAATGCATCCTCTGCACTTGATTAAATTCTCTGCCACTAGTCAAGCAGAGAGTCGTCAGCCGGGGTCGAAGTGGACTCATGTTAACGTATCGCAATTGGACTCGAATGAGATTACATGAGGTGACTGCACAGCGCAGGCCAACCAAACGCTGCAGAAACACACACAGCATCAACCAGCTCGTCGACATGCCCACGATGCCCCAGTCTACCGTTCAGGAAGTCAAACTGACGCCAAAGTCATAAACGTTTTCTGGCGCTGGGACCAACTGTTGAGGCTTGGCTGCTGGAGTTGATAAGCACCCGCAGGGTGGCAGCGCCGGCCTTATCGAGCTCGGGCCAAGGCAGAGGACCTCTGCTATCGCTGGACGCCCCGGCACAGAGAAAAATCCTCTTATCTCCCCTCCGCTGGGGGGGGTAACACTCCTTCCGGCCCGTCCTCTCACTTCAGGTCGTGCTCTCGTCTGACCTGGTGGGGGATTGCGGTTGATGGAGCCGAAACAAGAGGCTCGGAACCTCCGCCGGGACGCTACGTGCTCGCGGTGCGCTGAGCGAGGCTCTGTTCACGCGGACAGTGTTTATTTTCAGAGAGAGAAGTTTGCTACCACTTGAAAGCAATCGGATTTAAACACAATAGCCGTGCGTCTGTCAATGAGGTAATAGGAAATCTGATGTTGATAGAGTATTGCAGGGTGGAAAGTCAGAGCAGAGCAGAAAACAACTGATGAAATGCAGTGGTCAAAGGTCACATTTTACATCACATCAAATGACATGTTTGGCCGTAACTCAACTATACCATACAACTGCATGGCAGTATTTCTAGTTTAAGCATTAATACACGTATCGAGGCCTTTTGGACACTGGGGGCCTTCACTTATAGACAACATGACAATGCTAAATACTCAGCAATGTGAAATCACAACCGTTACAACACTTTGTTGGGATCTGGTAGGATAATAAAAATTAGAATTATAATTATCTAATAATGTAGTGAAGGATGAAAAGTACAGCACTTCTTTTCTGAGATTTAGTCGAGTCAAATATAACATTTGGAAATAATGTTAACTTTGTTGGATTGCACCGTTTGTAATTTATTACGTACAGTTTCTCAGCACTTCCTTTGAAATGGGAAGCAATGTGTTTTATCTTATCCGACAGGAAGCCACCTTCTTGGGGTCCGGTGGCCCTCATTCAAAATGTACCTGACAGTGTTATCAGTGTATAATGATAAAGAAAAGCTGCTCTCATTGGTGTTATCAATGTATAATATATTAAGATCTAATCAATACTATGGGAGTCTTGTTTTAAAATGCTGGAAGCTTTGGTATTGAAGACATAAGGCTGAACAATCATTGTCAATTTTTATTACCAAGCAGGTGTGGTCGCAAACTGTGGCTGCTTCTTGGCTCAGTTGAAATCCACGTGAAGTGACCTTTCCTCCCCACTTCTGCAGTGTTCTCCTTCCTCCTCGCCGGTTTACATCTGACATCCAGCCAAAGGGCACCTGCCGCTGGAGGCCGCGTGCGTCTCCGCCGGGCCAAAGTAAATTTCCTTCCTAATCTCTGGTGTAATACTTCACGCTATTTAACCTGTTCCGTAATCAGCGGAGGGAAACAAACTGCAAAGATTGGCATCGACAAGTGACGCTGACTAATGAGTCGGTGCCTACGTGGAGACGCGTAATAGAAATGTATATTTTTATAGGTGATTATAACATTGTATCAACAAGCAATGGACGCTTATTTGTTTTCGCAGCCCCACTTCACTGTCAATGAAGCACAGTTTTTGATTATGCGTTAGCTGGGAGAAGTTTTGCTTTAATTTGTTCTTTATATAACTCCTAATTTTGTAGTTATTCCCTATTTAAAAGCACAACTAAAATGTGTAACGGGTAACCTAAATAACCTATTTAGGTAACCCTAAAAAGCATGCATGAGCAGTATGTAAGCGTGGTTTATAACAGCACTGTGTTGAAGCGTTTTCCCCCTCGCTGCAGATTGTTGGTCATCCCAGGAGTCTCCGGTCCTCATGTTTCTACTGTAATAGACAAAAGCATCACATCCACTGGTGTTTCAATTAAATTATGCGTGTAACAAGGCCAACATAGTCTGACGTGCGTAATATCCTTTACTTTTTAAACTCCCAAATGCATTTAATATTACATAATGGAAGTCCGATCTATTCAACTCAAACATTCTCATGTCAGTCAATATTGTGTGTAATTGTTAATTATGGTAATAATTGTTTACTCGGGCTCACGCAGCAGCATCGGGTGACGTAGATTATGTCTTCATCGTAGGAACAGAAGGCCACAGCAGAGCCAACCTTGTTGGAATCGTACCAAACAATCTGTGCACAGAACATGGATTTCATCCCGGGTTTATTGTGACTGTCTGTGTTTATCTCTTTTTAATCATTCCAGCCAATTGTTTGCTGGCTTTCAGAAATATTGTTCCACCTGGTACCTGGTGAGTTACGGTTAAAGAGGAGGAGAGAGATCCTTTTGTAGACATAGTTAGAAAAGAACAAACAAACAAACAAACAAATAGACTGTATTAGATGTGACCAAACTACATCAGAGGGCCAAGTGAACTTTAAGTAATGTGATTCTTCTGGGTGTCGGTGTAGAGATTCACATCACGTTACGGTCTAACGTGATGTTTCCAATTAGTTTTTTTTAAATCTCTGACAAGCTTAAAATGCTTGAAATACATCATTCAAACTTGCCAAGTAACGCAACCAATTTCTTTGAAGCATGGTTTCCTTTCACAACAAAAGGCGCTCTCGTGAACGTATTGCGGTTCTCCATCTAATCTACATGGATTTGTGAGGGCCGCGCTTCACGCAGCAGGTGTTGGTCCATTCCCGAGCCCAGCGGGCAACGGGTTCGGGTTCTGCCTTCGGCAACATGCAGGGCCACAGGATGCACCACGAAACCTACCGAGTGCTGCAAATGTGCTTCACGAGGGAGCATGGTGACATCAAATCAAGCACTAATAGGCTGGAACGTTCTGAATGAATCCATTCTCAGAATGATGATGAGCGAAGCACGTTGCGCTTTCCACATTATGAATCGTTTTAATCCATTATCAACATGCTGCTGGCAGGAGGCTCTACGTTTCCTCTCAGTTTGTTATGTAAAGAAAAAATTATACACTCAATCATATACACAGTTTGATTTCCTATTTCACATTTTCACTTAGAGACGACGACACGGCGCACAGCCATTTCTTGCACCTGATGTTTAGCCTGAACTTTTGCCACAATCATTCTTTTTTATTTACCGCTGTGTACAGATTGACAACAATAACTCAACTCTTCTGCTTTAAATGTACAGGGTCCAACTTGCTCTTCTGGCGATTCACAATAAAGCTTTGAATGTGGATTGGAAAATGAAATTGATAAATTAATAATCTACAGTAATCTCAATAAACTACCAACTAACAAGTTGCTTTGTTGTTTCACACAAAAATGTGCTATTTTAAAATCATTTTGTAGCCTGTTGTAGACTGATCAACAATTTCTGACGAGGTATTCATGTAATGTTTCTGGAAATCCAAATTGGGTAATATTTTAAAGCCTTCCTGCTACGAGCCTAATTATCTACCAATAGTCCTGCATTCCGACAGGCTTACGAGGACATCTGGAAGTCGACTCTTCAGCCTGTGATCCTGCTGTCCGCCTGAGTCGTCTGTTCCACCTGCCACACTCACACATGCACATGAACTTGAAACGACAACCTCAAGTGTCTTGAAGGTGCATTATCACTCCTCGCCTGCAGGAGGCGACTCCTTTGGTGCGGTCTCCTCCGCTCATTGGTTGCAAAACGCCAAGATGGCGACGGCCTAATGGCTGAACTCAAGGCGTCGCAGCGGCCTTCTACAAACCAGGAGATGATGTCACAGCGACTACATCCACTTCGTATATATCTTATGTGTCCAGTCCATACAACTTTCAAACTCAACTTTACTCAACTTTTCTTTTTTTTCTTTTCTTTTTTCTTTTTCTTTTTACAATCAAATGAACACAGAACCTTTGTTATATTTAACAAAAAACAATAAGATACATAAAACATATCATTTCAATATTTAAAACACATGCTAATACAGCAATCTGTCTCACTACTTGACCTCTAATTCTTCTAATCTTCTTTACACAAATGTTCCCAAGGAAGTTGTAACTGTTTTGGCCATTAACATTTTCTTCAAAGCCTTCCGATCCTCCCGGAAGCTTTTGGAAGAACATTCTTGGGAAAAAATAAAACTGCATGTAGAAACTGACTACTTAGTCTGAGCAGGAAGTACCGAAGCCCGATGATTGAACCGTCAGGCTATTGCATAAAAAATAGGACGGCTTTTACTTTGCTTGTATACAAAGTACAAAGTAAAATGGAGTATTTTTTACATTTTCATTTGTTGTTTTACAACCGTAAATGATCTAAATATCTCTTCCACCACTGATTACAACGTGCTATGTAAAAGGAGTTTGGAGTATTTTTTAACATTGCTCTCAATGTTGCACACTGCCGAGAACAATTAAAAGAAAGATGGATTAAGATATAATGCCGTTTAAAAAAAAGTTTAACAAAGAAAGATTAACAATAAATAATAAAATACAATAAAATAAAAACTTCTTCTGCAACAGGTAAACGACAATGAACAGTGTATAAAGGGTTGAAATAGATATCCAATGATTCATTTAATAGATCACTTTAAACACATGTAGATGGATCATGTCTGTGCCGGGAGAAGGTTTCCTCCTCGGGTGTGTTCCTCTTTTTTCCCCTCGTGGAAGCTTTACGGCCGGGGGAGCTTTTCTTATACATTACCCGAATGCGTTTCTCAATATCACTAAGAAATACGAAATAGTCACCAACACAACAGCGCGATGATAACCACCGCGTCGTTTTGCTCCCCTCCCGCGACGAACACGCGCAGGTGCAGCACCCACTGCGCATGCGCAGACGCGTCGGGAGCCCGGACGTCGCCAGACAGCATCATCAACGGGTCTGTAGCCGAGCATCCTTCCTCCACAACGAGAAGGATCTTCTTCCTTTTTTTATTTGTGCCTCCTGTTTTTTCTTTTCTTTTCTTTTTTTAAATTCTCTCCATCTCCGCCGCGTGGAAGCAGCGCGGAGGGAGCAGAAGCCATAAGATGAAGAAACGTTACGTGGACGCGAGCAGGCTGCGGAAAACGAAGAAAATGAAAATAACGGAGAGGCTGTCTGAGAGGTGGGTGACGTTAGCGCCGCTTTTGTTGTGGTGCCTCCGTCTTTGTGTGGATTCCATCCGTCGTCATCCGGGCTCACCTGTCTGCCGGGAGGCGTCCCCGCGTCCCCGCGGCTCGCGCGTTACGCGGTCACCGGTCCGGTGTCTGCGGGTCGCCGCCTCGGTTCGGGTTTATCCGCGCGGACGTGCGCGTGGAGAATGTCGTGCGAGTTACTTGCCCCGTTATTGTTTACAGAACAGACGGAGATCCGTGCAGCATCCGTGCAAGTTAACGTCGGCCTGCTTCTCCTCGGCTTGTGGCATCTCTTCCCCCCCAAATTAGGCAAAATAATTCGTTCACTTGACGTTTTTTTTTTTTTTTTTAACGATTGTATTTTCCTTTGAGGCCAAACAGCTACTTTTGCAGAAAAACACAATTTGAAATCGCCCAGACAAGAGTCCTGATAAGAAAGCAAAAACCACTTCTTTTAATTGAATTGCTTAACATGAGTCAATTAAAACAGATCAGCCCATAAGATTATATGTGTATACAAACACTGACTTCTTTTGTTGTCATGAATTTGCAATAAAAAATATTTTTATATTATACCTACTGTATTTGGTAATAATTACACTAAAACCAATTAAATCTCCTCCATATCACCCTCCTGACTCCTCAGCTTGTACCCTTAGTACAAGCAAATTTGAAGAATTGATGATGCATTAGTCCTTTTTTTGTCCCTCACTCTTTCGGACTAATCAAAGCATTTTATTGTTGCGTATTGTATGAATATAAATGACCTGTGAGTTAAATTCAAATATGTTTCACATCAGACACATTAAAAGGGGACATTTAAAACTTCCATGTGCAATAGGATGCTGTGGTGCTCCCTCTCCCCCCCAGATGAAATATTGCCATGGTTACCAAACAAAGAAGGGGTGATGTGAATCCATCGACAAGCAGAACAAAGGAGGAAACCACAGCTCGTGCTTTTAGCCCGTGGCCGCCTGATGAAAAGAATTAGGGAGCAGTTATTGTTCTGTAGTGCCTCTACTTTAAAGGACTGACCGCAGTTTTAAGATGCAGCTGCTCAATTATCGGCCTAGCAACATGTAACAAATTTGTCTGGTATTGGCTTTTGTGTGTGTGTTAAATGTTTTGACTTGAGAGGCGTCTTTATGTGCCAGAATCAGAGCCTCGAATACAAATTGGTTTCACGTTTATCGCGACTGGACACCCCCCTTGATGTGTTATGGATGCTGATAACAGCAATGCACTGTTGTCTGTTTGCAGTGCTTACACCTTCCTGAAGTTTATGATGATGTGGACGCTGGTGCTGCTGGCAGATTTCATGCTCGAATTCAGACTTGAGTACTTGTGGCCATGCTGGCTCTTCTTTGGGAGCGTGTACACCACGTTCCACTGCCACGGGCTGGTGAGCAACCTGCTGTGTGAATGATCGTAATCCCACACATTTAAAAAAATGCATTTTTTACTGAAACTTAATGTTGGTTTTTTTGCAGGTTATTTGTGTGGTTTTTGTCTGTGCCGCCTTCACTCTGGACATCTTTTGTTTAATTTTTGTGCCTTTGCACTGGCTGTTCTTTGTGGCGAGCACTTATGTGTTATTCAATTACATATGGCATACAGGTGAGTATTTGATTGTCCTTTACCATACACATGACAAAATGTGCTTTGTTTGTAGTGGATATGCACATTTTTTTTATGAGTTACTCACAATGCGATTGAATTATGAGTGATTTGATCGGATCAAGTACATCTGGTTACTTTTATCTGTCCGCAGAGAAGGGCATCTGTATATCGACGGTGTCCTTGTGGATTCTGCTCGTGTACACAGAGGCTTCGCTTCGACTCAAAGACCTTAAATCCTCTCACGCCAACTTGTCTCATTTTTTCGCTGCACACTGGTATGTTGATTTAACGCAAATCTTTCCTCCATTCATAAAAAATAATACACTTTCTTACATTAATTGATCTGTTTGATCATGTGTGATATCATGACTTCTTCTTCTAACTGTGCCTTTCCCCTTTTTGTATCCAAATCCAGCATTGGATATCCTGTAGTGTATTTGGGGTTTGATGCCACCTGCTACTTCACCAACATCTTCAAGCTGCGCATTCAGAAAGCTGTGCAGAGTGAGAATGACTTCCACATGCACCTCCTGCAGCATTCGCTCCCTCCGGGCCTGCAGGTTTACCCCAAGACTGGCACGGACGGCGGCGGCGGTAAGTTATCTTCACCATCTATTACTACACACACACACACATCCGAGTTTGTGCGATCACTTAAAGCAGTGGATCGCCACAACAACGGCACAAATGAAGAATTACCTGTTACTGGGCTTCGATGTTCCTATATTATCATAGTCCCCTTATGATGGTTTGACAGAAACTCCTGAACTGTTCATTCTTCAATGTATTATCGTCGCTTCAGTGAAATCTCACATTAAAAACTGTGAAAGTGTTAGGCAACTTTTAAAGTCAAAATCTTACACAAAGTGATGGAATTCTCACAATGCAAAAACTTCCCTTTCCTCCAATCCAAGTGCAGCAAACTTTCCAACATCCCGGCAGCTAAGTTGAGATCACTTCACCCATTTTTTCTACCTGTACCCGCAGGCTCAAAATGGAAGATGAAGCCCGAGTCCACTCAGTATCAGTGTCAGAACGGCACGGCAGTGACCCACGATGAGGTGCACACGGCGGACTGCCTCCAGATCCGCAGCGAGGAGCGAGCGACGGAGAAGGGAACGCAGGAGACGAGGCCTGCCGAGCCGAACCGGCAGCCGCTGACCTCCAAACCCGGCGAGCCCAGGGACCTGCTCCAATGCGGGCCGGGGGGACCCGAGTCCCCCGCGGCCCCCGAAAACCTACCTCAAGACGAGCAAGGCGGCAAAGCCACGCGGACGGCTAAAAGCTCCTCGCCGAAAACCCGCGGAGGCGGCGCCAACACCCCTTCGCCGCCCGCGGCGAGGACGGAGAAGAAGCAGAGGTCCGGCTCCAGGACGTTCTGCCTCAACCAAGAGGCGGCGGAAAAGAGCGCCGCGGCCGCTTCGAATCACCACGCCGAGCAGATCATCAAGTAGGCCGCCGTCCACCAGTTTGAAATCAGGCCTGTGAGGGTGAAAATCAGAGCGAGAACGTCTCCCTCCCTCCCTCTCTCTCTCCCTCCCCCCCTGTGACCGTCCTTCAGGCAGGAGCAGGAGCTGAGGAGGCTGCGCGGCGAGCTGCAGGTGAGCAGGCAGAGCGAGCAGGAGCTGCGAAGTCACATCTGCAACCTGACCAACAGCGAGCGGAGCCTGAGACCAGAGGTGTCCCTGCTCCGGCAGTCCAACATGCTGCTCCAGAGCAAGTGAGTCATCCAGCAGACCCGCTGCCGAGAGCTGGTCTCTGGCACCTTCTGTGGGCGGTTTGACACATTACATCAGTCTATAAATAAAGAGAGACAAGGAGGATTGCGTGCAGAAATGCTGCCAGGACGTTGGCTGTCTTTTGTTTGTAAGCTCATGGATTCCTCTTGGTTCTCATTTACGTTTCGGGGCTGCCAGTGACACAATCCATGGAACCCCTTGAGTCAATGTGCCGAGCATGAATTTGATCGCGCTAATCTAATCTAATTCCCCGTGTAATCGGCGCATTTCTCTCGTTGACTTTAAAATGTGGCTCCACAAATTTGCTCTGTGAAAACAGATTCATGCTCCATACTAGAGGCATAACAACGAAAAAAAAACGGTCCTCTGAAGATTGATTTTGTTGCACAATCCATCCACTAACATGACCTATGAAAACATCTTCAAACACACGCCCGCCACCCAGAGGATTAAAATCTTGTCTGAGATGAGGATGTTCTGCAGATTTGGGATCAGCGGCAGCTCTTCAAATAAGACTCGCTTCAGATTTTGAAGCAATGGCGATCTCCTGCAGCCGTAAAGACTTTCTGGATGTGCTCCCGCTGAAGGCATTATGTAAAGTGAGCTTATTATTACTCTTTTTTCCATTCAGGATTCTGTGCCTGAGTAAAACCAAGCAGAGGGACAAACAGAGCAGCGCGATGCTGGAGAAGAAGACCAGAGCGGAAACGGAGGCCAGACTCTTTGTGGAGAAGCAGTTGGCTGAGCTTCAGGCTCAGAAACTGGAGGAAGCAGCCGTCGCAGCACGAAGTCTCACCAACAGGTAAATCCCGTCTGTCGCGCCTTTAAAAGGCCTCGTTATGGAAGTGGAGGCTTTTTTTGGCCGGGAAAGTGAAGCTGAATCTGTTAATTTTAAATAGACCAGTGGCCAAAACATTGGAGGAAAAACTGCGAGTTGCTCTTGTTTGCTTTCTTGCCAAAAGAGAGATAAGTGAGCCAGCTGCTGGTTGGCCTCTAGTCTTTGTGCTAAGCTAAGCTAGCATTCAATACAATGACTATTTACTAGTACTAATGGGATGTCCATATTTTATCTGTATCAGAATGCAGTAACCTTGTTTTCATCCTAATTACATAACACTGTAAATAGTTAGCATGCTAGCATGGGTGTCAATGTTCTCATCTAAGTCTTAGCAAGAAAGTCAATGGGTGTATTTTCCAAAATATTGAGCAATTGCTTTAATGCACACATTACATTTGCTTTGCATTTCATGTAACATTTAAGTTGTAATGTACAAACAGCAAATGAATGCAATTGAAATGTCATGTTTCTTTTTGTGTGAAGCTGGTCTTCATTTCCAGCAAAACCCGTCTCTTACTGCTCCAAACTGTTACTTTCTCCATCTCCTACACCAGGCAGGAACACTGTGAAACCCAAATGTTAAGGAAAAGAGTAAAAGATCTAGAGACAGAGTACAAACAACTACAGCTGGAGTGTCAAGTGAAAGAGAGTCGTGTGCTAGATCTAGAAAGTGATGTTGAGGTATCTTTTCACACTATTTTGGGAATGAGTTTAAATGTCTGTGGTCCAGTACTTGGTTGTCCTCAGTTTGGTCTTGTAGTTGTTGTTGTTTTTTTTGCTGAGTTCATATTTTTGTCTGTAAATCTTTGTCTTTGTAAAAATCTATTAGAAAACTGAATTGTTCATCGGGACCTTTCAGTGCGTTATGTCGTTTTTGGCCTGCAGTCAACATATTGCACTTTGTCATCACAACCGTGTGCAGTGATATTGTGTGGTTGCTTTGTTGTCTTTGAATAAGTGTGTGAACATCGTTGTGATGTTTGGTAATTGATTTGATTTGCACACTCCACTCCATGAAGCATGCAAAAGCCCGGTCTTTCAAAAAAACATTGCACTGCTATAATAACGGTCACCTCCTTTAAAATGTTTAAAGTTCGATGCATGTACAGAAAGAATCATCCCTCAGCGAATGGAAAAGATTGCAGCTTTCATGTTTTTTGAATGGCTGGCCGATTCATCGTGGAAATGCTTGTCTCTCTTGGTGGTGCATTGGTTTCCTAAGTCAGTGAGCCGCAGCACGTCTTTGTGACGGCTAACGAAACGTGGCCTTAATGAAATATCCCCCTCCCCAAAAAAAAAACAATACTTAAGAAACCAAAGCACGCAACCCCTGCGGTTGGTCACGGCCCGACGTTCTTACCTTCGATGTGTTTCCGCACTCAGGCTCTGGGAAAGTACCGCTGTGTGGAGAAAGAGACAGACATGCTGCTGTCCACTCTGTCGGCCATGCAGGAGAAGGCTCAACATCTGGAGTACAACCTGAGCGCCGAGACTCGCATCAAACTGGACCTGTTCTCCGCTCTGGGAGACGCACGCCGGCAGCTGGAGATTGCTCAAGGTTCCCGCTCTTTTTCCCTCGTGTGCTTTTAGTCCTTGTGCCAACTTCATTTTTAATGTGTGTGTGTGTTTGTTCTTGGGGCCGTGTTTGTGTCATTGTGGACGTGATGTTTATTCTTCCCTTAATTGGTCAAATAAACTAATATTTTGGCACAACGCACGGCAGATTTTGCAACACAATTTCCCGCATGAATAAATTCCCACGTCATTTTTTTGACAATATTACTGCTCCTAAACTTGCCAAATAGGTGTAAGGGGGGCGTTGTGCAAAATGTGGACATATCAACTGCCATACCTGCTAAATGCTGTGTCCATTTGCGTAGTTGTGGCGTTATGCGAACAGAATGAATACAACTCTGTAAGGGTTTTTCTGAATTTTCTGAGATTTTTCCCTAATTCTTTTTTTGGGCCAGAAGTAATATTATTGTGAGTGATTTAGGGTCCTAAACCCTCTGCAGCCATAGAGCGCTGCAGGGAGGACATATTTTTGTATTTTTGCAATGTTGTTATCGCACTTGTCGAAAAGCCAATGGGATTTTTCAATGGAGAAAATATTTTTTTATTCATCCCTGCTGGACTCAGTTAGCCAATCAGCACCCTGTCTGTTACTGTCTGAATTTACTTTTTAAACAATTAGTATTAAATAACCAGGGTGTAGCCTCGGTAAAAGTATTTGTTCATTTACGTGTTTTCAAATTTGAGTTTGACTTTATCCACGGCACTCACGGATGAACATGGTTTGTTTGGCAGATAAAGTGATGAGGCAGGACCGGGAGATCAGGCAGATGAAGCAGAAGATCGCGGAGGTGATGGCCGTCAGTCCCACAGTGTCCTACATGGCTCCTCGGCCTCCGGTCCCGCAGTATCTCACCAAGCTACTCAACTCTGAGCGCTACATGCTGAATCCACGAGCTCTGATGTACCAGTGTCTGAAGAAGTAAAGGACGACGGCGCCTTTCTCTGCTCCTCAGAACTTTAAGGTTCCCGGGGCGGATCTGGGTCGCAGAGCTGAAACGCCCCCCCTCCCACAAAGTCATCTACTTCCGGCCATGAGTGGAACCAGAACCTCCACAAGTCGAATGCCTTTTTTCTGCACTGACGGTGCTGACTTTACGTCGGGTGTGTTTCACTCCAAAATAACAAATCTGATATGCAGAGCTGCTCCTTAGGATACAGCAAAAAAAAAAACACCACGGTCGGGATCCAACAGAGAAAAAGCACAACATTTACCTGCAATTTACTTGCAATTCAGACCCTGAAGATTTGCCTAAATAGATGGTACCCGGATGTGTAAGTTCAAAATGTACTAGTAGATAAGTCGTGCTTCACTGCGGACCCACTGAACAACCCACCATAAAAGACCGGTTAACTCGCTACAACGTATTTGCTTGCATGACCGTAGAACCACACACAAAAATCATATTTTCAAAGTTTAAGTATTTTTCATGTGGATTTTGTGAAAACATTATTTGGATTTCTTTCGGCTACAATCATCAGGATGTTGAATTAGAATATAAATGTTATAATATTATTAATGCCACTTTTCTTATCGATACTTTTTATTGGTTCAGTTATTTATTGATTTTCTCATTGGTTATTTTCCATTACAAAATTAATTATTTAATACATTATTTAAAAATACAATAAATTCAGAACGTGATAGGAATCACGATTGGATTGATCATATCTAAAATACAAAGAAATGTTTCTAGGGCAGCAACAAAATAACAAACAGCAAAGTCAGTTTATAAACTCAACAATCCCCTAATCAAAACCCTACACGGGCTACGGTTAAAATGTCTTATTTTTATTCTCGATCACTGGCAGGAATGGACCACCAAAAGTCCCAGCAGACAGATGTGGATGCCTCTGCTTTTCGTACGGTGACGAGTCAGATTGTCTATTGTGGTAAAAGTCTTTAAATAGTTACGATATCACACTGCAACAGATTTAGGCCCAATCGCATTGTTCAAAACCTCTGAATGAATATCTCAATATGAATCATCAATGATCATAAATGATAATAATGAATTAACCCTAAAACCCTAATTATTGTGTTTATGACCTTGTTTATTTTGGGCACAAAATAAACCTCAAATACGAATTTAAAGTCCAAAAAATATTCTATTTACAAACAAAAAAACTTTCATATAGGTATGAACTGACATCATCAAAACAATGCAAAGTATTTATGGAATATATGTCTGTGTGGTAAGATCTAAAGTGTGTTTTTGGACCCTTGGTAGAGCTTCGGTTCACCGGCTGCTGTTTATTGGCGAGGCTTCCTGGCAGCAGGCCGGGAGTTCATGGCAACAACGAGCACTGGCGTTTAATCGTCGCCGTGGGAAGACGCCGCTAGAGAAGCTGGCACTTAGCAGCAATTATCTCTCTTTGTTAAACTAACCGCTACATCTGGCAGCTCCCGGCTGCGGGGGGACGGACCTCTGCAGAACAGAGGAAGTGGGACAAAAGCCCGCTGGATGGTTTGTTCTTCACGTGCGAGTCAGAAGCGGGACTTGTGAGCAACGAGGAACGTGGTTCACAAATTTAATTACTGTGCCTATATACATTACTTTCAAACGGGGAAGTAAAAACACAAAGTTAATGTGAACGAGTAATGTGTTTGAATTGAAGTGCTATGTACTGTTTTTGTATTGTTTTTTTTTGGTTTTGTTTTTACTCTGTAAAACTTTACACTGTACAGAATTGAAAGAAGAAAAAAAAACACGCAGCTGAAAAACACTCATGAACTGGATGTCGCCATTTTTGGTAGCTTTTTATTTTGAGTGTGTTTCTAGGGTGTTTTATATTAAAATATTTTTTAGTCTTGCTGTACCTTTATTATACCGCTGTAATTTTGTACGGCAATGTGTTTGTCAGCATGAAATGTGATTAATTCAACTGTCATTTGAGCACACATTGTGACTTTGTATGTACATGAATTACTTGTACAAGGGCTACAGTTTCTTAACATTTTGAACTAATAATGAATTCAAACAGTGATGCTCGGAGGGCACAGCTCATGCTCCTGACACACCACGATGGGTTTTTTTGTATAAATAATTGAAACAAATGAATTTTGTCTCGATTGGTTTCTGTCTTTTCATTGTTGGAATGCATTGAGATGCATTCCAAGTATTGTTCTTCGAATCTTTATTCTTCATCTTCATCCTCTCCTTCTATTTCTTCCGCGGCACCTTTCAACTCCTTCACACTTTCAGCTATTAAAACCGTTCAAATATTAAAATGTTCAGCTCCTTTCTGGCTTGAGGGCTATGACTTTTCAGCTTTCTACCTCTTATGCTTGAATTTATATAAATCAATAATCATTAATATTTTAACATGGTTTTCAAATGGAGTTTGCTTTCAAATCCTCCTAAACTTCTTCAACTTTCAGATTTTTCAGCTTCGCCAATCTTTCAGCTACAGACACCATTTCAACTCTCAAATGTTCACACAAGTCTCAACTATTTTATGAAAAAAACTGCTTCTTGATATCTATTGTACTTTTTTCATAATCACTGATTATGTTTCACTAGTTTTTCGCTCCGTTTCTGACTTTTACATGAGTGTGTATTGCGTCTGCTAGAGGCGGGGCCTCGCAGGCTAGAGTGTGGGGCATCGCAGAAATCTGGTTAAAAAAGTATGGAACTTCTGTCCTTGCAGCCAAAGTATACACTCTAGAGGCTTCATTTCTTCAGATTAATGAGGGTATGGTTGTGCTGATTGGATTAATGTGTTCATGGAATCTCAGAGTTTTTTAGTTTTGGCGCAAGGAGTGTTTGAGTGACACAACCTCTGCCAAAAGCCCCATAGGCTCCAATACAAATCTGCCGACATATTTCTCACAAAAATCCACAAGGTACACGTTCTGTCAACGGCCATAGGAGCCGTATTTATTACCGGACAGACATAAAAACACATCCACGCGTTCGGTAGAGTCTTGGGTCTCATACAAACGCCGTATTTTTTAGATAGCTGTTATAGTTTTGCGCTGGTTCTCATTTGTTTGAGGTGTGGATTCTGTGTAACTCGCTGTCCTGTGTCTGCACTTTTGCAGCCGCACAGGTGCGGCGTTGTCGTGGTTACGAGCACTCACATGCTGCAGGATCTGTCTGTGGCTCACAGCTGCTCGCTCCTATGTCCTGATTAGTGGAGTCACATGACGCAGCTATGCTTTCTGTCAACAGACCAATATGATAAAGACACTAGCCCCCCCTCCACCCTGACCTCTTCTCACTGTTGATCACTCTCAGTCAGTCAGTCAGTATGTCTGTCTATTTCTCCTCCTCTCTCTCTCCCTCTATCTCTTCCTCACCACCCCTCCCTTCCTCACCCTCTCACCCTCCCTCCCTCTATCTACACCCCCCCACCCCACCCAATCCAATTATTTCAAAATAAAAGCCCCATGGGAGGGAATTTTTACTGTAATGTTGTGATGAGGCCTATTAATTAAAAACTTCTTAGTTTGAATAACAAACATTCTGTCTCCCACTACGAATATTACTCGTACTTCTAGTACTACAACTGATACTTCTACTACCATACTACTAGTATTTCTACTGCTATTAATACTACAACTACTACTAATGTTATTACAAATACGACTATGGCTAATAATATTCCAGCTGTTTCTACTGCTATTGATACTAAACCTACTATTACTGCTTATACTGCTAGTACTACTAATACCACAATTATAACTAATACTACTACTAATATTACTACAAACAATTTTAAACAAATTTAAGCTCCTGCAACTTCTGTTTTTAGAAAATCTATTGAAATTCAGCTTCCCCACTTTCTGTATTTTCAGCAGTTCTTTAAAATAATTTCAGCTATTCTTATGCCTCTATCAACAGCAATGTTTTAATATTCATTTCTGTATTTTTTTGCAATATTTCAAATTTATTTCAGCTGTTTTCATTTCTGCTTTTTCAGCAAATCTATTGAAATTCCTTTCAGCTTCTCCCATTTCTGTATTTTCAGCAATTTCAAATTCATTTCAGCTTTTCAGCAAATGTATTCAAATTCCCTTCAACTTTCTGTATTTTCAGCTATTTTCAAATATTCAGTGCAGCTTTCAGCTTTTTGCATTCCAACGCATTTTCAGCAGGAAATGCCTTTTCTAGTTATTATTATATTTCTTCCGCGCCCCCTTTCAACTGCTTCCCATTTTCAGCTATTTAAACCGTTCAAATTTTAAAATATTCAGCTTCTTTCTGGCTTGAGGGCTATGACTTTTCAGCTTTCTACCTCTTATGCTTGAATTTATATAAATCAATAATCATTAATATTTTAACATGGTTTTCAAATGGAGTTTGCTTTCAAATCCTCCTAAACTTCTTCAACTTTCAGATTTTTCAGCTTCGCAAATCTTTCAGCTACAGACACCATTTCAACTTTCAAATGTTGACACAGGTCTCAACTATTTTATGAAAAAAACTGCTTCTTGATATCTATTGTACTTTTTTCATAATCACTGATTATGTTTCACTAGTTTTTCGCTCCGTTTCTGACTTTTACATGAGTGTGTATTGCGTCTGCTAGAGTGGAGAGCTCGAGGCTAGAGTGTGGGGCATCGCAGAAATCTGGTTAAAAAAGTATGGAACTTCTGTCCTTGCAGCCAAAGTATACACTCTAGAGGCTTCATTTCTTCAGATTAATGAGGGTATGGTTGTGCTGATTGGATTAATGTGTTCATGGAATCTCAGAGTTTTTTAGTTTTGGCGCAAGGAGTGTTTGAGTGACACAACCTCTGCCAAAAGCCCCATAGGCTCCAATACAAATCTGCCGACATATTTCTCACAAAAATCCACAAGGTACACGTTCTGTCAACGGCCATAGGAGCCGTATTTATTACCGGACAGACATAAAAACACATCCACGCGTTCGGTAGAGTCTTGGGTCTCATACAAACGCCGTATTTTTTAGATAGCTGTTATAGTTTTGCGCTGGTTCTCATTTGTTTGAGGTGTGGATTCTGTGTAACTCGCTGTCCTGTGTCTGCACTTTTGCAGCCGCACAGGTGCGTCGTTGTCGTGGTTACGAGCACTCACATGCTGCAGGATCTGTCTGTGGCTCACAGCTGCTCACCTGTATGACCTGATTAGTGGAGTCACATGACGCAGCTATGCTTTCTGTCAACAGACCAATATGATAAAGACACTCGCCCCCCTCCCCCCTCCACCCTGACCTCTTCTCACTGTTAATCACTCAGTCAGTCAGTATGTCTGCCCCTCCTAATTTCTCCCTCTCTCTCTCTCTCTCTCTCCCTCTATCTCTTCGTCACCACCATTCCCTTCCTCACCCTCTCAGCCTCCCTCCCTCTATCTACACCCCCCCAACCCACCCAATCCAATAATTTCAAAATAAAAGCCACATGGAGGGAATTTTTACTGTAATGTCTGTGGATGAGGCCTATTAATTAAAACTTTTAAGTTGTGATAACAAACATTCTGTCTCCCACTACGAATATTACTCGTACTTCTAGTACTACAACTGATACTTCTACTACCATACTACTAGTATTTCTACTGCTATTAATACTACAACTACTACTAATGTTATTACAAATACTACTATGGCTAAAAGTATTCCAGCTGTTTCTACTGCTATTGATACTAAACCTACTATTACTGCTTATACTGCTAGTACTACTAATACCACAATTATAACTAATACTAGTACTAATATTACTACAAACAATTTTAAACAAATTTAAGCTCCTGCAACTTCTGTTTTTAGAAAATCTATTGAAATTCAGCTCCCCCACTTCCTGTATTTTCAGCAGTTCTTTAAAATAATTTCAGCTATTCTTATGCCTCTATCAACAGCAATTTTTTTATATTCATTTCTGTATTTTTTTGCAATATTTCAAATTTATTTCAGCTGTTTTCATTTCTGCTTTTTCAGCAAATCTATTGAAATTCCTTTCAGCTTCTCCCATTTCTGTATTTTCAGCAATTTCAAATTCATTTCAGCTTTTCAAATATCTGTCATTTCAGCAAATGTATTCAAATTCCCTTCAACTTTCTGTATTTTCAGCTATTTTCAAATATTCAGTGCAGCTTTCAACTTTTTGCATTCCAACGCATTTTCAGCAGGAAATGCCTTTTCTAGTTTTACTTCATTTTTGACTTTTTCTTTCTGGGAAAACATTCTAGTGGTTTTCTTACACTTACATAATGCTGGTTCAAGGTAGAGCTTTCAATTCACATATGATGCTGGATAGTTTTATAATGCAACATATTGTAATTGTTATATATTTACACCCAAATCTGAATCGTTTACTACTACAGTATTTCTCTGAAATATTTTAAAGATGTATTTATTCATCAGTCACATGACAGGCTTGTCTCTTTGCTTTAGAGTCCTAGAAAGTGGAAAGTTTGAGATTCTTGTGAAAAACGAAGCAGTAATAGAAAGAAAAAAAAACTGAAAGCAGTTTTTTTTTTATATCCTAATTGTACAGAATTAAAAAGACCCACGTGGCTGAGAAACATGATTCTGTTAGACTTTCTTTAACATATTGCAGTAATATTGTGCGGCAATGTGTTAGTCAGCATGAAATGTGTTTAATTAAACTTGTATTTGGGGGGGCACACACACACACACACACACACACACACACACACACACACACACACACACACACACACACACACACACACACACACTTACATGAATGTACTGAGCTGCTTCAACAAAACAGTCCGTCTCAGATTAACTTTTTTTTCCATTTAACCCTCATTTTCTAAAGGTGTAAAAAGTATTTGCATCACGTTATTTGCCATTTCTTCAGTTTAAAACATTTTGTCCGTGTGCCCTGGTACTACACTCAGTTTGGACTTGACTGTATAATTCTTTTCCGGTTTTTAATAACACAATCAACATATTTATGATACCTTAAGGATGGGACCACTGCATTTATGTATGCAACAGAATACATTCCTTTAATCTTCTTCCACTTTCCTTGATCATGAAAATTCACACCAAACTGAATCCTGAAGTGTAGATATTTATTTCGGAGTGAAGTGAAAGGGGGTAAATGCATTGCAGTAATAGAGCACTGTGTCCAGCCTGGAGGGTATAAGATGGTTACCAGCAGAATCTTAGGCAGTTCCACTCTTCTATCTCAAAGTATCTACAGACCAAATAAAGTAATGTGACAGCACAGAGTGGACTCGATCACCACGTGACGTGTCCAACAGGATATAAAAGTCTACAGAAGTGCAAACTATGGGGGGCTTCCTGAGCCAATATCTATATGGCAGGGGGGGTTCTAGCTCTGGTGTCACGCAGAATACGTTGGCAATGAAGAAGACAAAGGAGTCACGGGTCACATGATCGAAATATCCAGAACTATCTGACCCGCTGACGATTAAATGAGGGAAACCAGTTCCAGAAGCTCGTTGCACGCATCAGTTTTCATTCAGACACAGAAACTAAACCTCTTCAAAACCCGCACATGTGCCTTAAATGCGAAACCATCCCTCCGTGAATCTCACAGACCTCTCCGGTGCAACGAATGAGTCACTAAAGACGACCTTTGATTGATCCAGACGTAATCGATTGGTGCTGCAACGGGCTACTTGGAAAGCAGACGCTGCAGCAGCAGTCAACTGATCACGCCCTCTTTTTGAGGCAAAATAACAATCTAAAGAAAAGGTAGCAAACAAAAGGGTAGATTCAAACAACCACCGGTCTCAGTGCTGGGAGTGTTACAGTGCTCACAAGAAAGATACACAAATAAATAGTTGGATATTTTTTTTTTTTTCTTTTTTTTAACTACAGCTCCTCAAATTGTGTTGGGCTGTGTTTAATTTTGAAGTAGTCGTGACGTATCTGTTGCATTACCAGCTTGATGCTTTGGAGAGTCTTTGACAGAAGGTAGGAAGATGCCCCACTCGCTGCTGAGGGGAGAGTTTAAAAAGAAACACAAGACTTCACCTAACACTGTGATAAATACACTGCAGTATGCCGGGACCAAGATCATTTTTATATAGACAACTATTGAACACTTTTAAGTAAAACTTAAAAGAAAAAATACAATTTTAATACTGACTTAAGGAAAGTACTGCTGTCATGCAGCCTAATGCAGCTCAAGTCTTCCTTCACTACTTGAAAAGCTCAAAGACAGAAGTGCCAAGAAAGTGAAAACATTTGTAAATTCCTTTCAGTTTAGACTACGGTTACTTCTTTTAAAAAGAGAAGCAGATGGCTGTATTGGGTGAAAAAAGAAAGAACCAAAAAGCGACAACCACTTAGTGGCAGCTTTTCCTACCAAAAAAAAAAAACGGCTGCAAGATCTGCAACCAGAACAAGGCCTCCTCCTCCTCCTCCGTCCTCACAAAGCTTCCCTGCAAACTCAGAGGTGGAGCATAAAGCTAGTCCCGTTGTGGAGGACGAGGAGGGCTGACCGAAGGCCGAGTGAGTCCTCCGCTACGACGAGACTGTCACAGGATTGAGGGAACCGTTTCGGCTGTAGAACTTTGAGAAGGCCTCTTCCAGAACGGATGCGAGCCGCGGCTGATCGCCCTGAAAACGCAGGGGAGAGGGAGGTTGAACATCCTTCTTACAAAAGGAACCTCTGATAACCTGAGGGATCCGGTCGGCAGGGGAAATCCACTCACCTCGCTGATGAAGCCCAGCTGAACGAGTTCCACAGCGAGCTCCTGCACGTTCTCATCTGAGCAGAAACGCATTGGGGCAAAGGTCAACATACAAGTCTTTGCTTTAAGTGTCTTATTCAAGTAAGATTAAAAAGGTGCAATGTAGGAGTTAGCCTGTGTTCTCACAGACTAAATTCATCTCTGTAATGCCTTTTACATCCTCACTTTAAACTACAGCAGTAAAGAAAATCAAATGTATGGGTATTTTTATGTGAACGTGGATCTTTCACATCAATGTGTTTGAATGATACTCACTTGGTAACAAATCACAGCTCAAGTGCCTGTTCAATTTATCTTCAAGTTTCAACAACAAGGTCAGCTGAAAGGAAAGTTCAGTAATTCATTTCTAGGGTCTAGAGAAATCAGAAAGCACTTTTATATATAAAGCAGTTATTTAAAGCAGAAACACAAGTTAGTCAGAGATAAAAACTTACATGATGCTTGCTGCCCTCGTCGACCGGCTCAATATTGCACTGCATCTGAACGACCTGTGAAGAAAAACTGCTTAATACACGACACCGACGTGCAGAATATAAACAGACCATTGAAGAACTAAATGCAAATCCAGACACCTGGACACTTTGCTTTCACAAATTAGAGTTGTTTAGGTATCTGAAAGGCCCCCGATAGGAACAAAACCCCCACCACGTGTGATTCACTACCTGATCCCGACGCCTGACGTTAGCATGTGCAAACTAGTACAGCACATCTGTGGTTAAACCCCCCATTTCCCCCTGATAATACATGACATCAGCAAAGAGCTACAGTGTGTTTACCCTGTATTACTTGGACTCGTCTCTGTGAGCATCCTCATGTCCGTTCTTACCTTCCTGGTCTCGAGTTCGGCGGGTTCGGGGGTGGGGGTTTTCACTGAGGGGGGCACAATGGGCGACTTGACCGCCTCTTGCTGAGGCTGTTGTGGACACGGCACGCCAAACGCAGTGAGAGGATAGATCCCATTCCTGTCACGGCAAGGAAAGGCATTCTTTCAAGAGGACTGCAAATAGTTTCAGGACGGGCAGGTCATGGTTTTAATATTATCTTTATTATAATGGATATATGATGCCCAACTTCAGGCTTTGCACGGATGCAAATACAAAGATTCTTCACTAGCGGGTGAGGAAATCGGTTTTCATCTTCCCCGCAACATCGAACTTGTAGATGCAGGTAGTTAGAATCTTACCTGACATCTTCCAGGAACTTGTCCAGCTCCAGGGCAGGAAACTGAGAGAGCCTGAAACAGGAGAAAAAACATTACTTAGTTATCAGGATGCAAATAAGACATTTATTTAACATTTTAGTAAAAGCAGAGCTGGGCAACATTTTCATTTTCAAGTTCATGTGGTCCATATTAAATGTAAACCACCAGCAGAGATCCATATATAAATAATAATAATAAAAGACAACCTTAAAAGCACAACCTTATTTTATATAAATATTCTATGGGTTTAAGAGTGATGCTATCCTGTTATCTCTACAGGTGTTAGTCAGCCTGAAGGTCAGCTTTGTCTGTTTTTTTTCAGACTTACTTCATCTGAACTCCGTCCTTGGCCTCAACAATCACCAAGTTCGGGTCCATGTTCTTCGTCATCTCCTCTAAAGCATTTTCTGGAATCATATCTACAGACACACAAAGGAGACGACAATCGGGATACAAGCGTTCAGACACGATGGTTGTTTTCCATTAGATAATTGTGAATGGCCACGGTGGGTTTTGTGACTTCAATTAAAGTAAAATAAACTGATTCTTTGGGGATGTAAAAAGTCCAATTTAACCTCATCGTCCTCTTTGGTTACCCGATACAGAGTTCTTGTTTTGGGACACTGTTGTCAACGTAAAACCCCTTCAAGCAAGGGGGACACAGTCAGAGGGCACGCCGAGATAAGAAAGAGTTTGACACGCAGAAATCAGGGTACGAGGACAGTCCTCGTAGTTCCGGGACACCGGGAGCAGGCGGTCATGTGACTCCGTCTCTTATTAGCACTTATTTGTAAATGGGCTTTTATGCATGTATAAAATAATAAGCCGTAAAATGTAAAAAAAGGAAATCATACTATTATATAATATTTGACTGACACCACATGTGTGTGTGTGTGTCCACTTTGACTCACGTTGGTGGCTAACGATGCAGTGTGCAGCCAGCAGCTTGAGTAAGGGCACCTCGAACAAGGCCTGGTGAAACAGCAGCTCTTTGGCTGTGGGTCGCTTGCTGGGGTCGACCTCCAGACACTTCTGGATAAATTCCTGAGAAAACGTGGGGTGAGAGAAAAACAACTGAAGGTTACAGATTTCTCTTCCCAAGAGCCGTACGGACTTCAAATGCTCGCCTCTCCCTCGCTCGCTCACTAACCCTTTGCAGGGGGTCCTCTAGGAACTGAATGGCACTGTTTATGGCTTCTTGCGACACATAAGACGAATCTCCGTTACTCTGGATCTCCAACACAGCCATCTGAGGAAGTGAACGGAACAAGTCGATTCCCGTTTACATTCGCACTGATCGAGACCCAGAATCAGGCCAATTCCCCATAAACAAAAGGAGGGATTGTGTCACCAACTGGTCAGAGCAGACAAAGTCGCCTCTCACCTCTAAGGCGCACATCCCAAAGGAATAGATGTCCACAGCTGTGGTAACATTGGCAACAGCTGAAAGCAGAAGTAAGCTGATCAACATCCAAGAACTCTCTTGCATATTTAAAGATTTTTTTTAAGATGAGGAGAGACAGTTTGACAAATAACCTTTAACGAAAATATTAACCGCACCTCCATATTCTGGAGCAAAGAAGTGAAGACTCTTCTGCTCTTCCCGGCAGGTTTTCACATGGTTATTGATTGTGTCAGGAGCAACTGAAATAAGAGTGGGAAAACCTCAATAACAACAACATTAATACAAGTAGTAGACCTAGTACTATCAATGCCACAGAGGTGGCATCTGTGGTATAGAAAAGTGAAATGAGGGACATAATACTGTCCTGATGTGATCTTAAATGACGTCTACCTGAGCCGATCTTGATGAGGCCGTTGTGCTGGATGAAGATGGTGTCACAGGTTAAGTTGCCGTGAATGATGGGAGGTTCACATGAGTGCAAGTAGCTGGAGACAAGAGAACCGAGGTTGAGTCAATAAAACAACTGCCACCACAGCTTTCCTTAGAACCGAGTAGCTCTCAAAGTTTTTCGTTGTACTTACCTGAGAGCAGAAAGTATTTGTGTGCACCAGCGCTTCCAGGCCTGTCAGAAATAAAAGTCAATTAAAAGAGGTGCCGTTTTTCTTTTGAACCCAACACGCTAAACAGGTTTCTTGTGTCTGCCGCTTTCGACTTGTCGGCAAACTTTCACACCTTTTCGTTCATGGTCTTGTGGTTTTTCTTTGTCTTTTTCAAAAACTGTTTCAGACTTCCTGAAGACATGTACTCAGTGATGAATATGACCTGCAGAGGAAATAAAAGCAAATAGATCAACACGAAAGTCATGACGCTCAACACCTTTTACATTAATTACAGCTATTTTTGAACAATCTCTCACCCTCGCTCTGTTCTCTTTGACATCAGCCCAGTATTTGTGGAACTTCACAATGTTTAAATGCTCCAGCTGAATCAGATTGTCAAAAACAGCTTTGACTTTTTCCTGTGAAAAGAACAAACAGGCCAGATTCAATCAAAATGCATATATAATGTACTATTTTTACAGTAACATATAACCGAACTTTGCATCTTCCATCCATGTTGTGAAATGTATTTTCCTGTTTTACTGCAATACATTTTTTTTTTAATCCAATCAAGTGAGCTCATTTTGTTTTCACAATATATTTGTTTTTAATTGCCTGGGCTTCTATTAGCCTGCAGGTCAGACAGGTGGTCAGACAGCCTTGTAAGAGAGAGCTCAAATGCCCCAAAATCCCCCCGCCATGAATGAGTGTCTATAAATAGCAGCTCTGGCTCTAGTTCGCTACTCCATACAGGCTGTGAGCCTTTTACTTTGTAACTAGATAGTTTTAAAGGCTCCATCAATTTGAGAGCAGCTTTTTCTTTCAGTCACATCCATATTGATCCGAAAAGCTGCCTGTGAACAGTTAACTGGAAACTAACAAGCCTATCTAGGTATCAAATACAGGAACATTGATTAAAACCAGCAGGCGTCTATGTTGTTATTGAGAGCATATAAAAAAAAAAAAGTTTTTTAAACACAATCCTTAAAACCTTGTATTCCTTGCAGGTGTATATATCATTGTCCTCTTGGCTATACAATCATCACAGTATTCATTAGGATACGGGTTATGCACATAACTGCGTCAGTCACAACTATCTCCGTCCACCAGGCATCGTAACTACCTCCTGTAGTTTGAAATTCTTCCTTTCTGAGAACATGACCTCATTCCACACCACTTCGACTCCTTCCTCGGTGTCCATGGCCAAGTAAGCATTATCGATCCCGGGGACGTTGCGTTGATTCACCTTTCGCGAATAAAACAAAACGATGCATTCAGGCTTTGTTTACACATTGGTGGAGGCAAACGTCAGCCCCGCGCGGACGCATCCTATACCTCTTCTCTGCGTTTCTGCCAGCGTCCACACGGGCTTTCCTCCAAAATCTCAGACTCATCCTCGCTCTCCTCCTCCTCGTCCTCCGTGGCAGCGGTGGCTGGAGGCTGGGTCACCATGGAGACAGGGGGGGACACGGAGGACACCGCTTGAGCCGTGGGCGCAGCAGCGACGGACTCTGCCTTGGCTTCCTGGGTGTCAGAGGCCTGCTTGTTCTCGCCCTCAGACATCTTCTTGCTCGTCAGGCCCAACAGCCAGCTGTGAGACAAGAGACGACAGAGACCAATGTCAATATCATAGTTCGCATCACTGCCTGTTGAGAGTGAGAAATGCATAAAGTGACAGATATTCCGGTGTCAGAAAGAGCTGCACAGCAATGTGTATAAAGTGGGCGAGTGTGTGTGGCTAACACAGCTACAGACAGTTTAATATAACCTCTGACACATAAAGCAAGCTAACGTTAAATAGTTCACTTGTTAGCTTAATTTGCGCTCGTCAACGAAAGGCCTGTTTACATTACATTACAAAATGTTAGTAGCAGTGCAACACATACGTTTTAGAGACGGGAGATGTAACGATGCCAGCTCTGGTGTAGCAATGCCCCCCGCAGAAGACCAGGCGCAGCTTCCTATTTGGGTACGTTAGCTTCGTTAGCTAAAAATCAGCAGTTTCTCGGTAGTTGCAGCTAGCTTGATTGGAGCTGCTAACGTTAGCTCCGCGGCTAAGGTGCGACCGGGTAGCTTCTGTCCACGGCCGTGTCGCTAGACGTGTCGCTCAGCCGGCTTAACACGCCAGCTAGTACGCCGCTAGCGAGCGACGGTTTTCGCAGCTTTCAGCCGCTCGTTGCTTCTCAAGACTCCAGCTAATGTGGCTCTGAGAATTAGCCAATGCTCATGTGAGAGTAGCGTTAATTAAACTACACAATATAACAACGGCGCTGGTCCTAGACGCGTTCACCGGTTAACAACATCGCGGCAGTTCACAGATTCTCGACATGTGAAACAATGAGGTCAATAATGTCATTAACGTTATATCCTCGAACCACAACGGCTGGATGACTTTAAAAGCTAACGTTAGCTTGACATTTAGACAATTATGATGGCGACAACTGCAGATGCACGGAGAGCTCTGTTAGCCGAGCATGGTTGCCACATATGGTTTATTCCATCCCCCCTCTGCAGTGTTGAAAGTACAGCAGTAACTTTCTATCTCTCTCTCTCTCTCTCTCTATATCTATATATATATATATATAGATATAGATATAGATATATATAGAAATACTCCTGCCTGAAGTTAACCAGGGGGAATCAAATCCAGAGATGTTAGAAATAAAACATACAAACAGCAACAACACATTATAGAAAAAGAAACAAATGCAGTTATAACAGAAGGCATTGTGAAGACATAGTCAGTATTTGCATTTTAAAAAGTCGGCATAAGGTATCTAGACAAGTATGTTAAAGTCTCAATTGTCTTTTTTTTAGCACTTTAAGGACTCATGTTCTTTCTTGCCTCGAAGGTTGTCTACTGTTTCCAAGATGAAAAAGGACCTTTCCTCTGAACATAATTGTTGTGGTTAGAATTGTGTGAACTAGGGACGCACCCTTGTGGTAACACAGACAACTATAAGTCAGCTAGGGTTATTAGGGTTGGTTATTTTGTGTGTATTCCTGGGCATATAATGCACCTAGTGTGCTTTGTGTGCTTAATTTGACTCACTGTCTCATTATTTCTGATTTACTGTGAGTTTCACCGTGTAACACAAAACTGCAAAATTTTGGTGAGCGGTCCTTCTATCCTCGCTGAACTTAAAATGCGGGTTTCTATCAAACCTGGCAATTCTGCCCTCATTGGCCTATTTGCTGTTGGCGTGGATTGACTGAGAATCTGACCAACTGAATGCTGAATTATGATTAAGGGTCGTCCAGTGAGCCACAACAGACTCTTAAAGGAAGTAATTGACAGGGCATTTTTTTTACCACTAGGTTGTTAATATCTTAATATATTATAGATATTGAACAGAGGTTTGGACTAACTGTAATCAAGTTAACCACTTGGTAGTTGTGTTGTGCATTATAAGCACTCACTAAAGATGTTATTGCCTTTTAGAATAGGAATTCTCATTCATTTTGAAAGGCGGTATCACAGTACACACAGTGGGTGGATAACCTGAATCTGACCTACACCTTTTCCCCCCAAAACGTTCTCTCTAATAATGATCAGTGCAGTACCTTCAGTACACTGGGACCTTAAGTGTTGATTCAGGCTCCAACCTTTTTCTCAGGCCCACTTTCTCTCAGAGGAGCCTCCTCCCCTCTATACAGGCCTATATTTAGGTGCAGCCTCTCGGCAGCCGGGTCACAATAGTGACCGTGTGAGTGCTGGTGTAAGGGGCTTTTTGGCTGGTCAGTGTTCCTAAGTGGGGACACTGTTTCAAGCAAATAAAGGAACTAAAACTGAATCCGCGTCAGCGAGGACTCAGGAAGCGTCTCTGGCCGTTTTGCAAGTCCATGCTGAATAAGGAGTGTCTTTTTTGGGGGCATTTCATAAATTGAATAGGGACATCAAAGGGCCGAGGCATTCACTTTTAAGATGGGGGATAAGAAACGCAAAGCGCCTCTCGTTGAAGATACGAAGGCGAGAGTGCTTTTTGAAACCGAAACATCACTTGAGGCCGAGGAAAAGGCGGATTACCCTTCCGCTGGCACCAACTCCATCTACTCGGCGATTCTGAGCAGAAACGAGGCCGTCAAGGATGCCAAGCGTCTCAAGACGTTTTTGGAGCTGCGGGACAAGTACGTGAAGAAGAACGTGGTGTTTGAAGACCCCCTGTTCCCCGCAAATGACTCCTCACTCTTCTACAGCCACAAGCCTGCCATGAAGTTCGAGTGGAAGCGTCCCTCGGTGAGTGACAGCCTTTTACTAATCGTCTACCCTGAATCCGAAAGGGACTCGCCCGTGTTCGGATGAACTCCGCTCTAAAGTCTTCGTGCGTCTCATCGCTTCCTCTCAACACGTGACCGGGGTCGCCGAGTGGCTGCACGGCGTTCACGCATAGCTCTGGGTTGTCACTTTCTCCAAGCACAGACATCTGAAGCTCCCACAGGAGGTCACCAGCTGTCGGTCACGGGAAACATAGTGGCAGCTATAAGGAGTAGGATTTCCAAAAAAAAAACTTTCAGCATGTTGTATTAGGCATATTATATTCTTGTCATTATCACAGCGTTGCTGTAAATAATAAGTCAAGCTGGAGGTTTGACTAATAATCGCTCTAGTTAAATTTCTGTAACAGTGCAAATTATTTAAACTAAAGTTTAAATGCAGTGGAGTAGAATTATCAACAGAATAGTATCTTATTTTGAAAAAAAAAACACTTATTTGCTAGGAATTTGACCACTTTTCTTATCAATTGTCTGATTAAATTCTTGTCAACAAACTAAATGAGAATATTTCCAAAAATGGTGAGCTATCAAGAGTTTATTTAATTAACTTTAAAGAAAGTAAAGTGCAATACATGAACGTTGTTTAAGTATAAATATTAACATAGATATCATAAACATCATGTATTTTCACAATTTCAACAATAATCAATTCTATTTTTAAGCTGATTTTACAATTTTTTTCCATTGAAAACAAATAAAAAGATTCCATTGAAAAATGTCTACCCAGTAACTGCTAAATCCAGTGGAACATGAATCTGCAGCTTGGTTGCTACTTAGTGACAAATGACAAATGTTACTTTTGGCCATTTCGCTGATATTAACGATACACAAATCTCAGCAGGGCGTCAGCTGTGGAGCCGGCTCTATATTTAGAACATGAGGCTGCATCATTAAATGTGATGAGGGCAGCAGATACATTGCTGGAAATCACTTGATTTAAAACGTCTCGTCATTATCCTCTTATTATAACCACTGGATTGGATTTTGGATATATAAGAAGTAGTTTGATTGTCATATTTTCTCTCGTTCAATAGTCTAATAGTTTTACAACATTTGTTAATACCTCTTAATATGTTATATACATTTATAAATTCATCTTTAGAAGCCTAAATAAGTTTACGGGAGGTTTGATACCAAACTGAAAGCAAGCATCTGTTATACAGGGATTATTATTAAGGTGTTTTTTACTCTCCGTGTCTTTTGGCTTCTATAGAGCAAAGAGTACATATTACCCTGCAGGAGAAACTAATGTTGTTAGAGACTAGATCAATAGATCTAAAATGCAAGGTTTTTTTAAGCATGCATCGTTTCCTCTAACGTGGTATTTCATAATAACAAAAAAGAATTGTTTTGACGTTGATATTTTGCAACATGAACAGAAATCTTTTCTTTTTCTTTTTCCATTGACAGGAAATTTGTGAAAACCCCCAGTTCATCATAGACGGAGCCAAAAGGACAGACATCTGTCAAGGAGAATTGGGTAACGTTTGATCTGTCCCAAAGAAGAAGCAAACGATTAGAAAGAAGCAGCCTTTGGATGGAGGTCCAACGAAATATTGACGTTTTTGAATGGTTCAAAAGTGTCCCTGCCATAGCTTCTGTAAGCAGAGACAGTCCTGACCGGGGACATGGCCAATAAATCAAATGCACAGCCAAGACGAGAAGCCTCTGACCTGCTGCCTTTTTGGAAGGGAAATGTTTGGATCAAGAGATCTCACAGCTGGTAACTCTGCCGTCTGACAGGTGACTGCTGGCTGCTGGCTGCCATCGCCTGTCTGACCGTCAACGAGAAGCTGCTGTACCGAGTGATTCCCCCGGACCAGAGCTTCACCGACAACTACGCCGGCATTTTCCATTTCCAGGTTCTGCTTGAATATTTGGCAGATTTGTGCGTGAAGCATGGATTTTCATGTCGCAGTGACAGGGATGGAAACCGGGGAAAATTAACTTTAGAAAGCGATACAGTTGAATGGTTTGAATTAAAACAAACATTTGTAAAATAGAAATAAAATTACATGCTTGAATATGTGATGTTTCTTTAATGCCATTAACATTAAAAAAAAGAAGCTTTCTTTTTAGAAATAAAAGAAAATAAGAACATTAAATTACTAGTTTTGAATAATATTTAGATTTTGTTTAATAAATAGGAATCAACATACAATGTGAAGGATGGCTTGTTCTTTGCATAATGATGATGTTTTTTTTTACTTTGTTACACCACTGACTTGCTGTTATCTCTTTTGTCTAAATGCACTCAGTTCTGGCGCTATGGCGAATGGATCGATGTTATCGTGGACGATCGCATCCCCACCTGCAACAACCATCTGGTGTTCACCAAATCTTTCAGAAAGAACGAGTTCTGGAGCGCTCTTCTGGAAAAAGCTTATGCCAAGTGAGCGCAGCACATAAACACTCCCTGCAAAGTGTTGCAGCGCTTCAGATCGTTCCATGATGTCGATTCATTCACTTCACATTTCCTGTCCATCCAATGGAGAAAAAAAAGTTCTATTTTAGTCTTCAGCTCTTTTTTTTTCCTCTCAGAAAAAGGGTTAAAGCCTCAGAAAATGAAACCAGGTGCTTTAAATGTAGTTTCTGATTCTTTAAAAAAATGTCACTGAAAGTATTGAGTAGTAGAAAACGTCACTGGTATATAACTTATTTTATTTAATTTCAGGTAAAACAGCAGTTTTTAAAATTAAATACTGAGTCAAATGGTTTATGTACATTAATACACAAACTGGCAAACCTCCGTCCTTATGTTTCAATATTGGCTGTCGTCAAATTTTGAAGAAACAAAGCCACGACATGTTAGCGCATTGAACACAACAACTGATCTCTCTCTCTGTCTCTCTGTCTCTGTCTCTGTCTCTCTGTCTCTCTCTCTCTCTCTCTCTCTCTGTCTCTCTGTCTCTCTGTCTCTGTATCTGTCTCTGTCTCTGTCTGTCTCTCTCTCTCTGTCTCTCTGTCTCTCTCTCAGGTTGCACGGCTCTTACGAAGCCCTGAAAGGGGGCAACACTTTGGAGGCCATGGAGGATTTCACTGGCGGGGTTACTGAGTTCTTCGACTTGCCCGAGGCGCCCAAAGAGCTCTACAGCATCATGAGGAAGGCGCTGGAGAGAGGCTCGCTCATGGGCTGCTCCATAGATGTGGGTGTGGATGGAAGTGCACAGAAAACAGAGAGTTTTTCCATTTTCCTCGGGCGTATCAGCCCGGTTCAACAATTTAGTCACACTATGAGAAGCTGAACTAAGGTGTAAAGTTTTTCCCCAAGCTTTTACATCTTTAACTTTGCAGGAAAACTGTATTTAACTGTAGAATACAAAATAAGTGACTTTAAAATAATGTTTTAGCAACTTGTGTTCTATCCGTCAGGCTCTTTCGGCCACTGAACAGGAGACCCGGACGGATCAGGGGCTGGTCAGGGGTCACGCCTACTCCATCATAGGTTTGGCGGAGGTGCGGTAAAACGTTCACACCCTATTTCTGTTTCTCAGTAAGAGAAGTGACGTAAGCTAGTAAGTGATGCCGACCGGTTTTTGTTGGTTGTTTACAGTGTGACGGGGTTGAAAAGGACACCACAATTCGCCTGATTCGCCTGCGTAATCCCTGGGGTTGGGTGCTGTGGAAAGGCCCATGGAGCGCAAAGTACGACCTCAAAAACATTCCATGCAACCTTTTGAATTGTTATTAAATCAAATCACAAGAATAACTGCTTATATGAAACAGGATTGGGAGATTTTTCATTCATGTTGTGTGTTATTTTGTCTTTCTGAAGCTCGACAGAGTGGTCGACCATTTCCATCGCAGATAAGGACAACCTGATTAAACAGACTGTACAGGAGAGCGAGTTCTGGTGGGTAAAACACTTTAAAAGATATTCATTTTATGGTTTTATCAGTTTTTTTTGTAGCTTCTTATGTTTCATTAGTGGTCTATTCTGATCAACAGCAGCTGATTTGCTTATTTCTTTTTGTTTTATTGATGCATAAATGAAAAAAAACAACTTCCAACTCATTAATGTATGTTAACATCATAACTGCACACATGTGCAAGCAAACAAATATATTCATTGTACGTACCGCTTGCATGTTAGCATTCAGCATCTGACGCTGACACAGTGCAACACACCTACGGCCGCTTCACTTTTTTTTTGCCCCACTTGTGTTAAACACTAAAAAGCTGCAACGTCCTCCCTTCGCCAAAATACAACTGCACGGAACTTCCTCTTTCACGTTCCCCTCCAGGATGTCATTCGCTGATTTCACGAGGAACTTCACCAAGCTGGAGATGTGTAACTTGACCCCCGACGCCCTGGGCTGCGATGAAAGACAAAGCTGGACGGTGTCGGTCAACGAGGGTCGGTGGGTGAGAGGCAGCTCCGCCGGCGGCTGCAGGAACTTCCCACGTAGGCCATTATTTTTTTTTAAATCAGCCACTGTTACAGGACCCGCGTGGAGCAGACGCCCCCCCCCCCCCCCCCCCCGGACTTCTCGCCCCTTGTCGCAGGTTTCACTTTTTTCCCCCTATTTTACAGAAACCTTCTGGACGAACCCTCAGTACCGGCTGCAACTGTACGAGGACGACGACGACCCGGAGGACGGGCAGGCGGCCTGTACCGTTGTCGTGGCTCTGATGCAGAAAGGCCGGAGGATGCAGCGCCACCAAGGGGCTAAATTCCTCACCATCGGGTTTTCAATCTACGAGGTGCTGGCCACGTGAACCCAAAACACACCGGATAATCTGATGTTCATTCACTGGAGATTAACTACGTCTTTTACTCCTTCTTTGTGTCTGCAGGTGCCGAAGGAGGTACGTCCATGTTGGAGAAGGGTGTTGGTTTTGATTTAGCTGCGTGGTAATAATAATGCAGGCTGCTGTTGAATGTTTTATCTTTATCGTCCTGTAAAAAGTACAGGATTATTTACACAGTTAAATAATATGTACAGTTATTTGGGATTATTCTACCTTTTACAAACAAATTGTCGGAAAATAACCCGGAAATGTTATCAAACTTCTTGTTTCATCACACCAACAGTGGAAAAAATATATATACATACATTTTCTGTGAGACAAGAATCACTAAACTTCAGTATTTTAATAGATTGCACAAAGAAGAAATAGGCTTCATATCAGATATACAGTATATCAAAGCTCGATCCTTTCTGACCGAGTGCTTGGTTTCCATCCGTAGATGTGCGGACAAAATCAACACCTGCAGAAGGACTTCTTCCTGTACACCGCCTCCAAAGCCAAATGCAAGACCTACATTAACCTGCGGGAGGTGACGGAGCGTGTGCACCTGCCTCAGGGAGAGTACGCCATCATCCCCACCACCTTTGAGCCCCACCAAGACGGAGAGTTCATCCTCAGGGTGTTCTCGGAGAAGAAGAGCACGTCTGAGTAAGGACCTTTGACGCTTGAGCCACAGTCGATGCTACTGAGAGGATCAATAACAAGTGTAATCTGATGCTTCTGTTCTTTCCTCACAGGGAAGTGGAGGACACAATTGGGTCTGAGAAAACACAGGTTTGCAACAAAAATAGTAGGATAAAAACAAATTTTGGATCATACTGACTGATGTTTCACAGTTGAAATGATTAAATTAGAGAAGTAGGGTTAATTTGAATGTATTTAAAAATATTTGATACAGGGTATTGAAACACTTTGAGTGACCAGTTGATGGTGGGAGTTCCCTTCTATCATGATATTACTATTTCTGGTCTGTAAATGTATTTAAATGGCCAGCTTTATAACTCTTGCTTTTTACCATAATGTTCTTCTGGGATTAGATATCACTTTCACTCAAACCTAAATTGAGCATAATTATACCAAAATAAAGTATCCATGGCATTAAGTTGACCCTTTCCTCTGAAAGAGACCGAATATATGGACAAAGCCAAAACAGTCCAGTGCAAAGGTTAACGGCAACATACGTCCATCAGTTGTTCATCATTTGTAAACCCATTTTGATATTTCATCAACATTGTTCCCCTTGTCTTTGCCTCAATTCATACTGCACTCTTTTTCCAACACGAGTAACTAACAGACTCGAAAGGTGTTTTCCTCCTTTTCATCTCATTTCATCCTCCTGTCCTTCCTTCTCTTTCTGGCCTTCAGCAAGACAGGAAAAAGAAAGAGAAGGTAATGCACGCATGCATGCATGCAGCGTTGTTAGATGGCTTTTGATGGCTGCTACTCTCCATTATATGTCGTTATCAATGTTCAGTGGTATCAGTGGTTACAGTTTGTGTCATCACATGTGTGTGCGTGTAGACTGTAACGGTAAAATAGCAATAAACGACCTGTTTCTGTTTGCCAGCCGATCGTGTTCGTGTCAGACAGAGCACGAGCCAACAAAGAAATTGAGCACGACGGCATCGAGGGGGAGAAGAAGACGAAGAAGAAGCCAAAGGTGATTTCCTCGTGGCGGGAGCCTGAACTCTGAACGCTGCGGCCACATGGCAGATAGCTCACAGTGGCCAAGAGCCGGCGAGGCTTCTGCAGACTGACTGCTGCCAAACGCCATCAGGTCAAATGACATGACGGGGAGTGAAATAATTGAAATTGAGGTCAACTGAAGGCTCGAGTGCACCTGTTTTTTCCTGCAAGGTCTCAGCGTACGCAGGCGTAGTTTGCTCATGTCTTTTGCTAATGAGCTGCTTTCTTCGGTAATATGAGGAGATGCATCAATACCTTAGAGGAGTCTTACTATTACTGCAGCGCAATTAAACCGAGCCGCAGAGAGTGAACAGCTGGCCTCAGAAACGGCTTATTCACCAGGCCTTTCCGACTCATTTTGATCCTTCCACACGTTAGTAGTTCATTTTGTCACATTATATTAACATAAATGTTATCATAATTGAGAACGTAGGAGGCTGTCACCTACTTTTAACTGGCACTATAAGGTACTTCCCTCTCGCATGTCCCTTTACAGCGAAAGCTACTCCAACCGGAGGAGGAGACCGAAGAGGAAAAACATTTCAGAGCCATTTACCAAAAGGTTGCCGGCGAGGTGAGTACGCAGAGAGGATTGGGGACGAGGACAATGGAGGGCTGCTGCAAGGCTTTGCAACTAACACTTCCTTCCTCCCATCAGGACATGCAGATCTGCGCCAACGAGCTCAGAACGATCATGAGAAACGTGCTCGCCAAACGTGAGTGATCCGTAAGGAGGTGGAGACCGTCACTGCGTTCGCCGAGCCGGTGTCACGTGATCAATCGTACCGAGTCGTCCCTTTTCCTCCAGATAACGAAATGAAGACGGAAGGCTTCAGCCTGGAGACGTGTCGCAGTATGATCGCGTTGATGGATGTATCCTTTCACTTTGCTGAAACTGAGAGCTTAAATGGGAGGTGACAACAGGAAAAGGCCTCGCGTCGCCTCGGCACCAGCAGGTTGTAGGTTTGAATCCCTCCAGAGGCCATGACATGGACATGTCAAACTTCATCTCAAGAGCGAGTGTCTTTCGGTCAAGCAGCCCACATTTCGTGTGTATTTCCGATAAGTTACCGTCTCTCAGACTGATGGGACGGGAAAGCTGAACCTGCAGGAGTTCAAACACTTGTGGAAAAAGATCAAGGAGTGGCAGGTAGGACCGCCGTGACACCCGAGAGCTCCTGCTCGTCTTCAGCAAAACACCTGACGTCCGTCTCCTCGTGTGCCTCCAGCTGATCTTCAGACGATACGACGAAAACAAGACCGGCTGCGTCAGCAGCTTCGAGATGAGGAACGCCGTCAATGACGCAGGTGGGCGGCATGAAGGAAATACCTTCGTTTACACCGTCGGACAAAAGGTGTTTCTGCTGATTGTTTACCGTGTGTGTGTGTGTGTGTGTGTCTGCTCCACACGAAGGGTTTCACCTCAACAAGCAGCTGTACGACATCATCGCCATGCGCTACGCAGACGAACATCTCAACATCGACTTTGACAGTTATATCTGCTGCTTTGTGAGACTGGAGGGCATGTTCAGTAAGTGCTTCACGGACTCAACTCGTCTTCTCAGCTATTGATCCAGAATCACTGCTCATGCAAACGTCTTGTCATGACTTGAAGAATTCAGTTGCAGGTTTTCCCTCCAGCAGTTTATGAAGAGATGAGATGAAAAGTGATTCTTTTGTGTGTTGCAGGAGCTTTTAATGCCTTCGACAAAGATGGAGATGGAATAATAAAGCTCAATGTCCTGGAGGTAAACTCTTGATATTCATAATATTATTTGCATTTTACTTTCTTTGCCAATGTAGGAGTGTGTAAATAGTTTGGCTCAAACCTTTTGAGCATTTGATTAAACTTAGTAAGAGTAATACAAAACAAACACTAGTTGCTTCTAAGGACATATTATCATATGTATATATACCATATATTGTATTGTCCATTTTTTCAGATTAGACTTTGAGGTACTGCAATCATGGATTTTATTATACTGTCAGGTGTCTCGAATATATTGTCCACTTAATCTCCCAATTTAGAAGACAAAGAATTTCTGGGAAAAATGTCCCAATATAGTGCAACTCCACAAACGACCATGCGTTACATTACAATGGAAGGTGTTTCATGTTCTTCCCTGGTTGTTTGTCTCTCTCTGCAGTGGCTTCAGCTGACGGTGTATTCTTAAATCCCCACTGACGTAGCGCCCAACAGTCGGAGCGTCGCACTCAAGACTCAACTCTCCTGGAAAGCCTTGTTATGTATTTTTGCACGGCTCAGAGATTCGATGATGATCATCTCTCAACACTTAAACTACGATGGATTTGGCTTATATTTAAAAAGGTAAACTTTGCTGTGAATGTAATCACAAGTCAAGCATTAAATGGCTCAGTGTGCGCTGTTTCGATCGAGTATGAAGAATTTTTGGTTTATAACTTAAAGCTAGAAGAATCAGTAAGAAGTGTTTCATTATGAGAAGTGATGGAGAAGGTTTGACAAACTGAATGTGCTGAAACTCGTTTTAGAACTTGGCAAAGAGGAATAGTTACATTATATTTTATTGCTGTACACATAGTGGGTATTAAAGACAAATCAAATACACCCCGTACACAACATAGAAAAATGAAGACATCATTTTAAAACAAGATTCTTAGTCTGTGAAAGGTTTGGTCTGAAAGTTTTCACTACTACTTTTCTAAGCAGTGGTTTTCAAGGTGACATTGGGGAGAAGAAGATTGCTTAAAATAACTCTTGGAAATATGGAGCGGTTATAAATAAGGGGATGGTTTGTTGCTAAAATGATGCTAAACCATATTTTCTAGAGTCAAACATCTCAGCAAACACAATGAACTACTTTGAATGCTGAGTGTGAAAGAGGGACATAAGGATTCATCGTCTTAACACACTTAAAAGTGGGGAGGTGGCACATTTCATTCTTCATACAGAAAGTGTCCGGTGCTAAATATTAGCCAATATTTCAAACCCGTGAGTTACTTTTCAAACGGCGTGTCCTATAAATAGAAGACGCAGAAATATAACATGTTCATTTCCATAACTCAAGTGAGGAAAATCTCAGGATAAAAATTCGGAAAAACCTCGAAGGATTTAAAAAATCTTCCTTACCAAACATCTGACTGTCTGGGATCCTGTGTATGTGAAAAGATAATGAGCATAAAGCCTTGTACTCTGTTGTGCTGAATGATATCTGCAAAATTGCTTCATATTCCAAACTACAAGTTTGAAAATTAAAATGAGCTCTTGAAGTGTGGAGTAGGAAAGAAGTGCGCTTGTCAAACTGTAGCTTGTAATCTCAAACGCTAGTGGCTCACGGCTGAACTAGCCAGCACAAGAATAACAAACTAAATCTTTGGCGCACTGTCGAGGTTTAACCAAAGAAGATGAATGCATGGAAAGAAGAAAATAGATTGCGTTTTTCTGCATCAATCGGGATCCTTTATACAAACAGGCGCATTGTAAGACCACCAATTTAACAAGAATAACCCTTTATAATCCACTGGAGTCACATTGCAGACAGACGATGTGACTAACTGGGTTCTGGTGAATAACTAAACTGTGGCATCCCTGCTCTGCTGTTCATCAGAACGTTCAGACGACAACTAAACCACTTCAAGCTCCACTTTGAGTCCATCGCCAAAAGATTTAACAATACACACTGCTTCTTAAAAGTCTTTGTTTCAGTGCTGCATAGTTTTACAAATGTTCTGAGTAATTAGCTCCACGTTTAACTAACGACATCCGAGGAGGCTTATTGTACAATATACATTAATACACAACGGAAAACCACAACATGAATTCATTGTGAAAACAAAAAACTTGCAGACCACCAAACCAAATAGATTCATGAATTGACTAATCACATTTAACTGCAAATAATTGTTTTTCAATAATGTTTTCATCAATTGGGTTTTTGGTCATGCAAAGGCTTCAGGGATCAATGACAGAGTCTCACTGTAACAGAGCTGAAATATTATACACAAGAGATTTGCTCAGCACCTCAAAAGCTGGAGCATAACAGGAAAACATCATGTCCTATTGGACAATTAATGAAAAATCTTTTTCATTCATTTTTTTTTTTAAAAGAGCAGACGTGTTGTTGTGGCTGCGACAACCGTATCTGCTGCACCGCTTCTCTCCACAGCTGCTTCAAGGCTGCACCTTACTGTCGTTGTCCACGTGGTTCCGCATGTGTTCAGGCAGCTTCTGCAAGGAAAATACAAATGACACAAGTATGTCTATGCGCGGAAGGAGTGTGTGTATGTGAGTGTGTGTATGTCTATGTGCGGAGGGAGTGTGTGTATGCGTGGAGGGAGTGTGTGTATGCGTGGAGGGAAAGCACATATGGATGCCAAACTCCTGCACGCTGCTTAGCTAATGAGCCGATTGGCAGTCTGGGAAAAAGCAGACGTTGTAGGTTTGTTACCTGCTGAACAGACTGCGGAGTGGAGAAAAAAGTATGGCATCTTTTCCAGCGACATTTGGCCGCCGGCAGGTTGAGGTTGCTGTGATCGCTGACGAGGTGCTGCAGAAGATGCTCTGGGTTGCCGAAGATCAGAGCGCAATTCTGCCACTGAACACAGGGCGAAGGTCACAAGCACAAACAATACAATCATTAAATAAATTCATCTGATTAAAAATGTTGACATTTTTGTTGAAGGTTTGCGCTCTGTAAAACGGCGTTGAGTCGTTACCCAGCAGCGGTAGTTCTTCATCAAGTTGAGCTTCACAGCTTGAACAGTGCCATCATAACAGCCTGTGTAGACCTGGGTGGGACAAACAATGACAGACATTAAAAAAAGGTACATGTATACAATATACAACAATATCATGTTTCGTGTCCTGGTTGGACCCGGCTTGGTCGACTTACCACACTCTTATATACGGCCATGCACATCACCATGTCAGTGTGACCCCCGTACACCTGCAGACGATCATGAGACTGACAACACAAACACAAAGTTCACATGAATGACATTGACTTCTTGCATCGTGCATCAATCTGACAGTCGTATTATATTACACACGGATTCAGCATTAAGTCAAATATCTATATGTATGAAAAAGAGCATTGAGCCAGTCCACCTCTGGAACCCCACATCATTGTTAGACTGCATCGATGCAAGTTCTGTACCTGAAGCTCGTAAACTCTGACCAGTTTATCGAGACAGGCCGTCACCATCACTTTCCCCAAGATGACTATCGACGTGACCGCGTGGTCATGACCCTTGTAGATACGAACCAACTCCCCCGTCTGCAAATAAAAAGAGGCACGACAAAGATAAAGCGGTGACAAAGAACGTAAAAAAAAACACATTAACACAAACTTTTAGTTTATAAATTACTATTATCTCCAATATCTCTTTTTATTGTGACTTCAGTAACTAAATTTGTGCTCAACTTTCAAAAATACAAAAAAAGGTGAATATTTTTTTATACTCATAATTAAAACACTTACGTGGATGTTGTGAGCGTGAACGGATGTGTCACTGGAGCCACTAAACACCAGATCATTCACCACCTGAAATAAATAACGGCAACATAATGAAGTATATCCAATTATCTTAGGAATACTATGTTTCATGGTCTACATTCAAGAACTGGCATTTTCAAAAGCAAACATCCGTAAAAGCCGCATTTTTAAGAATGAAGGATTAACAGCTTTAAGATGTTCCGTTACTCAGTCTCCTTATCTGCACAAAACAGGTTTGTAAGTTAAACAGTCTACGTTTTCAGAGCTGAGCGGATCTCCTGACCTTCATGCAGAGGACAGTTTTGGTGTGGCCCTGCAGCGTGCGCAGCAGCAAGCCGCTCTTGGCGTCGCGGACGGAGATGCTGTTGTCGTAGGAGCCGACCAGCAGCACTCGCCGGGCGCCCTCCTGGGAAGTACCGAGGCAGCTCACGCCTCGCGGCCCGTGGCACTCAAACACATCCAAGTGCTTCATAGTCTGAGGAGAGAGAGATCACGAAGGGGTTAAAGGAAGAAAAGAAAAAATGTTGACGAGTTGACGACTCTTCATTTGAGCAGGTGTCGGAGCATTACCGTAGATAAAAATAAGATCAGTGTAAATATAATCTCCTACTCTGCTAAATCAGTGGCTACATTTACAACACATGCGGAACACGTAATCTAAACTAAACCCGGTAAGATGATTGTTTTTCTATGTAAAAGCATAATAAATAAAAAACACTCCTGGCAACTTGATCATGAGCTACTTCCCGTGTGCATCAATGTCACTCACCTTTAAGTCGTAGCTGGCTACTGATCCATCGGCCAGTCCAGCATAAAGGATGTTCCAGGCAATGTGCAAACACAACACTCTGTCCGTCAGGGAGAGCTGGTCCAGACACTTTGTGGTCTGGAGGTGAGAGGAGAAAAAGAAAAACATCTCATCTAAAATAACCACATTCCACATCGACGTCTGTAAAAAAGTATTCACTACATACATACTTTCCTACTCGTAAGCCAAATTAGATTAAATTCTCTGCGGGGGGAGGGGCTAGGGGGGTTGCAGAGAGTTGCTTCGTTCATACAAAGTAACCGGAACCCACTAAAATGATTCCGTGTGTGATGGAAACATGGCTTGTCCAGTCGTATTTGTACCTTTATGCTGTAACAGCGGATGGTCTTGTCACTGGCTCCGGTGAAGAGGCGACTTGGAGTTTTCGGGACCGACGACACCAGCAGACAGTTCACTTTGTTTGTGTGACCCACAAAGAACGCTTTGCACTCCTTGGTCTGGATGCACAGAGAGAGTTTGTTGTATTACGTTGTAGGCGTAACAATTAAGAAAACTAACAACGTTAAAACAAGGATTTAGTTTTTGGGGAGGGGGATTTCTTATTGTCTGAGGAAGTACCATCAGACAGTAGGCCCGCGCCGTGTTGTCCCCGGAACACGTGTACAACCGGCCGTTGTGAATCTGGAGGCCGTGCACGGGGCCCGTGTGACTCAAAAAAGATCCCACAGACGGCTCCTCGTCCTCGTCTACAGATTATAACAAAACAACAGACAAGACGTTATTACGGTCAAAACATTTTTTTACTCAATGCGAGTGGAACAAACAATCCTCACCGAGCGTACTGCTGGGATCTTTCACTGGCTCGTGTGTGGGCTGAACTTTTCTGATCAAGAGAGAGAAACGTGGGTCACATTTGATCCCGGAGCCAAAGTAATGCCTCTAACGTCAGTTATCTACACCAAACGTCGCCTCACCTCTCCACATCGCTTTGCTGAAGCGTCTGCGTGCTTGACGAATTGAGCTCCACACTGACAAACCGTTGAGGGGACTCTTGGTGGGCCGGAGAATCTGGTCCATCCTCACTGTCCGAATCCCCCGATTCGTCGACGTCAATGACCACCAGGTTGCCCGGCTCCATCATTTCGACAGAGGCCTCGCTCTCGCTCCCCTCGTCGTCGTCTGCTGCGATTTGAGCTGTGGGCTCGTCTTCCACCTCCTCTCGTTCTCTGCAGAGATTTCCTTCCGTCTCCCCCACGGAGTCATCGTCCGCTGACGGCGTTTCTCCGCTCGCCGACGTCGCCGTCTGCTGCCAAGCGTTTGCGCCCGTCGCTTCGGAGCACTCGGCTTTGACTCGTTTGACAGCGGTAGCAGCCGGTGCAGTGGCAGCCAAGGATGGCGACGGGAGCCGCGGTGAAGGAAGATTGGGGGGAAACGGGAGCACCGGTAGGGTTGCGTGTAGCTGAAGTACACCTTTGAAAAGTTCTTGCTTGACTGGAATTGTTGGCAGGGCGAGGGGGCTAATGGAAGACGGTGGGACTGTGGGAGATGACTGCTGCCTGGAGGAGGTGGGGAAGACGGAGGCCAGAAGGGGAGAGTGTCTTGGATGCGCTGTAGCAGCAGCCCCTGCTGATGAGGTGGTGGCTTTCTCTGCGCCAGAGTATCCTCCTTAAAAGAGATTAAGAAGGCAAAAAAGGTCAACCGCTTGTTTGGTACCCCGTCGTCAGCGTGGATTGACTTCAGCCCCCCCACAACCTCCTCAGGATGAGCAGTTTAAAAAAAATGTTAGACTTGTTTGGTAGCGAAGGGTAAATCGACTCTACCTTGCATCCCTTGGAGGATTTCGATTCGCTGAGCTCTCAGATTGTTCACCTCCACAGAAAACTACAACAACAAAAAAATAAACAGTTTAATGTAAACCCTTGACATGAAAACATTTATTTGCTTTCCCCCCCAGTTATGTGTCCAGCCGTTGGTGGTGGTACCTGCTGTCTCATTAGCAGGAGTCGTTGCACTTCTGTGTAGGCAGCTTGCAGGGAATTGCGGGCCTGGACCAGAGACCTGTCCAAATCCTGCAAAGAGTGACTGAGCTCATCCTCCCTCAGAGAGACAGCCAACAGCTGGTCCATGGGGCCCTGGTCTGTCAGGTGGGGGAAAAGACGGACAACAGTTAGATTTTTATTTGTATTAAACAACCTCACTGGGATCCAAACGTTGTCCATTCAAATAAATATGTGGTTAAAGGTCATTGGACGTGCGTTACCCTTTTCATTCATAGAATTCTTTCAATTAGAACACACAGATAAGGCACCCAAAATATCAGAATTACCATTGTTTGACTTGGACTTCTTCTTTTTTCCACTTGGCTGCATGTGGGAAATGTCATCAGCCTGTAAGAGAACAGTGATTATATTACAACTAGGAAAAAGTATAAGTTTGATATCATTTGTGGGGTTCACTACTCACAACGTTGGGTTTCCTCTTGATGGCACTACAGTTGGCTCTCAAATCTCCAACAACACCCTCCAAGGTGGGCTCCACCTTCACGGGGAGACCGCGCGCTGCACCACGCTGCTCCAAAGGCCCCCGATTTGGAGCGTCTGGCTGGGTTTCCCTCTCATTGTGCGTTGTGTTCCGGGGCGGAGGGGACAATAATGGTTCACCTGAAGGACCTTCGGAGAACGTTTCCCAGTGGAAGCCTTCCGACGTAGTGGGGTCATTTGCTTGTGTGGCGCTTTCTTGGTCAGACAGAGGGTTCGCCAACTCAATTCCAAACCTGTTTCCAAACCAGAACCAAAACAACAGTTACCAAAGTATTACTTTAAACAAATGGTAGAAAACGTTTGAAAGAAAAGAACGGATTTACCTGGGCGTGCCGCTGCCGCTCTCCTGTTTTCTCCTTTTTAACTCCTCATACGTCCCCATCCCGCTTGGATTACTCTCGGCCCCTGACAAGTTGAGTTTACTTGTGGTTGGTTTAGCCCCGTCCTCTTTGAAGAATTTGCGGGAAATTCGAACCTTGCTGCGGATGTTCAGGTTGGGCTCTGAGGATGTAGGCGGACACGGGCTCAGAGGGGTCTTGCTGTCGAGGGAGTCCTGGCATCCTTGTGCCATTTCAAAATATCTCCGCTTTTGCTTAGATGAAGTAACGTTGGAGACAGGGCCAGATTGGCCAGATTTGCCAACCTGTGGAGAGGCTCCCGTCGGCTTGCATTTCTCATCTCCAGCTGACACCAGGACCCCTGCCTCGGCCTTCTGCTTCCGGGCTTCGCGGTCAGCTCTACACAGCTCCCTCACGCCCAGCGCTCTTCTGATTTGCCGTAGCATCGTACTGACGTCGACGTCCCGTATTGGGGCTGCATTTGCATTTCCGTTTGCTGAAGCCGTTTGAGCTGAAGCTCGCTGTGCCGACTGAGAGGATTCTGGACCCTGCACCTGGTCCTGACCAAAGATGATGGCTCCGTTATAAGGAAGATGATCACTGGTGAATTCTCCATCGTCCTGCTTGTTGTAATAGTCATCCTGGGTGATGGTAGGCCACATGTTTTGTTGTAGTTTTTTTGTTGTCTGTTGTTGCTCTCTTTGCTTTTGTCTTTTACAAGGTCTTTCGGTTGGGGAGCTCTTGATTTGGATGGAAAAGTCACTATACACCAGCTGTTGAGCTGATTGTGTGGACTGGTCTCTAACAGTAGAGTGATGCAAAGTTTGACCTGCAGGGTCTTCAGACAAGGAAACCAACCTGCTTTGATTCTGGGGAGTTGATTCTCTTTGGCAAAGGGAACTTTGCAGACTGGACACTTTGTTCTCTTTGTTTTGACAAACAGCATTGTTCTTTCCCTGTTTGTGAGTATCCGGCAGCAGTAGGCTACTCTTCACTGGCGTAGCTTTTTCCTGCTTCCCTCGTTTGGTCGTATTTTTAGCTATCAGTGGTTTTGGACGCTCCCTAGCAGCTGTCTGCTTCCCTTTCTTTTTCTTCTTTTTCCCTTCCTTCCTCCTGTAAAGGAAAAATGATCAGTTATTACAATGTTACATTGTGGATGGGATAAAATAGATACAAATAAATAGGTTATTACGCCTCTTTTCTCAGTGTCCTGTTTCTCTGACGGATCTGTAGCAGCCTTTCTTGGCCCAAAATCTTCAACAGGGAGATGGGCTTTACATGTGCTTCCATAAGGCTCTTCAACTTGGCCAGGTGTTTATCACTGGTGATGTGCTCAGAATACTTATTTAAATCCATGGGGGATGCCTTACACGCCAGGCATTCGTGGAATAAACCCCTGTTATTGGAAGAACATTTGGTCAGATACAAGTACATGTCAGAATCTCTACTTTAAAGTTAGTTGATACACGTTATGATTATGTTATCCCAAGTTTAGAAAATACTATTGGTGAATAAAAATAACATTTTAAATAATTTAAAACCTCATAATATAATTAGGTTTCATGTTTTTTAACCAGTTATTGTAGAACAACAATAATTTAAATAGGATATTTATGCCACAAACAAATAAAAAAAAAAGAATACCATTGAGGAATACAACCTTTATTATGTTATGCATATGGTATCATCCTTTTTTTTGAGATTGTGCAAGTGCATGATATACGTCTACGTACCGGTAAACGTAGATCATGCAATTATTTGCCTCTTTATGAAAAATAATTGATTCAAATAAAACAGGTTCATATTTTTTTTATGTAACAAATATCACTCACTTGCCCAGCACTGCCTCCAGCTCTATGTGATGCAGCATACTATGTACATGTCCTTGTGCATCCTGTAGGTAGGAGACATTTGGTCAATCTCATAGATCATTTGAACGGCTGTAGTTTGGTAAAAACCTTATACCAGCCTGCAGTAAAGCACATTTAAATGTATAAATTGGTAAAGTGAGAGCCACTTACAGGTGTATAATATGTTCTCCGACACAACTCACAGAAGGTCACCCTTGCTCCCTTCAGTATCTTCTTCGCAGGGGATTTAGCCGCCGCGTTTCTTGAGGTTTTAATCTTTGACATTTCTACCCGGATGAAAAAGGGACAAGCGACAACAGCACATGTGTATCAATGAAGCCCGGCTGCAAGGTCTCAATAGCGTCAACGAAGCAACGAATGAAGCCTCCAGAATATACACTGTTGATGATATTTACATGTTATCGGTATTGTAGGTAAATATCAAAGCATTGGCCAATATAACACTGCGGTCCTCGAGATCAATCGTATAACGTTAGCCCACAGCCGCACAACGTGGTTTTTAAGTCAAAGGTAACTAAGCTAGCTAGTTAGCGTTCATGTTTTAGGTGAACTAACGGTTGACATTAACCTTAAATTAACACAAGCCGTTACAGTTGACGGTAATTAAGGTGCAATCTTAACGGATTATGCAGAAAAAATATCACGCTTGAATGACAAATATATTTGAATTACCAGACACATTTATCATGGAAACACCACTCTTCTGCTCCAGAACCGCCATGTTGGATGACGTAATTTTACGTGAAGTTTAGGTCAGCCAATGGTTGGCGAAAGAGAACACCGGATGTCTGGCAGGAGGCAGCGGGCGATCTTCGTAGATCTACATAAGACCGGATAGGGGCGGTTTGGGGCTTTTGCGGCGACATCCGGGCGGGTTGTTTTTTTTACAGATCTAAAAAGGCAGGTTTCCACTGTTCGGTGCGGAAGAGGAATTTTCGCCCCCCCGAAAAAAGAAGAAGCTGTTCCTGTGGCGTCTCTCAGTCTATTTTCAAGTGACTCGAACAATTTTTGAGTTAAACATGTGTAACGGCTGTGTGCAAAAAGAATACCCGGACCGGGTAAGTTAATTCAATGTAGCTTGCCGATAACTAACGTTACGTAAAACAAAACAAAAAACGTGTAACTAACGTAAATGCGCAGATACTGACGTCACAGTGCGCCAGCGCCAAGTTTGGGGTTCACCATTACCTCAACGACGCTGTTCCTGTGATTTCCTGCTCAGGGGAACACCTGTCTGGAGAACGGCTCTTACCTGATGAACTACCTGTGCTGCGCGAGCTGCCATCAGAGGGACTTTGTGCTCATCAGCAACAAAGCCACCGAGGATGAGGACGGAGAGGAGATCGTCACATATGACCGTCCGTCCCTCTTCTAAGTGCTCCAGACACACACGTTTAACAACCAGTTTTCATCTCAATATATATGTGCTGATATTTATGGAGTGTTGCATCTAGGGCGTTGTCTAAAAATATATAGAGTAGTCAAAGATGCTTTGCAGACATCCAAAATCATTGAGAGCCACACACAGAAAAGCTCAAACACACAGCAACACACTGCTAAAAAGCAGTTCTGTCCAGATCTGTAAATCAAAGGGATCGGTGTAAACGTAATGCTGCAGCGTGCAGTGATATGATTGACAGTGGTAACAAGACCGTTTTCCTGTTTCAACAGGCCAACGTTCCTCCACGTTCGCCTAGTATAGTGCTGAAGAATGTGACACCTTTTTAGGATCAACTCGTGAGCCGGGCCTTGCAACCCAGTCAGCGGCCGACTTCACCTGAATCGGCCCAAATGCTTTCAAACTTTCAAAATCATGTGTAAAGCTCTTTAAAGGAGGACACAGGCTCTTATTGCAGCTCATTAAGGCCCCTAAATGTTTTTGGCAGTGACAGTGTGCTACCTGAAACAGCCGTGTGAAGTGAATGATAAGAATCTTTCATAATAAGACAAAACCTATTAATAATCCACGGCAGAAATGTAATCCACTAATCCCCATTTCTCCTTTCAGATGTTTGCAAGAACTGTGACCATGTTGTGGCCAGGCATGAATATACTTTCTCCGTTGTTGATGAATACCAGGTAATGTATCACGCCCTCTGATTCAACAGTGTTGTTGCCCCTAAATGGTCTCTCAGTGTGTGCACTTTTCTGTTGTGCAGGAGTACACTATGCTCTGCATGCTGTGTGGAAAGGCGGAGGACTCAATCAGCGTGTTGCCAGATGACCCCAGACAGTCTGCACCTCTCTTCTAGATCTCAAACCCGTTGGTCGAGAATCAGTTCTTAGATGAAGATCACGGATGTGTTTCTTGCATCAGGGTTCCAACCCTTTTTATCTTCCATACAAGGTTTTATGCATTTCTTAAATCAAATACACAATAATTTAAGTCCTTCAGTGTTTATAAACTAGTATGTGTGGATATCAGATGAGCAGCACCTATAACGTTTTATTATATTCCAGGGCGCAACAAATATTCTGTATGTGAATTGAAAATTTACTGTAAATAAAAATGTCTTTATCAGGAATTGTTTTACCGTCTGCATTTTACAGGTCCTACTTTTCCAGATTTAGTTAATATATCTTTAAACAAAAGTATATTTTTATGCTCACATGGTTCAAAGTAATTTATTTTGCCAAATAACTGGTCCCCCTAAATAGCAGGGTTCATAGTGGGGTTCATTGGCCCCAGTCTTGATAGTTCATTTGTGACTGGGCTTCGAGATATCGACTTCATTCCTGACCTTGGAAATAGCAGAGAACAAAAAAGTAAAACTTACCGTAAAAGATAAAAAATGAACTGTCAAATACATTTGTAAACCAACATGAACAGGAAGCCCCATTAGGTGCTCAGAACTAAACGTTTATATTAGCAGCTTGTCAAAGTTCTAGAGCAGCTGCTTATTGCAACATTTTGTGAGATTGTTTTTCTTTATTACATTTTTTGCTGTTATTTGAACATCTGGATTTGCGTTATAATTTCTTGCTGTTTCGTTGCTGTACCGCTAAACAAATTCCATCCTTTAGTACGGATCTGCTGACGGAAACCTCACGACAAACCAAGTTCTGACGAAACTTTAGTTGCACTGACCCTTTATTCGTAACGTGGAGTTCATATTTAGAGATCTTGTTAGATCTTCTGATTTCAATACGTTTTGAAATGTGTTAAAAAATAAAATGCAACAAGAAACGGACATGAACAGATTCCACTTTAGTCAGTTTTCTTCCTTTACCAATTACCCGATGGGCGAAATCAAACGTCACATCAATGCTGACGTCTTTCGATCAGAAGCAGTTCAATAAAAATACAGCGTTTTAGCGGATTTTACAAAGGAACAAACATAAAAAAAATGATTCGCAATGATACCCATGCACTTTTACAATACTTCAGTATGAGTGCAGTTACATGTACATTCTAATATTCGGCTGCCTTTTGCATGACAAATATTTCCTAGCAAAGAAAAAAAAAACACAGTACTACACTGATATGCCAAATGAGCAATTCATTGTCACATAGAATAAATAATCTAGCTATTTTACAGGAGTGAGGCCAACATGAGGCACCATGCTCGGGTTCTGTGCCTGAACGCCAATGTTGGTTTACTGCTTGTGGTGTTATTTACTCTTTAAGTGTTCTTAATGTGACTACATGGTTTCTATTAGTGTTCAATATAGTCCTCATGGTACATATTTACAATGAGCATGAATTTTACATCCCTCGAGTATTAAACATGATCTTTTTGGTCTCATATCAGGCCTTTATGGAGATTTAAGAGAAGAGTGAAATGAGAGGTAAGAGTTGGCAATCTTTGGGTTTTCTCAACCCTTTTTTGTTTCCACCTGCAGGTACCAAGTCACATTGTCAAGTATTTTGAGAAACACATCCATCGAATGAATAAATAAATACAATTTATACACTTTACATTACATACAGTACATTCCCTTGAGTAAATACCGTATTTACACATGCTATCAACGACTGAATGTGAAACTCGCTCTCGCCACGTTCCGTGGTCAGTCACTCGTGCGCCAAACGCAGTCATCGACTCACTTTGCCGGAGCCTTTCCCCTCGAGGCTCAGACCCCTTCCCCTGGAGCCGTGGCCCCGCTGAGCCGGCCCTGCCGACCTGTCGTGCGGGTGGGCCTGCTGGGGAGGAGGAGGAGGGGACCCGGAGAAGCTAGACGGAGAGCGGCTGCGTCCCTGCAGAGCGCCGACCTCCCTGAGCTCATGGCGGGACGGGGAGGAGCTGAGTGAGCGCTGCAGGGAGGAAGAGGAGCTTCGGGGGCGAGGAGGAGGGCTGAAGAGCATCCCGCTTCGGTCCTGCATCAGCTGGGTCAGACTGGCCAGGAAGTCTGCATCGCTGGTGCTGCTGGCACGCACCCTTAACCGCCGTCTTCTGGAGAGAAGGACAAAAGGACAATCTGATGACAATCCCCTCCGTATTATTCCTCCTCCACAGGTTCAACCTCAAAGTTATAATCCTAAAATTCCGAAAAATCCCATGTTTTTTTTACATTTCTTTTGACCATTTTTTCAGCAATTGGTGTTTCACATATTTACATTGTTGTAATATTCATTAGTGGTTGAGTCCACTACTCCTGCATTATTACAATGGAGGTTCATGGGAAACGACGGAGCATTCGCATTTTTATCCCACCTACTGTTCGCGGTTCACCATACCGACGGCAGATAAGAGCGTGCTAAGCGACCGCGAAGGCAAGGCGACCCAAAAACGCTAACACCTCCAAACGATCGGCCTTCTTTTTGCAACCAGGAGTCGCCCCCTGCTGGCTATTATAGAGAATGCAAATCCAAGAGCCCTCTCGCATTGGCTCCACTCTACAGCTGTAAAAGGGTTATAGTTCTACATACTAAGCACCTGACAAAAAGGGACCAATGAGTGGGTCATTATGCGGCATCGTACCTGTTGTCCGCACATGGGCGCAGGGGTGGCTTCCCAGGTGGCGGCCGAGGCAGAAACCTGCTGGTGAGTAGCTCGGGTACAAAGGTGGCGCTCACGGGGCGGGGGATCTTACTTTTACTACCCGACGAGGAGGACAGAGAGAGAGGCTCTTCTCCCACACAGTCAGACCTGGAGCATCGCTCCGAGAGGAGCCGGTCTCTCAGCAGAGCGCAAGGCAGGTTGTCACAGGACAGAGATGGAGAGGGGGAGTGGGTGGGGGAGGCGGGGGCCGGACTGCTCCAGCGGTGGCGCCGCTCCATGTTGTTGAGGTCCCTGCTCGGAGAGTCCAGGGGGTTGTTTGGGTCTCGCACCGGGATCCGACTCAATCTCGGGGACGACGGAGAGCCTCGTCTCCTGAGCAGAGCCGGCGGCGGAGAGGAGGAGACGGTGACGGTGCTCTCCAGAGCGCCTCCCGCTGTGTCGGCTTGAGGCTGCTGATTCGGCTCTGAGGAGCGATCGGGAAGACCGGAATCACTCTCTGGGTCTCTGTCGTTTGTCAGATGGGCGGGGGGGGCTTTGGCCGAGCTTTGGATTGGAGCGAAGTCCAACCTCCCTCCATCCTTTAAGGTTTCCTCCGGGTGTTTTTCAGATTTATCAGACGGTGCCTCCAGCGGTATCGCATCGCTCCTCTCCTGCACGGGGGACTGCGGGGCACCGCTAGAAGACTGAGATGGTTTTCATGATTGTTAGAGGGTGTGACCCCAACGAAAGACATACATTTTGCACAAATATGTAATAAACATACATAAGTTTAAAGGTATTGTAAGTTGCACAGTTGCTCTGAATGATAAAAACATGGACATGAATTTTTTCACGACACCGGAGCACAAATTTAAGCAACTCTGCCTGGCAGAATTATCACTACGTCAGCAGGATGAAAAACTGATTGTATTAGTGTCCCTATGTTGTACTCCCATCCTATCCACATGTCAATGACATCGTTTGGTGAATGTGTTTACTGCATGAATGTATTATCTATGATCCAGGCATGGAGTTAAATATTATATATGTTATATTCTTTATCACTGAATTGCAACTCGATATTTGAACATATTCTACACAGATAAAGAGAAACTTGAAGACCCCGTAAAATAGTAAAAAGCTCCTGAACATTTAAGCTTAATTTCCATGATGCTTTGGTAACTGGTATACAACTCATTTCATTTTATTTCCCAATGGTACTTTAAGTTTATGCACAGATAAATGCTCGCTCAGTCCTACCTGGTCCATCTGGGGTCTTCCCATAATCACAGAGGGCATTTGTCCCAGCATCCCCGGCAGCCTCCTGTGGCCCAGTAACCACGTGCCGGGCACGGACATCTGCGACAGGACAGGGCTGCTGGGCACCACTGAGGACTGGCCGTCCTGTGGCTCAGAGGACTGGTGGTCCGTCTCAGCGGCCGCGGGTCTCCCAGGCGTGTCCTCGCGTGGGGCCTCACCTGCAGTCTTGGTGGGTCCGGAGCCGCCGCCTTGCTCCAGCTCCAGCATCACCCACTCCTGGGAGTCCCCCTCCTGGGGAACGGGACTGAGGTTCACCGCCACAAAGCCGCTGCTGGCTGCGCCCTCCTCGTGGTCCGGGGTCGCCGTGCCAGAGTGTTCCTCGTTGCAGGGAGACTGCTGCCCGTGGGCCCTCTCGGGAATGGACTTCTCTCCGACTTGAAAGAGGACAGGGCGCTGTTTGCCCAAGCTGAAACAAGACATTCTCAGTGTCGCAGAGCGTCTTGCTTATGACTGTATTTATTTATTCCATGTGTGTCGAGTGCTTACTAGGCCTCGAGGAAGCGCTCGATGGTGGGCTTGGGTTCGGGCGCCAGCCTCTTTTCAAACGCCAAGCTCTGACTGTGCCTCATCCTCCGGAGGAGTGGCGCAGCCCGCTCCAGGAACATGGTCTCGGATCGCACCCGTCTAGGAGAACTCTGCATGGAGCCGGTGTTGGGGCTCTGGTTCCCCTGGTTCTGACTGTGTTCATCTTCACTCACCACCTGAGGAGAATGATTGACAAGCTCAAAGATCTTAAATATTGCACTTTTATACACGGAAAGAAGCTGTGGCAAGAGATTGATTTGTTTATATGGGGAGGAAGACGGTGAGTAGTTGGTTTCTACGCAAGCCTAGCAACAGGAGAGGTAGTAATAGAGGTTGGCAGGGTTATTACTAATGTTATTACTGGTATTATCATCACATCTAAAAGGTAAAGTCTATGGCGCAGAGTTCTGTGCATGACGTGCACTGCAGTGCAGATAAACTGTGGATCTCAATGCAAATGAGGAAAATCCAAAATCCATAATAAGAGCACTATTTCAGCAGTAGGTAAGAACATTCTACTTAAACCACGTTGCCCCGACCTTCCTGATCATCGGCTGGACGTGTTTATGGTTGCGGTTGCGGTCCATCTCTTCCCATACATCTGCACCAGGGGTGGTCGGTGTGGGGATGGGGGGGCAGTTGTCAGCATCGCTGAGGCGCTCCCCTTGCAGGACATCCTCCGTGTTCTCCCTCTGCAGCTCGCCCGGCAGCACTGAAGCATTGGCCATGCTGTGGAGGAGAGGGAAGGTCACCCTGCGGCTCGTTTACGCAGCACAATTTACAGCAGCGCTTTTCGTAGGGGATCTCTAGCTGTGCAGGATTCTAGTCTGTAGCTCTATATTCTACCGCATATCCAAGACTGTGATGGAAGTTTCAATATAACCAGTAAATCTACAACAAAGAGATGCAATTAATAGAATACATGGCGAAATATAAAAAGTAGTACCCTAAGTACGCCGGCGTGAGGCGAGTAAGCTGCTGAGCAGTGGTTGTCGCGGCAGTGATGGTCAGCATATCCTCCGAATCACATTTCTCCCAGTCATAAGGGTCATTCTCCAGCACGTTGTGGCTCTTCATAGCGCTGTCAAACACTGACATCAGGAGCTGTCGCAGAGAAACCACGAGCGTCAGCATGAGACAGGAACAACGTGTGTGAGAAACCTACCAACGAAGTGATGGACCGACCTGATAGTCTGGCTTTGTGAAGTAGTCCAAGATCAAGACGTGGTCCAGGAAGTTACTAAACTCTGTGGGAAGGTGCTTGAGCATAAGTCGATTGTCATATGTGTCTTTCAGATTCCCTACTTGTTCCTAAGAGCAGAGAGGGACAAAATGCGACTTGTAATGGAAACACATGGAGTGAAATACAAATATAGAGCGTCTAAACATAGAGGAACGTACCTTGTCTTTGATTTTCCTCCAAGGCAGCTGACCGACCGTGAATTCAACCAGCATGTAGAAGAGGGACCACAAGTCGTCATGGCGACCCATCTCCTACAAATCACAAGACACATATGTGAGTGACTTCAAGGACGCAACACATTTGAACAGAATATATGCGTTTGGTCCATGCTCACCTTATTCTTATGAGCATTGATTGAAGCATATCGGACAGTTCCTCTGAAGCCTGCCACGGGACGAGGCTGAGAGAGGATAAGGACATAATATATAAACGCTTTATAGTGTAATAACACGCAGTGGTATTCACCAATACTGTGTTGGAGGCAGCTGGATTTACTGTTTAGTCTTAAAAGACTTCTTCGTGTCCCGAGCATTTCAACATTTTTGGGACGCTCATAAACAGATTTCACATCAGCCATGTGAAAGTTTTCACATTAATTGAATACTCATCTGGTGTGAAAAGCGTAGATTGGGTACTTTCTATTATGCATTTATATATACATATATCCTAATTTTAATTTATATATCCTCATCTTAATTTATTTCGGAAACACTCTTTAAGAAAACTCTCTCTCAAGGGTTGACGGAGTAACCTTTTCTCCGGTGATAATTAACTTGTGGTACTCCGGTTTAAAAAAGACATTTCACGCAGAGTACTTACTGGACGAACTTCCTGGCTGGAGTTGGTAAACTGACGGGCCAAGCCGAAATCCAGCATATAGCAGCACCTGCAGGTGCTGGCCAGTCTTCCCATCGCAAAGTTAGACTATCGTTTTAACGACACAGAAAAAGAGGAGCAGGTTTAAAGTAACACACACCAAAAAAACAAATTCACACACCGTCAAAGGTCTCGGGTCAACTTACAGGTTTAATGTCTCGGTGCAGGAAGCCTACGGAGTGGATGCTTTCGATGGCCTCTAATATCTGCTTGCCGAGTCTCAAAGTGGTGGAAATGGAAAAGATACCGCGGGCCATGGTTCTCCGCAGGTCTGCCAGGTTCCTCCCCTTTAGGACGGTGTCGGTGTTCAAAATGTCACATTCATGAGGCGGGCTTTAGGGGTCGGCAACGAACGAAATAGTCGAGCAACATGAACTGGTCGGAATCCTACCTGAAGCTCCATCACCACGTAGTTGAACCGATCATTTCGGCCACAGCCCACAAAGCGACACACGTGGTCTTTGCCTGACAAAGAAAGAGGGATCGTTTCAACAGATTCAGGGGAAAGCTGCGGCGTCTGGTAGTTCTCCGACGAGGGGAAACCAACCATCACTCACCCTGGAGCTTTTTCAGCACAGCCACCTCCATCTTCAGCACCTGTTTGGGCTGCTGAGCGGACTCCACCTTCAAGGCAACAGTGGCCTGGCTCAACTGATCCAAAACCTCGTAGATCTCCCCGAACCCGCCTCCTCCGATCTTCCTCGTCTGAAAAGAAGGGGAACATCACATTGTCATTGCTCTTCATTGGGCCATCGGCTTGTTGTTGTTGTTGTTCTCTTTTCTCTTACCACTTTCCATCTGTCTCTGACCACGTCTGCCACTGACAGGATGTCCGTGTGCTCTCCAGCCCCACTCATCCTCAGTGCTCTCAGCTACAGCCTGCGCCTGGCATCAGTGGCTCCAGCCTCTCACTGGAGACAGGTTGGAGGGGGGAAACAGATTTGTTTTAAATGCAGATCCGTTCCCTCTTTGAAAAATCGCTGCACTCTGCAAGCTAGCGGGCGTGCAAAGCGCAGCCAGGTGGCAAGAAGCATGACTCGTAAACTGTTGTGCCCGACAGAAACACGAGCGGGACATCACTTAGGACGGCTACGTGGGTTGAAGCTAACCTCGCATCTCACGTCTTAAATGGTCACATAAGACGCTAACAGGCGCTGGAGGGTCACGAAGAGGCTGCAGTTTAGCACCAGATGACCGACACAACACGGCCGATCACTGGCCCATAAACCGACCTCTAAGGAGATCAGCCTCGGGCGGGGAGGCTGATGTAACGGCGTTCAATGCGGCGGCTTCGGTGGTCCCGTAAACAAGCTAACTAGCTAGCATATAGAAACCAAATATGACCGTTGAGGTTGAGGAGCAAACCTCTCTTGACCTCGTACCTCACTTCGTTGCACCATTCCGATCCGAGTTAAAAAAAAACGGCGAACAGTCCCCATGCTCCAAGTATGTTAACTAGCGAAGTCATTCGGAGTAGTTGTATATTTTAGAAATCCGGTAACGATGGTGGTGCATCGCTGACTGTTAGCCGGAGTTAGCCCGGCTAGCCTGCTAACGGATGAGGAGCGATGCCGAATGCCCCGTGCTCTGCCTGGCAGCGGCGACGGTGACGTCACGCCTCCTGCGTCCTGATTGATCCGCAAACCCCACCGAAAAATAAGAAAATAAAGTACTGCAAACCCTGGGCTACCGGCAGTTTGTTGGAAGAAGCCGGCATATAAACCCGAAACACAGCCGGAACGATTGCAGTCCAAATTTGCGCAGTGGACAAAAGGGAGGAACACTGCATCATCAGCGTTTTTGGGTCACCATTCAAAACTGATCAGCTGTGATCGCCGGTGTCGTAAAATGAATAGAAAGGGCGTTGCAGGGCTTTCTGCTGCTGCTGATAAAATATTGATAACCCTCCACCCCCGTTCATCCCTCCATCACTAGTTGCCTACAGTGGTGGGAAAAGTACTCAGACCGGTAGACTGTAAGTGACAATACTACAGTATAGATACAGGTCAAAATCATTTGATCTTAGTGCAAAGGTATTCGCGTTAAAATTCACTAAAAATATCCTACCCAAAATAGACCAACTCAGAAAATGTACATTATATATGTACATTAATGTTGCAGCTTGTAAAGTTGGATGTGCAGAATATACTATACTTAGCTGGTTGAATCGATAGTCTTATCTTTGTCTATTATAATGCATTATAATTTACTAAAACTATAAAATAAATGTATAGCAGTGACACGTGTCCCCCGGAATTGTACCGTAGAAGTACAATATGCAGCATAACACGTTAGTTACTTTCCACCAATGCCACTTAACTACACATGTCGTATTCAAATCCACTGAAAACAAATCAAGACGAACGATGGAATGAATGATGATGAATCATTATTGTTATTCAATGACGCCTTGTTCACTTAGTGTGTGAAAAAAGTCTGGCTCACATTAATTTAAATGGAAGATGGAAAAACGGTTGGATTGGGCTCAATTTATTAAGTAATCCAGCAAAGTCACATGTGCTGCATTCTCCAATCAAACTTTTGCAAACATTAATGCTAAATGATCTTGTAATTGCTCCACCCACACATTGAAATGTGCCATATGTGGAGTTTGCAGTTTAGTTATGATGCAGTGATGCAATCCTGACATGACACTTTATTCCTGTCAACCCAGTCTTAAAATATTATCCAAGAAACCAAACACAAACCCAACAGGCCTCATGGACACAGCTCTGGCTGGATTTATTTAATAGATGTTAACCATTGCAGCATTGCCAAAGCAAATATTTTCCTTTTCAGAATGGGAATTCCTTAATTCGTTAAGTTATATATCTATTTATTCTGAATAATTTGCTATTGAGATGTAATGACCACAAGTTCAAATGTATACAAAACAAAAAAAACATACAAATGTTTACACACACTTAGTATGTCTGACATATTATGGCAATAAATGCTTCCTGATTCCTGACTTGCTGTAAAAACGATATAGTTGTATAGTATTTTCTTTAGGAGAATCTGCATAATCACAATGACGTTATAGACACATGACCGTGTTTAAAACCACAACAAGCAGTTTCGGCAGGACAAGTTTGAGGCTCCGCTTTCCGGCCAGCCGTGACAAACAAATCAAACGTACACGGATGCAGCAATGGGCGTGGCCAGACGATCGGATTGGATAACAGGATGTGAGTTGAGCCGATTCGGGGTGCGTTGCGTTGCGGCGGGGCGTTCTGCGGCGCCCAACTTTTTTTTTCTCCCCCCCCCCCCGTGTGTTTGCGCAGTTTCGCGTGTTCTGGATGAAGCGAAACGCGCCGTTTGAATTCTCCACGCTCGTTTAGCAAAGTCGGCGGAAATACCAGAGCCGGGCCCGCAGCACGTCGCCGTTTTTCCACACGTCTCATGCGCGGTCCACTCGCCGCTGCGGGGGGAAAGTTGTGGACGTTTCCTCCCCCTGCACCCCACCCCGCCGAGGCGCACGGTGTCACGGATACAGCGTGCCACATTGTAACTGCAGCGTTAATGAGCCTCTCCAGCACGTCTTGATTTTTTTGTATTTTTTTTTGTTGTTGTTGTTGGATTATGTGCTCGTGGGATTGTGAGGCACACGCCCGTTCGCCATATTGTGCGCAGTGAAACTCGAGTGAAAACTTGTCCCCGAGTTATGACATTTCGACGCGCGCGCAACCCCTTCATGGAGCTGCATGCAGTCGACTTTGATCGGAACCAAAGTGACTCCATGGAGCTGGCCATGGAGAGTTCCGTGCACCATTGATAAGGTAGCGCAAACAACCCACACACTGTGTTTCGCTTATTGCTCGCCCTTCCGCCGTGTTGCCTAACAGCTCTTCAGACGCTTCCTTATTGCTGTTGTGTGTGTGTGTGTGTGTTTTTTTAACATAACCCGACTGGATATCGCCCTGGTGGTTACACGAGCCCCCTTCGTTTCCTGTATTTCTTGTTATGCCAAATGGCAGCTACACAGTAAGCGCCTCCTCGTCGCCGTTTTTTTTGTTTTTTTTGTTTTAAATAAATAAAACTTCTCTCGGGTGTCTTCGCCGTCCCGTCCGCATGCACTCGGACGTAAACGTAGGTTTCGCTTGCAACGACAGACGCGCTTGTGACTCGCTTTTCACTTTTGCTGACTGCTCGACTCGGCGGCTCGTGTAGGCCTCGATTTCCTCTCCGCTGCACGCGACTGAGAGGCGACGGGGAGACAAACAAAAAAAAAAAACAATGTGAGTGCTTGTCGTCAAGATAACGAGAAAGCGTCTAACCACTTCTTTTTCTCACAAGGTCCGGCCCCGTAACGAGGATGAGAAGAAAGGACGGCAAACCTCAGATTTGATTCTGGAAGGAGGTTGCATGCTCTCCCCCCCCCTTCCCCACCCTGCACTTTCCTTTTTGGGGGGATTTTGTATTTCCTCCCAAATACCTCTTTGTGTACACAGTTGAACAAACAATTCCTTCAATCTCAGGCATTGAAAAAGCACACTACAGAGGCAGTGACACTTCGCCCGCTCAGAGATCAAGATTGCGAGTTGTGACTCCCACACATTGCCGTATGTTACTATGAGTCTTCCTCCTCAAGTTAATGCTGACAAGAGCGGCAAGCATCGCGCCGCGGCCATGAAAGAGCCCGTGCAGCATTCAGGAGAGGTTTATTATGCTATGGGACCTCCGGCGTTAGAGTCGAGCCACAGTGACTCTGCCAGCGGTTCTGGTGTTTACAACCCCGAGAAAGGGCCTCAAAGTCTACCGCACTATCAACAGGCTGCTCCAGTAAAGTGGATGCACCAGGACTCCGCGCAGGCCCCCGGCTGGTCTCAGGAAGCTCCTGTTCAAGCCTGGGGCCAGAACTTTGGCCCCTACATGGGCGGGGTGAACGTCAGGGGTCAAATGGCCTTCCACAAAGGAGTCCATGAGGGTGTAGCTCTGCCAATGGGGGGAGAAAATCAACTCCCGGGACCCGTTGAGGTTTACAGAGATGCCCCCCAGGCTCCGGCTCAGGGGAGGGGGCTCGAGTGGGATCAGCACACTGCGGCTGCGATGCACCAGGCTCAGCTGCAGGCTTACCAACACGCCCACAAAGGCGTGGAGCTTCAGGGTCAGACCCACGCACCTCCTCACACTTTGCAGGGGTCCATGCTGCAGCCCTTCCAGGCAACATTTAGGCCCAGCAAGCAACAGTTTTCATCAGGTTATTACTCTGTTTTTCCAGGCAACAAGGGAATGCCGAATCTGGCGTACGCCGAGCAGCCTAAAACTCAACAGCAGCAGCAGCAGCTGCTACAACAGATGCAGCAGCAGCAGCAAATGCATCACCATCACCACCAGCAACAGCAACAGCAACATCAGCTGCAGCAGCAGCAACAGCAGCAGCAGCAGCAGCAGCAGCATCACATTCAATTGCAACAGCAGCAACATTTGCAGCAACATCAGCACCAACTCCAACGGCGTCAAATGCTGCAGCAAATGCAGCAACAATATCACCAGCAACAGATACAGGAGCAACAGCAACAAATACAGCAAATGCATCAGCAGCAAGTGCAACAACAAAATGTGCCACAGCTAGAAGCGGCACAACTACACGCGCAACCAAAACCGCAACAAACAGCAAACTTTGTAACTTCTCCCCCTCCCGAGCACACCCCGCCCGTTGCCGCTCCTAACAAGGAGGACGTCCAGTCGCTGGAGATGCCGCAGGAGCCAGCGGCTCAAACGTGCGACGCGACCGTCGCAAGTGATCCGTGCGCTGAAAAGCTCACCCCAAATCCAGAGGAGCCCTCGGATGCACAGGCTGCCCCTCGGCGTTCACGCCGCCTCTCCAGAGAAGGACAGTCCCCGCTGGGACCCCCTTCGACCAACATCTGGTCTCAAGCGTCCAAGGATCCTCCGTCATCCCTGAACGGAGCAGCGGGCCCGCAGGCTGCTAAAGGAGGGGAAGTGACAACGGGAGGGGTCATCCGTCGGAGAAGGAGGGCGTCTAAGGAGATCAACTTGGAGACTTTAGCCCAGAAGGCATCAGAAATGGAGTCCCTGCCGGCAAATATGGTCAAGGTTAATATTCACTCATTACACTGGCACTGTTTGTTTATTTGTCTATTTATTTACGACAAAACAGGCCCCATTTAGAAGCGGGGGAAAGCTAATAGCAGGCAATCTATGCCTGCAAGAGACAATGATATCATCTGGCACAGTTGGCGAGCGGCTGCACAAAGAGGAAGGAGCTTGTTTCTATGCAGGACTTCCCTATAGCTTGCTAAACCGTTTTCTTCGGTCAGTTGATTTGATTCCGGCTGCAGGCGGTGGGACGCGTTTGTGCAGTCGTACTGTTCAAGGTGGTGTCCTGCACGACACCGAGATACTGGTGCGACCTGCAAAACGGCTTCTTGGATTTCGAAAAATTGCTCTTATCGACGTAAACCCAAGATGACGCACTTAACGTCGTTATTCAGGATATATAACGTAACGAACTGTGGCACAACCAAAGAAACCGGCTTCCTTATTTTCCGTTTAAGCAGTTTTGTTAAGTCACGAGGCGTATAAATAAATGAAACTCCTGTTTTTGTTTTCTTAGAACAGGGAGGTCTAGTACTCTGGCCTGCGGGGTTATAGGGCTTGTGCTGGGTGTTTGTGCAGAGCGCGCATGCCGGACGTACAGTTGAAGCGGCTGCATGTCTGCACACCTCCACATTCCTTCGACTCCTTCCCAGTCATTCATACTAGCAGAGCTAGGGAAGGGCTGAGCTGTCAACCCTTGCGCCAATAAGCCCTAACACCCACACAAAACCGGTTTAATATGTGACACCCACCCAGTTCTGCTGTATTGTGGTTAACTAGCAGCACGTTTGTGGGTTTAGATTATTCGATTAAAGTTTCTTGTATCCATTTTGTTGTAATAAGTTGTAAGATTTGATTTGTTTCACTGACAACAGCAGAAGTTAGTGTTGTTTTTTCCCCACCAGCATGACCAGATATACCAGGAAACTGTGGACATTTATAAATACTAAGGAAATGCGTAGTTGTATTATTTTGTTAGTGGAAATTATAATCCTTCATTTACATTTCACTGAAAACATTTCTTTAGCTTTTATTTTATTACGATTTTGCTCCCCACAGTAAAAGTAAAGTGAGCGCTACTTCTCTGTAACTGCTGGATTTTCACAAGTTCGGAGGTCTTTGATGTTGGGGTTCCCTGCCTTTCCTTCTACGCTGTGCTAAAATGCATTTAAATTAGTGTTGCAGATATGACAATGATCTCTAATCCCTTTTGCCTTTCCACGCCTCTTTTCTGAATCTCTGTGCCACGTTCTCTTCCCCCGTCTCCCCGCTCGCTTTGCTCCGGTTCCTCAGCAGGAGGACGGTTCCTCGGGCCGACAGGCCTCCATGGTGCCGTTGGTCATCCCCGTGTCGGTGCCGGTGCACAGGAGTCAAGCGGATCCTCACGGGGGCTGGACTCCGGGACGACTCGGCGAGCGGCCTGCGGGGCCGTCTGATCACAAACCTTCTGTCATCGTGGCTCGTCGGCGATCACTCAGAAACTCCATGGCCGAGTGTTTTGGTCTGGTTAGTATCACGTTTAGTATGACGTTAGCATTGCTTTGTCTACATGTCAATAATTAGATAAAAGAACTCATTTTACATGTTGTGTTGACCAGATATGTGTTCAGAAGTTTCCTGGAAATAAGTAATGCAGCATGAAAAACAACCAATTAATTGACTGAGGCGATAGCAGTGAATGTGTGTTGCAGGAAGTTAAGAGGAGTTCAAGATGAAACTGCGGACCGCAGAGGGTTTAGTTTAACTTGAAGGGCTGGATCATCTCACTAATGTGTATTTGATGTAGTTCTGTTTTCAGTCTCTATGCTAAGCTAATGGGATTGCTGCTCCAGCTCCGTATTGCCTGCCTGTGAGCCCAGTGAACCCCCACTGGAGCCCCTTGGACATGTTTGTGGTTCATGTGACTCAATAACCCTCAAACTGCCCTTTTTAACCGGGTGTGTTGGTTCACAATGAAGCTTCATTCAGCCAGTACACAATGTACAATGAGACAACGTTTTGGGGAGAGCACCCATGTACGTCTATTTTGAAAATCCACCCAATGACAGCTGGTTATGCTTTGGTCCGTTCGGGTGTGGCAAAGGTCTGTGTGTCTTGAGTCCTGGTTTATTTGCTCACTGCAAACACTTAATGGGTTTGTGAGAAATTCCCCTGAAAAACAGCTGGTATATTAGTTCAAGGAGGAAAGAAACTCAAGTTGTTTTAATTAAGAAGCCAATGAATAATATTTGAAACCATCTGATCACATGCCCTCTTCAATCATTTCACAAGACTTTACAATGGTCATAATAACTTTTTTAGGATGGGGATGGGGAAAGCGACCCGGGCCTGGATGAGGATGGAAAATCCAAATTTAAGCGCCGACCCCGACCAGAGCCTCTCATCATCCCGCCGCACAAACCATCCACCTTCATCCCGCCGTCCCTCTACTCCAGCATCTCCTCCTACCAGAGCAACCTGCGCTCCCCCGTCCGCCTGCCAGACAACCCCCTCGCCATGCCCCCGTACACGCCTCCGCCCATCCTGTCCCCCGTGCGCGAGGGCTCGGGCCTCTACTTCTCCGCCTTCCTGACCAACATCGCCGTGAGCAACCAAATCCTGCCCCCCCCACCTACGCCCAAATCCGCGACCCGCAGTCTGTTGCGCTCGGGTAAGTCTCGGCTTTTGCTTCGCGAGAAAATTCTACCCATGTGGTCGTCTCCGATGATGTGCTGATGAGGGCGGGTGGTTTTTTTTTTTTTTTTTTTTTTGTATTCTCCAGCGAGTTCAGATATCACACCTCCTCTTCTGCCCTTGATGACCGATGCCACGCCTGCTAGCCTTGAGCCGTAAGTCCAGTCAATGAAACTGGCCTCACATGTTTTCAACTTCTGGCCCCAAAGCAACAACTTTTTTTTACTTGTTCAGACGTATCAACATCGGGCAGCATTACCAGGCGGCAATTCCGGAATTAGAGGATCGTTCTTCCTCCCAGTCGGCCCAGGACAAGGCTGACTTGGTTTGGCGCCCTATGGACGACTCCCACCTAAAACACGGTGACCAAGAGCGCCGTTGGCATCTGACCTCAGTCACCCTCTGAGAGTTCTCACCCTTCCTCTTTGTTTGAGATTCCTTAATCATCCACCGCTAATTATTTCTAACCCTCATCATTTCCACAGTGGACGATATGATGAACATGGCTTGTTGCAGTGTGCTGAGGGGCGGAGGAACCAACCAGGAGCTGGTTTCACACTGTTTACATGAATGTGGAGGAGACTTCCTCGTGAGTACAAGGACCCATAATCAGGACAACTTGAGAACGGCTTTCTTTAACTGAAACGTCCTACTTGTTACTGTCAGAATTGATTATATAGTTTCGGGGATCACTGATTGTTCATGTTGATTTTAAGGAAACACTGGAACGTTTGATGCTTCAGGACCCAGTTTTCCCCAAAGATCATCCCCTGGCAGGTTATCACTACTCAGGTGAGCATCGGCCTCACAATAAAAGAAAAAACGATTCATGGAAATACTTTTTGACAAATTCTCTGACTTCCATCAGAAGATGATTCTTCTTCTTCATCTGCTCGGTCTCTTATTTCCTAACCTTTCTTTTAAATGTTTCATCATCTTTTGTAAGAATATATTTAATTGGCCCGCAGGCTCTGATTGCTGGACTGCGGAAGAAAAGTGCTACTTCAACAAGGGGATCTCTGCCTACAGGAAGGACTTCTTTATGGTGCAGAAATTGGTACGCACAAACTAATCCCAATCAGTGTAAATTAATTGAAAACTCATGTAAATGTAAATAAACGCGAGTCATATTTCAACCCAAATAAATTGTTATAAAACGTTATCTGCGACATTAGTATAATGGATTTAAACAAAGTTTATGCTCCCTATTCTAAACATTACAACATGGAGGCCAGATTCTGATGTAACAATGTTTTTAAATCGAATCACAATCCGCATTCAAATGTAATGAGTTCGAATCGTGCAAAAAAAAAAGACGTGAATGAGAATAAACTACATATCATATTGATTTTAAATTCTGCATCTCTTTTATGTTTTTAAGGTGCAGACAAAGACTGTTGCTCAGTGTGTGGAATTTTACTACACATACAAGAAGCAGGTGAAAATCGGTCGCAATGGGATTTTAACCTACGGCCCTCCAGAGTCTCCTCTGGAGAAGCACACGGAGGTTCTGGTGGATGTTAAGGTGGAGTTCACTTTTAAATTAGGACCAAATTAATGTTACAGGTTGTTTGCCCAGCTGTATTTTCATTAACTGACTTGCGTTACAGGAAAAATGGGATCCTATTGTGAAATTTCTTTTTTAAACGGGCCACCAAATGATCTCTTGTGTTTTTTCTGTTGTGGTCCAATAGAATTCACAGCGGACAAAATGTATTCAAGGCGACGCTGATGACAATAAGAGGGATGTTTCCTACGACAGCAGCCATCAGGCGACGGTTGCTCGGTCACTACAGGCTCATGACTACGTAAGCGTTACTCCGCGTCTTCTGTTATCAATCAATGTTTGTGTGAAGTAAAACCATACAATAGCTTTGCCTCTCCGGTGGTCTGCAGGCAGGAACAGTGCTGGTGATCAAAGAACCAGAGCCGGTGAACAAGGAGGTTCTCCACCCGTCTGCACCTCATAGGCCTCCAGCCGAGCCCGCAGCAAAGAAGAGCAGAGCGCCAGCGAAGCCGCCGCCGGACCCCGACGCAGTATTTCCATGCAAGAAATGTGGCAGGTACTTCAGAACCGTCAGAGATTTGTCATTATTCAGACTGGGAAACTTTTTTTTTTACTAATTGTTTTTTTTTCTTCTTTAGCCTCTGTTTGAGATTTGCTCATTCACTTACTCTCCCTTTTTTTTTAATGATTAAATAAAACAAGGACATTAAGACTATTAATTGATTCAATTAATCTTATGAAGACCTAAAGAGAAAAGATACATTCTATGGCCATAAAATATTCTGCTGTCTTTGTTTTGACAATTAAACTTTTTGATTTAAAATTTACATTAGAAAATAAAATTGTGAAATGAATACTTCAGTGTGATTTAATAGCCTTAATCTTGTATCAGATATATGTGCGCATCATTGCAAACTGCAGCTACTGTGTGTAATGCTGTGTTATTTTTCATCCATTTCCTAATAGGGTGTTTTATAAAGTGAAGAGTCGAAGTGCCCACATGAAGAGTCATGCGGAGCAGGAGAAGAAGGCGGCAGCGCTGCGTCAGAAAGAAGAGGACGAGCAGGCAGCTGCCGACGCTCGGGTCAGGAAGGCGGCTGCGGCAGTGGCTGCGGCGGCAGAGGCAGCTAATCGGGGAGGAAATGGCATCGGAGAGTCGGAGGAGCCAGATCTCAGCAGCCAGGAAGACTCGTCTGAGGGAGAGGATGACAAGGATGAAGACTGGCACTGAGGGACACACACATCTGGAGAGAAACCTATTGGAAGAGGGATTGATGGGTGGAGATGGAGGTTGAATCGGAAGGGGGGAGGAAAAGTAATAACAACAACAACAACAACGTCCCGCCTCACAGAGAGCAGAATAAAGTCCCCCTACTCTGAGTGACCGTAATCCACCAGCCAGCCAGTCACACTCCACATCGACATTTTGTGTCTTTTAAAATATTCAGAGGATGTTTATTTTTTGTAAATGCACTTATCCCATATGCTTCTGCTTTTGCCAATATTGCCTTTTTATATCCATTATTTAATTGAATTTAATGTCAAAATATTATACATTTTCATGGTGTGGACTTAATGGTTATATGATGTTTCACAAGATAATCAGAATGCCTGTTGAGCAACAAATCAAGATCAAAGCTATCTTTCACTAAACAGTATCACCCCTTACAATAAAGATTGAGTAAGAGCTTATATTTATCTTTTTCTGAGGAAAATGTGATTGTGCAGAATTTCCCCCAGATTTTTAGGTTGGTTGTACATTTATTTTGTACAACTGAGGGATCCTTTGAAATGAATATGTACAAACGTTATATATGAGATGGCCATATATTTATGATACTGCATTTGTTTTACAATGATTTTGGTAATATAAAAACTAATCATGTCAGCTGCAATAAGACTTGTGGATTGAAAAGTTTATTAAAATCTATTGTTCAGCGGAGTGTCATTATTTTTTCCAATTCAAACAGTTTATTTATGGTTGCAAGACTTTGTTGCTCCAGCAGGTGGAGGCAGTGTTTCATTTTGTGTGGTTATCAGTATAACTTAAGGTGTACTTGGCTGATATTTTTATTGAATTTATGTGTCATTTTACCAGATTGTCTTTCAATTTCGCTACACAAACGTCTATATGAGCCGAGCAAGACGCATCACCATCGAATGTGACCCTAAACACTCCGTCCGTAGGTCTGATTCATTATGCTAGAAGGCGTCAGATTCAGATTGAGGGCCGAAAACCAAGACAACACCTCAGCCATTTTAAAACCGTGTGCTCTGTGAAAGAAAGTGCAGCCCGTCCATCAGGACACGAGATGCAATGCATATTGCTCTGAGATGGTGGAGGATAACATCTCTCTGTTACAGGTTATCAAACATTTTCCGCTCTAGCTGAAGAAGCCAGTTCACATGTTTTTTTTTTGAGTAGGGTCATCCGTCACTCTTTTCACAATCCTTTATTTAAATTGTTCCATTTTTTAAATATATAGTCGTCAATGTAAAAGTGTGGCCACTCATTGCTGACCTGCTGACCACGTTAGAGGTGTATTATATCAAAGTATACAATGTCTCAGGAGGTCCTCTTAAACAGTCACTAAGCCTCTCGAAGACCAATGATAAGATCAATGTTTCCTCTTCTGGCAGAGCGGAAGTTAAATCTGATGGAAGCAGAAATGTGCATTAAGATTTAGGTTCAGCCACTAAGCAATAAAACGTTAATCATTTCATGGGCGTAGCTGCCAGACTGCAGGTCAATGTCATTCTTGCAGTTAGTAGGATAAGAGGAAACAGGAGGGAAGGTGTGCAGCGTGTTCATAAAATGACTGCAGATATAAGACATCAAGATCCACCATAGGCTCTTTCTGAATTCGTGGTGGTCAATCGGTATATAATAATATCTTTTGTCATAGATTTCTTAAAATATCATATAAATGTCTCTTAGGTTTTAGTTTGTGGCACGTTTACAGTAGAAAACGCACTAAAGTCGATACATGAACAGTTGTCATTGAGTGGCTTGCAGCTGCAAAATAAAAACTAAAACTTATGGCAATCCTGTCTCCTAAAAAGTAGATTAATATAATGCAAAATGTATTCACACACCTTTCAAGATCAACGTAATGCAGGTTGAGGTACGGTTTACTTGGAAAGTTGTGTCTGCAAAGTTGCGTTCATTGTCATATCTCGACGATATGCGCTGACAGCAGATGAGATAAATACATTTATTCCATGCTTATGCCAAGGCAACCTCAGCTCTTGGTAATTAAGTACTACACTACCTACTTGTTTTTGTTGATTGAGGACACAGCGCTGGTCTTGATTGGCTTCCATTCTCTAAATAATCCTTATGTAAATGTTATCTTTAATGCATTCGAAATAGAAACCCTCCTATTCAGCTCGGTAACGACGTCTGATGAGAAGCTGCTTCTCCTCAGCTTCATTTGGCGGCCCGTAACATTACAGCTTACAGCTGTCCTTGACGCCAAACCAAAACCGCTCCATGTAATGGGAACGCGGACGTACAACCGACAGCTCCATTTGGACATGCGTTCACCGGCCTTGAGGGATGTAATCTTCCAGGCTGACATCTTGACCTGCGACGCCTCCTGCTTTTATAATCGGTCATCTTTCCCATCAGCTTCTCAGTACTTTTCAGATTGAGGTGCAGTGAATGTTAAAGAGCCAAACCTCCGGCTGCTACTCCATCCTCACGCTGTAGCCCCCTTGTTGGAATTCAACCCATCAGTCAGTATTTCAGCGGGAGTCAGCAGCATTATTACCTCAGTTATGCAAACGGGGCTCGACCAAAGTCCATCCATCTCGGCTCAGGAAGGTGGTGAAGCCTCAGAAACACGAGGTCCAGACGACACTGGCACGTTTAGCGAGATCTGTATCACTGTTTATTTTAATGGACCATACGTACACCTCAGAGTGTGCTCCTTACCCGTCTGCAAGATGCATGTTTTTAGGTTGTCTCACGTCGATCAAGTCTGCCTTGACAAACAATGGCTTGCAGCTGCTTAAAGAAAATGAAAGGAAACATACTGCATTTATTCTTTTACAGCCAAGAGTTAGATGAGAAGATGAATTTGTCCCTGTAGGTGATGTAGTGTGAACATTGACGTTTAAATCACTTTTGCAGTGCTTTGTCAAAAAAGGTATTTTCAGAAGCGGCTGAATTATGGGATTCTCTCCCAAAGCACTAATACAATATGATGTATGCTACTTATTGTGTACTTCGCATTTAAGAGGAAAGTAAATTTAAATAATCGCACTTGAAGTAAAATATTGAAGTAGCCGTATTGAGCAGTTTTTCCACTGACATCATCATTCCCACAGAGAAAAGAACAAGGAATGGAAGCTGGATTTGGGGTCCATAAATCACTATGCAAACATCATCTAGCTAAAACTTTGAACTCTTTTGAACAGAATGCCTTAGATCGACACGGAGTGCTCCTTTGCCAAACCTCCTCCCTATAATAAAGTCAATTTGGTTTATAAGAGGAGACCTTCATTTGTTTTACGACTCAGCAAAATGAGCAGCTTGGGTGGGCACCTTGCTCATCTGGGAGTGAGAGAGGTGGTGGCCGAAGCCAAATGCACACACTTACTGTAAGTGATCTCAATCCAGCCCTCATTTCACGACTCCTGCCAATCTTCCCATCAGAGAAGAACTTTTGGCCCCTATTCAGGAAGTCAATGCTTTAACAGAGACAATCTATACACAAGGTCCTTATATACTGCTTAAAACGGCTTTGCTGCTTTCCAGGGGAAAGAATGCAGAAGAAAGACATTTTCATGGGATTTTAACCGTGTGCATCAAAGTGACTCCTTCAACATTCACCACATCAGGACGCTACAGAAGGTGTCACATAACTACAGTGACACAAACTGCATGAGGTGTATGGAATTTGCTGTGAATAAAACAACTTGTGTTCAACATGCCGGGAGGAGGATCCATTTACGGCATCTTGTCCTTTAATTTAGCAGATTCCCTTCAACCTTAAAAGGCGGTTGATCCCCCACATGTAACTATGCAAATAAAAGTGTCTGTGTTAAACGTGGTGATGCGCGATGAATACATTTGAGTCTTTCCCCATTGTAAGGATACTTGTTTAGTAGATCAGTGATGAATCACTCAAAACAAGCGCTCCTCTGAGCTGAAAGCTGATATACATAAACCATATCAGCGTATTTCACTGTGGGATGTCCCCCTCAAACCTCTGAGCCGACGCTTTTCAGATACGCCGAGGCGCTGGTCCATCTCGCCGTGATCAATCGCCAGACCATCCGGACGGATGGATGCTCAGTCATCCATCATGAAGTCATCCACACGCAGCCTTCACCCCTCAGAGGGGCAGTCGATGAAGTGCTCGTGATGCGCTGATTTGTCTCTGATTCCCTGCCTTCACTATGCCCCCCCCCCTCCATAACTAACCTGCCGTGATGAAGCCCCCCCCCCCTTGAGCATCCGGGCGTGATAGATTCAGGCTAGGTCAGCCACAGGATGTACGGTGGAGGACGCGTCCTGATTGGTCGGGATCATGTGGTGTTGTGATCGATATTCTCGGGGAATCAGTGCGCGAGCTGCGCTGAGGGTCCAGCTCCTCCTCTCCTACCAGTATTCAGCATCAGATCATGTACTTTATTTATAAATATTGAATTCATTATGTAGGAGAGGAGAGATCAGAGGTCTGAATTATAAATAAAATAGGTATAAAGTATATAAAGTTCACTTTCGTTCACTATCTTCAGTGCAGTTGATGGGCTAAAATGTTATTTCCAAAACAGCCCTTTAAACAAATCAGTGGGTTTAAATATTTTCCTAAAGCTCGAGCTTATCAGTACGCCGAATTTATCGACTTCACGACTTAACAGCACAACTTTTAGTCTTTGATCTCTTTGACTGTATAACGCTAAAAATCAATAGCGCGCGTACAAAATCATAAATTACAATCTTCATCCTTAATGGCGGAAAGTAATTTGACAGCTGTGATTTAGTGACAGACCCACTTTTTCCTCACAGTCCTGCGTAATTTCTTTATTTTGACACATTTGTATGCAGAATGAAGACGACAACGCATTTATCTTCTTACTTAGTCTTTATTGTACAAAAAATGAGCATTTTCAACCTAAATCAGACTTATGGTCTCCTAACGACTGCACTGTTATTTCAGTGTTATTGCCCCCCCACAGTGTTATTAGGCAAATCTATTGCTCCGTCCAAGAGTGCTTTCCCTGTTTACATATCCAGGTAAATACGTCTGTTACTCGTGTTCTTCCCTCCGGGCTCTTACTTCAACTGAACTAACAATTTCACAAACGTCCTTAGCTGGGCTCAAACATAAACAATGATGTTGATACGTGCAACATGGATTTTGTGTATTGATTTTAGAAACACGTTATATAATACGCTATTAATGTCACGAGGATGAAGTGAAGACTGAGTCAGCTTGAGTTTCTGCCCTTCAGTAGAATGTCGTCTGCATTTTATGGACTTTAGTTGTGATTGTATCAGGAACTGATACTGAAGTTAATCAAGCACACGTAAATCAATAGTCTGCTGCCCACAGCGAATAAGGTGGGTGCGTACAGATTGATATCTCAGGGAACTGCAGAATCCACCAAACTAACTGAACAAAATAATGTTATGGGTCAGACTGAGACCGGGATCCTTGTTGCCAGCAGCATTTTATATAAAAATTAACCCTCAAATCAAATGCGTGAAGAAAAAACAGTTCCAGGTGAAAGAATATGAGCAGAATTAAAAAGGACGGAAAGGTACTTTCACCTCTGTGAATGACACTTGCAGCGGCATCAATCATCCCGGATGAAATCTATTTCACAAATCAATTATCCACAAGGTCACCTCTTGCTACTCGGGGCAGCCGCTGGGGCACAATAAGAATCAGCAATGCGGCGGCCAATTGCCCTCTTTACATTATCCACAGAGCTCCCATAAGTGCTTTCAGTGTATATGTCAATTTTCGTTTTTTTTGTAACTGATACTGACACTAAAACCTGATTTGAGGGAAGAGACTGAGAGCTCGTAAATTACGTAACCTTTTAATCACAACAGTCAGCAAAGACAAAGACAAACTGGAGCGAGCGAGCGAGTGAGACTTTAGGGGTGATGGAAAGATGTTCCTTCATTTTTACATTTTTACTGTGTGATTTGTAGATTATCATCCCAGCGGCATAATTATCTTTTAATGACAGATGCACTTGTTCTATGGTCACCGATGGTGTTTGCTGCTATATCAATGCTGTGAAATACCGAACAGAGAAACGCTACGTCAAAGTCTGGGTACGTCTTGCACCACTCGTCATAGATAGATGTTTAGACTGCGTTCGAGGTTATGTTTAATCTCTGTCCTTTTTTATTTTTTAAACATTTCTGCAAGAATTGAGAGCAGTGGTCATAACATTCAAGTAATTTGTATTAACTTTGAACGATGGATGTCACCCTCCATCCGCCAAATCACATTTCATTTCTTGTTGCAACTGCCAGACTCCCCACATGCATTCATCTAGAGATGGTGCAGTGAAGACGTGTGCTCAAGATTTCAATAAATCCATTTGGAGAGAGATTAAACCATGCTGCATAAAAGTAGGTAAACTGCAGCAGAAATAGAATTCAATAAATCGGATTCTCATTAATTTTGAATTAAACATTTATTGATGCTCTGAAACGCTGAGTGGACACAATCACATAAAACATGTTTTAAACGGCACAATCGGTCCTCAAATGACCGCAAAAACCTGCAGTCCAGGTTGAAAAAAAAATGCTGCAGTAACAATCACACATCGCCGATGCTTAAATGCATTTTTTCTTTCTTTTTCTGTGTAAAATCAATCTGCTGACTGGCGGAAAGCCGCATTAATCATGAAGCGAGTCTTCAACCTTTATTGGAAGTGCGTGTGGCTGATGGCGGTGTACAAGGTGAGGTCAGGAGAATTTCAGTGTATCCACGTGGTGCTTCACAGAACATATCTTTCCCGTCTATCAATAACCATCCTCCTGATCTCTGGTGCCCCCTCCCCCCTCTCTACCCATCCTCTCTTCCTCTAATTCATTAGCAGGACTCGGAGCCCTCCTGCACTCTTTTACAGCCTCCATTAAATCCTTGCTCTCTCCATTGTAACTCTCTATGATAGCGAGCGCGCCAGCTCATCATCCGAGCAAAGAGCTGCAGCATCTTCTACATTTTTCATCTTATCGTTTCATCGTTACTTAAACCCGGCTCAGCACTCTGAGACACATTAAGAAAATGTAAATTAAATTATGTAATGCTTGTGAGTGTGATCAACACTTTGAGATGTAAAGTACTAGAGGTTTACATTTCCTCGTACCTGCTGTGAAAGAAAAATACAAGTGGACCTGCAGCTGATAAAATACCACATAAAAATAAAATGATTATTTGCATTATTCAAGAATATAGATAAGCATCTTTTTTTAAATATACATATATATATATATATATATAATATAAATACATGTATTGCAGAGTGTCATTATTGCACATAGTAGCAATCAATAATGATTGGATGGAAACTTGTGGGAATCTGAATCTACGCATTCTCCCTATTGCTTGTGTCCTGTGTTGTTTAAAGCTCAGCAACAACCTTGAAGTGTTAAGGCTGTAAACTCACGAAACCTGTCCAAACAAACTGCAATCGAATCACTCTGCAAAAGGAAAATACCGCAGGTCCCAGAGGAGCGGAAACTGCTGAGAGTGCATGTTGAGGACAGGACCCCCCCCAGTGAGACGGATACCAGGGAACACGGGGATTATCCGCTTATCTGCCTTCATAATTGCAGAGTGTATGACTTTAATGGCGGTCAATGAGCATGGCTAATGAGGGTACTTAAAACGCTTCAGCCTTCTCTTGTTGTTAATGGGATACGTCACACTGCAGCGTCCAAGGTGAGGAGAAAGTGAGTTTGGTCCTAGCTGAGGATTTTTCAGCTCAGGGCGCTTTTACCTTCTTAGATACAACTGCCCCGAAAGCTACAACACCAGGTCAGATGCAGCGAGACGTAGAACTCGCCTGAAACAACACGATAAAAAATAAATTAAAAAAGAGGCAGAGGAACACAAAACTGTCAGGGAGTTGAAAAAGAGTGTAGCCAAACAACCCAGAGTGATAAGGTTAAGATGAACGGGTTAATATGCTTTTCATCCAGGGGCCAACGTCAGGGGCTCATGAGCTAAATGTACATTTTCATCTCTGATGGACAGCGTCCCGTGTTTGATTCAAGCAATATACAGTAGTTATTCAAGAGCAAAACTACAAAAGTTCCTACAAAAAGTCTACATCCATAATGTGTTGTCAGATTCTCGAGTGTGAATAAAATATATATATATATATATATATATATATATATATATGGTGCACATGTTTTGAGCACATTGAGTCACAGGACACCATTTTAAGGAGCAAGCGGTTTTATGCTTCTCAGGATCGTTCCACACTTAAGTTGTATGCAGTTTCTTAAAATATCAGAAAAAGAGGTTCCTTTCATACTTTCAGGATGAAAGTATAGAGATTCTGACCCAATGAAAAAACACAAGCCTTAAACAGGTCTATACAGTCAGCATCGATGCAAAGGGTATTTAATAATTTAGCAATGTCTCAACATGCCGGTCTTTTCCAGCAGGAGAACACGACTGCTATTTTAAAATGTCGATCAATTTTTAAATATGTTTTGCAATGTGGCAACTGCTTGCATGTCAACGTGTTCATCTCCATGACAACTGAGCAGGTAGCGGACAACTGCAGTAACACGTGGCTCATTGTAAATAAAAGTAGACCGATGCACATAGGTTAATCATTTTAACTGAATTAAAGCAGATTTATATGCTGCTCAGCCAAAACTCAACCTCTGTCAGAGTGATCATTAACCAAGGGCACGCAAAATCACAGCGCCCATCCAGCCTCGCTGCAACAAACCTGCATGGGAGAGAAAAGCAGGACCCAAATATAAACAAGAGTGGCTTCTTTTCTTCTTTTTTATCTGACCTTGGCGCTGAGACCACAGCTGCTGTAATGTCTGAGTGAAAGTGACTGTCTGTGCTCTGCCCATGTAACGTTATGACTGATCCAAATGCTGCAGATTGGCTTGAGCTAATGGGAATGTTAGTATGAATGAGTCTGTTGTTTTTAGAGTTGGGTCAATATCTCAACAAACGTTTTCAGATATTCGAGATTTTCAGATAACTGCCCATGTAATGTAAAGTCTGACATCTGCTTGTCCTAAATCCATGAAAAGGTTTAAATGCAGTTTGAATTTGCTTTTAGACAAACTAGATTTGTTTATAATGCTTGGAGTGAGTTGGAAATATTTCATAGTGCTAACTTAACCAATGCTAATTTACACAACGTTTCGTGAGGTTTTGTCAATAATGGAAATCTTAAAATCTTTCCTGTTATGATAAATACATATAAACCTCGAAGTTGTATAAATAGCCTATGTATAAATATAACCAAAATGTTTGTGGTGCAATCTGTTTTGATTCATCTTCCAAAACCTAAAGCAAAGTAACGTGTAGAATTTGTCATTTGCTGTTGTAAACACAACATTTTTTATTTATTTAACCTTTATTTAACCAGGTAAAAGTCCCATTGAGATCGAGATCTCATTTTCAAGGGCGACCTGCAGCACACGTCGTTAAAAAACAGCCATAAAATACATATACATGACATGAGTAAAACCACAGTACATTTGAACTTTGCCGCCCCAGAGACACCAGAAGCATTCAGCATTTTCACAGCTTCCTTTTGTATGTGTGCTTACACTCTGGCGCCTCTTCAGTTTTTTAGAAGTTTACGCCCATGAGCCTCCTAAAAAAGCAAATCCAACTACCTTGAACATTCAACACTCGTTCTTTGAATATTACAGCTGGTGCACTGCCTTCAGCTAAATTTCACACAACCAAAAAAAAAAACCCTTTTCCTTCTGCACATTCATCACTGTGACCTTTTCCTCTGTGGAAGGCAGAGGGACAAATGCCTCCATGGACCCTGAGGCTTTATGTACACACGGTCACACCCGATAACAAATGTCAGATTTTGTTCATAAAAAGATTTACACTTGCTCTTCAAAGTTTGAAGCAGCTACACAAACAAGGCTGTCAAGGCTTCCGCGCTCTAACTCTCTTTCCCTGTTATCGATGTCCACGAGACTCTGCAGAGGCACCAGTGCAACACCACAAGATAAGAGACATTACTGTCGGTATTCCACTCATTTCAAATAAATGGCCGGTAATTACAAATACACATCGCAAAAACAATCAAAAAATAGAGCTTGAATAGAGTTCATTGATTTGTTTTTTTCTTTATTAAAGCTAACTGGAGTCTCTCGGGGCAGGAATTCGATCGCTCAGTGACACCTTCTATCCCGGTGATTCAATGCTCCACTGCATCCAATCAGCTCGGGTTACGCCAGCATTATAATGGTCAAGCAACTTCAACGCAATGAAGGTTGTTGTTTCCTTTAAAGAGAGAAAAGAAAAGCCTGAAGGGGGAGTCTGCAACGCAACTCACATGGTCGGGTCTCCAACGCTGACATTTTTGCTGACACACTCACTGTGACCTTTTCAGGTAATTTGCTTTTTTTTTGTTGCTTTGACTCCCCCCGGCTCCTCTTCTCTTCATGCAATGTATATGTTGTTCCAAAAGCAACTTAACCCGAATCCCCTTTTTTTGAGTCAGTAAATGACAACGAAAGTGATACACTATTGATCTCAGTCCGATTTTGTTTATTGCAACAAAGGTTATTAGATTAGCAATCAACAGAGTACAAATAAAATAATTCTGCAACTGCATTGAAAACACTAACATTTCAGGTTGAAATGAATACATCTTTTTTTGCTAATAGGCAAAGTGAATTTGCAGCTATTAATTGTCAAGGTCAACCTTCCTTCCTTTAACCTGAGACATTTACCAGGGAATAAGAAAGGCTGGCTCAGTGATCGGCCTTCCACAGACTCACTTGAGGTCCTTTCATTTTATTTGTTCTAATGTCTCCCATAAAGTACATTTCACCACTACTTTGTGGTTCTTTATATTTATATTTTAGTCATTCTAGTTACCAACATATGACGATAGATAATTCAATCAACCAGAGTTAAAATCTTTAACTTATGCCATTACAAAATTGAAAGGAACGACAATTTCTCCACATGAATTTCTCTTAAGAGTCACCAAGCAAAAAACTGTCCAATAGAAGAGTTAAATAACAATAACCTGGGATACTCTGGAGCATCAATAATATTGCATAATTTTAATATTGCATAATATTGCAAAAGTGTAATTAATTCTGTTCATGCGCGCTTGTCTAACATCAATGGACTTCGAGATCTATAATACCATTTTGAAACATTGAACACGTTGTCATTCTTGTCGTTCCAGGCTTTCGGCCCAAATCCCAGTCTGAACTTTCACAGAGAAGACAAATCAATACAGGACATTACTTTGAGAAAACATTAACATTATGGCCTCCTCCATGCATCATCGCAGTTTTCTCAAGCAGAAAATGGGCTTTCAATCCTCCAAGCGAGGCTCAGATAAATCCCTCTAGGTTTCCTGGTTTTAGCGGCGCTGCACATTTCATAAGCTCCTCCCATGTAGAAATTCTAAGAGAGACAATCACAAGCATGGGGAAAGGCGGGGTCAGCAATGGAGAAGCCCTGAGAGACACACGAGTGACTTTCAGTCATAAAAGAGAGGACAACTGTGAAATGGCAGAATTTCATTTTGCTTTGTCATTGTCGTACAGCTCTAAATCCTGGAGACTAGAGGCATCTGTGGTGTCACCCGTGCTGCTCACACTGTTCCTCAAGGCGATACTTCCGATGAAAGGATACACGCTTCCTGTGAACAGGTCTCTGATGTTGTAGTACGGGAGCTCGGGGTCTGGTCTTTCAGGCTTAACGATACCCTGCTCCTCAATGGCTTTGTTTCTTTGATAGTACTTTGAAAACTTATTGAAGATGATGGTGATGGGCAGAGCCACCACCAACAGGCCACAGACGATACACAAGGTGGCCACTATCTTCCCTGCCAGCGTCACCGGGCAGGTGTCACCATAACCCACTGTGGTCATGGTGATTGTGGCCCACCACCAGCCTGAGGGGATGGTCCCCAAATCTGTGTTCTCCACTTCCTTCTCTGCAAAGTAGATGAGGGCTGAAAAGATGGAAATCCCCACCGAGAGGAAGAGAAGGAGCAGACCCACCTCCTGGTAGCTGTGGCGAACGGTGGCGCCCAGCGCTCGCAGCCCGACGGAGTGGCGAGCCAGTTTGAGGATCCGTAGAATCCTCATGAGGCGGAGAACCTGCACCACCTTCGCCACGTTCTCCAAGTCCTCATTCTCCTCTGCGGCCTCTTCGTCGGCCGTTTCCAGAGCGAGAGTGGCGTAAAACGGCAGAATGGAAGCAACATCGATGATGTTTAAGGGGTTCCCAAGGAACTTCCTGCGGGAGGGCGCAACGATTAGCCTAATGATGAACTCTGCAGAGAAGCCGGCAATGCAGATCTCCTCCAGGATGGCGAGGACAGGGTCCTCGATGGGTTTGTCGTTATCGTCCACCTGCTGATACTCTGGCATGCTGTGGACGCACATGGCAACGATGGAGGTCAGCACCAAGCCGAGAGATGCCACGGCGATGACCTTTGAACCCCTTGAGTGGCCTGGATCCTCCAGCCTGAGCCAAACGTAGCTCCTCACTTCTGAACACCAGGCACCTTTGAACTTGGCCAGGTCTTTGTCGAGAGCGGAAAGCTCTTCAAAGGAGGAGTTGAGGCTCGGCTGCTGCTGGTCGTCGCTCCTCACGTCCCAGTCTCTGTCATCAATGTAATCTTTCCTCTCGTGGTACCAGTAGCTACAGCAGGGGCTTAGGTGGAGCTCCTGGATCCCCCAGTACTCGATCTCCTGGCTGAAGGAGAAGACGCACACCTCCTCCATCATGTGGATACGTCCCGTGTGGTAGAAGTTGAGAACGCTGAGGAAAACGTGGGGATTCCTGTCGAAGTAGAACTCCTTCTCCGACGGGCCGTAGTCGTCACACAGCTCGAGGATCGCCGCCTCGCTTTGGCAGCGCAGCAGACGGGCCAGTCGCGTGTGAGGGAAGCGCAGCAGCATGCTGGGATCCACTTCGCGTCGGACCCCTCCGACGTTGAGGAGCACCTGGTCCTCCTCGTTCCCCCCCCGGTGGAGGATTTGCCCGTACCCCATTGTCCTGACAGTAAAAGAAGAGACATTACGACAAGAAATGTGGCATGCCAGTTTCGAATACAGATTGTAAGTGAATATTTGTTATTTCACTTTATCTTATTTCATTCTGTTTTATTCTATTGCACCAATCACCAGGACAAATTCCATGTGCAACATACGTGGCAATAAATGTCTTCTGATTTCCAATTCTGTAGAGAGAGGTCTATTGAGACATATTTAACTGATGAGCACATTTGTCCTTTGCATGAAAAATAAATAAATTACACACACACACACACACACACACAGAAAATGGCTTGAGCTTGAGCTGGAGTGAAGAGGTGACGTCCCTTCTTCCAATGCTCAAGCACGGCTTATCATAACAATCAAATTACAGAGGAAATGGAGTGCAACAAGTTGAAACTGAACCCACACATCCTTTCAAGCAACCATTAAAGCCAAATAATGTTTCCCTGCATGTAATAATTTCTAATTGTTCTATTAAAACACAATATAAAACCGCTCTGGTTTCCATACCCACTTATACATCAACAATTCTACTCACCAAACCCTAAATTACAAATTAATCACTTACTTCTAATTTGACTAAAATGAAATGCAAAACACAAAGCTGAAACGTACCAGCACCCGGGGCTTTTCTTTCCATGAAAATAACTTTCAGAAAACACGTAGGTCTTCACATTCTTCTAAAGTGGCAGATGGAGGGTCGGGTGGAGGCAGCGCGCTGCTGCTGCTGCTGCTGCTTCACGAATGGGACAAGAAGAGCTGGGGGCGGGACAACGGCACGGAGGCACTTAGTTGCCTTTTACAGGACAGTGGGTGGTGGGAGGGGGGGGCTGCACAGGCGAACACCCTGCTGTAAAGCTACACGGCCGTTTTTTTATGGCTTTAACATACATAAATATATATATATATATATATATATATATATATATATGTCATATCACGGTGTGCCTATAGCTTGTTATTCATAAAGGAAGCTGTAGACTACTCAATCCCTGCTGATCAATCCCTGATTTTGTGTGTATGATCATATAACCCTTCATTCTTATCAAAGAGTGAACATGGAGTAATAATTGTGCTTGGGGTTTCAAAAACGTTTCTGCTTGCGTGCAATTGTTGCAACTTAAGGCAGCAGCGCCCAGCCTGCCAGCAGCTGGAAGGAGGGAAGTAGTAAAGCACACTGACATTTCAATCCTCTGTGAGAAAGCACGGCTGGAAGGCTAACTGCCAAAGCAAGCAGTAACACTGTATTTGGTAGTAAAAGGGCAATACAGCATACCTTTCTAGTGGCAGCACATTTGAAACAAGGGGCTATTGGTTGTCATTGCTCTCACGACTGTTTGGCAATTTGTAACGTGGAAAGTTTTCTGTGCCACAGACTAGCCGTTTTTTTTTTTCTATCCATCATTTTATTACATCAATAAAGATGCACTGTGCACATCCCAGATGTGTTTCCTGCAGCATGTAACTAGTTCCTAAAAGCACCAATCCCTTGAGTGGCTGTTCTGCTCCTGGAAAGGGGATTTGACATCTCTGTGTAACCATTTCCGCGTGAAGTTGTGCATATATTTGTATTCACGGAACATAAATGATTCTTCTAAAACCAACGGTTCATTTTAAACTGCTGCTTGTTGTCCATTATATATTCAAAGCTGCCTACTGGGGCTCCCTAATCAATAAATACAAATCAATGAAATGATTAAAAAAAAGAAAAGGATTTAAAAAAGAAAACATCAAAGACTACCAAACAACCCAAATCACTAACGGAATAAAACCAGGACTGATATTTTCCTAATTATATTTATACTTCAAAGACACTGTAATACAACTTGATAGCACTTACTTGCACTGTTTAATTTGGCAGCTGGAGCTACATACAAATCCATGTACCATTAAGTCAATCTACCTGTTTGCATTGCATGCTGGGACCAAAAACTGCGACCAGGCTGTAATCGGATTCACCTGTGTGTAGTTGTATCTGTAGAACCTGTGAGGTTTAAAACCTTTAGTATAAATCAGGGACCCAACAGTCACCAGCTCTACATCACTTTTACACTGCTTCTGCAATGAGGGGTTTATTTGGATTCGGGTTTGTATTTTTTTTAATTATTAATATCCTTTGCTCTCATTTGAAGTGTGTCTTTGTTATATAAAAAAAATGATTTAATCTCTTTCAGGTGGTTAATTCTCCTGATTGTAGTTGAAAATGTAGAGACTCAAAAGAAGCCCTCTATAAGTAAGTTTTTGTAAACCCAAAAAAGCTTTCCAAATTGAACATATATGTGCGGTTTACTAAATTAAATGTTAAATCCCAGATATTTACTCTAAATGCCTGGGGAACATCATGCGTCTGGATGTCGGTCCAGTTGGAGGAAATCTTCTTGAAGTCTCTGTCTTGAGTAAGATTATTTAATAGACTTTTTTATTTTTATTTGTTTTTACTTTCTCACTTTTCTCTTCTAACTGTCCCCCTCTTTTCTCCCAGATAACTCTACAAATCTCCTGACACAAAGTTTAGCTTCTCAATGTGGCTTCAGTATGAAGATCGATCAGCTGGGAAATGCCATGATTTTTGCCTCTTTGCAAAACTGTTTTGCTGAAAATGTGGTAAAAATGATCAATGCAATCCTTTTTTTTTTTTTTTTTTTTTGGGGTGCAGCACCAAATTTATACTAACTGGGATCATTGTTAAGCTTATTTCTGTTTTTGTAGGACGATGAAGCATTCACAACAACAATAAATCTACGACTGCATGGGAGCCAAATGCTTGAGGATGAGCTGTACCAGGTGGCCAAAACTTGCCCGTACACCGCCTGGGCCTCCAGGGAAATTGTCTGTGAGCGCAACTATATGGAGGCAAGTGAATACGCTTTCTATGATAACTGGCTTTATGACCCATTTGTGTGTCAAGACCAGTACATTTGATACGGGAGGGATGTATTGTCACTTATGCAGTGGCTAAATTTCTAGGTGTCTGTGCAAAATGTCTCTCCTGGACGTCCTGTCCCGGATGACGACGCGCTGGGTGATCCACAAAGAGTTGCTGGAGTAAGACGAAACTATTACCCTTTTTTTTTTTTTTTTTTTAAATGATACTCTGGATGCCTAATCTATAATTCATGTCTTTCTGCTGAACAGAAACGGCCCTCGGACGCAGGGTTCACAATCAAAGCACTTGTGTTCTTTACTCCTGAGGAGAGGATCATGAAGGTGAAGGAGGCCCAGAGACGAGGTTATGGGATCTCAAACACTCCAACGAGACTGGTTCTGCGCGCTCCACTTTCTTCCCCAGAAACCTACATCCAGACTGTAAGTTGAACTACATTTTACTTTTTAAAACGCCATACTTGCAGCCTACTATTGGATTTGAATGTAATACTTTTATACGCCTTTTTTATATTAAAGTATCCACCTCATTTGGTATTTAACTGTATGCATTGACATGATTTAACTATTTACACTGTTGTGTAATCTCTCCACGCAGGTTGCCGGTTTGCCTATGAAGGTGCTCAAAACGTCAACAATATTTGAAAATAAGTGGCTGGCGACGCAGATCGACGCTGCTGCCGCATGCCCAGTAATGGAGGGTAATGTTTGACGCGGGTCCAACGTGATCGCCGATGTCTTTAGTTTCTTTGGGTTGTAGCAATTTAAACCTCCTACGTTTTGGTGTATTTTGTTTTGGATTTTAGTGTTCTTTGACCTAAAATAAAATTTGTGTGTATGCTGCTAAAAAGTAGATGTTGTACAGTTTCACTATTTACAAGCATTCTTTTGGTTCTAGCTCTTAACTTCCTGATATCAGTGGTATCTCATCTACCCCTCTGGTGAAACTATTTCATTTTAAATGTTATATTTAAGAGTAGGGGAAATTACTTTTGGTAACTCAACCATGACGATGACTTGCGTCAATGTTGAATCTCCTTTCTAAGTAAAGTGTGTTTGTCTTGTGTGCAGGTAGTGTTTCTTTCACTCCACACTCAATCAGCTGGTTCCTACCGAGGCGAATTGACCCCTTGATTTCCTCTGGCCAGTTTAAACTGCTGGAGGTGCACATGGGCGTTGACGGCCAGAGGCTCGACGTTGCCAAGATGGCCGCCAGACGTTACTCCATGTCAGTCAATGACTTGTACATCATCACTGAAATCCCTATTGGGGCTGTCGGTGGCCACTTTAAGGTAGGGGTCACTTGTGTAATTTTTGTAGATCTACAAAAGCAGATCTGATGTCTGTCACTCTAATGTTTAAATTGCGTTTTATAATTCTCATGCATCTGCTTCGTAGTCTCAGACCATGACTTTGAAATGGACAGATTCGGTATGCTGCATTTTCTGAACCGATGTGTCTACATTGATTTTTGCACAACTTGTTTATAAAGATGTGCTAAAACTCTAATCAGGTCAATTTACTTTCTTAAAACCCATCGGAATATGTAATCGTCTTCTGCAATATCATGATAGAAACTCCAATTAAATCCTCGTCAGACTTGATTAAAAGTCTGAATAACTTTTTTTAAAGAGTAAAGTGGTAAAATTAATATTTTTGCCTTTAGATTGGCAAGTTGCAGGGCCAACTAGTTCATTCTGAGTGTGTATATGAGAGAGAGCCTTACTGTGGCTGTTTTGATTCTTTTTTTATTTGCAGAGCCGTGTTCAGGATGGTCAGTATTTCACTGCTTATACAATTGAGCCGATGCTCGAGTTGTTCTGGTCCGAAGACTCTAAAAAGGACACAAGATACAAAGTCCTCCTTCCCATTACCACGCCGTTTCTGCCTCAACCTCCACGAGTTATTGACAGTGAGTGATGGTGATATTATCTTCGTACTGGTATGTGTATGTGTTACAATTTTTTCTTTTTTTTTTTTTTCTCTCAGACACCGTTCCTGAGGAGCAGATATTTAAGGTGTTGCTTGGCCCCTTCTGCGCTGATGTGGCACTAATTAACATCACCTTCTCATCTGAGGTTTTATCTGCAGCCGACTGCATTGCCAGAGGCCTTAAAATCCAGGAGCACATGTCTCCCAAGAGCTGCTCAAAGGTCTTTACACTTGAAGTGCCCTTCGCGGACCGCAACGTTCAACAAATGGTTGGCATCACTGAATTTCAGAAATTAAATGTGAAAAATGGTTTATTTTGTAGCTAATCTCTCCCTTTTTCCCCAACAGAAAGAAATGGGGATGTCAGTCTACTCTCTTGAGCTGACATTTGGCTTGCTGGTTATGTGGCAGTCGGCACCATTTTCTCACACCGCTTATCTGGAAGCTAAATTTGTGAACAACGGTTGGTACTGGTGAAGCTGATTGCTTCATTCGGAAGCAGCTTTCTATTAATCTGTGCACCTCTCTGCAGTGCCTCCCTCAGTCTCTGGTGGCTGTGATTATCAAAACTTCTATATCCTCGTGAAATACGGGACTCCCGGCTTCAACTTCAAGACACTAGTGGGAAAACGAATGTTGACCCCTAACCTGGCTCAGCAGTACAACTTCATGGACAATGGCACGCACTTCAGTGTTACTGTACCTTTTCTAGCCCTCGATGTGGAAATTGAGGTAACTCGGTTGTCTTAAACAAATTGACTTTTTAAGACCTTGTCATGTGTTAACTTATGTTTTATTTGCAGGCTGTTGAAAAATCCTCCATCAGGAGCAGACTGGACGTGTCTCTGAGAAGTCCAGACACACTCGACAATATCGACACCTTTGCTGTGGCTTGCGATTTCTTCTCAACACTGACCGGTTTGTTAGAAACTTGTTTACATTTAGTGTCTGACTAAATGCGGCAAAAACGCTAACACTCTGATACTCCACCTTCAGAATGTTTCCCCAACGGGACGATAACCACCCTGGCTGTGAAACTGGAGTCTGTTCCCAGTCTTCAACTCAGTCAGCTCACCCTCAGAGACCCCAGCTGCGGTCCCTCCTACAGCGACGACCGCTATGCTTATTTTGTCTTCACCGGGAACTCCTGTGGGACGACCAGAACGGTAGCGTACTGCTGAATGTTGCAGGTTATTGACCTTGATATTCAAAACATTTTAGTTGACTGTTTCATTTTCTTAGTTCTTGCCTACTATGATGCTGTATGAAAATGAGATCTTTCTGCCGGCTCCTGCAATGGAATCTAACTCAAAGACTGAAGAGTCTGAGGCTGAATATGAGTGAGTGTCAAACTTGTATTGCTTAAATGAAAAGTTCTCAAAGCTTTCTAAAATTCAATGTCACCCTGTGATGCTTATTGAAACAATTTTGAAGATATGACACATTATTTGCAGCTTTAAAGTGCCTGCATTTCTTAAAAGCAGTTTGCATCTGTTTTGCATGTCTGTCCTTCCACAAGTGGCTCAACCACAAATTTGTCCTGCAGTTAAAGTGTAACACTTGTTTACTGATCCTGCTATAAGCCACTGGGGAAATAACATGTGGTGCAAGTGCTCTGAATGGAAGGATAAAAGCACGGGATTTAACAAAAAAAAACAACACAACTTATTTCCTGGATAATGTTAAATTTCCACTGATCTCCTGGTTTTTCTTTCCACAGGTTTAAGGTTGCCTGTTATTTTGATCTCCACACCAACCGTGCTGTTGCCTTCAACAACAGACCTCGCAGGAGTAAACCATTTGCTGAGAACGGAATAGAAGAGCTGCATGTTAAGATGAGACTTGCTCTTGGTGAGAAGTTCTTCATGCAGCGTAACTGTAGGAATTTTGAACCATAAACTCATGGATTAGACTCTGTAACCTGCATAATTAAGGCTTTGGGCTTACTTGGACAGTTGTGCTATGAAGCTGTCACAGCATGTGCAAGCTAGCAGTGTCCTACAAGTCCAGGGGGTAATTGTAACTATTTTGGGGTAATTGTTTGGTGTAATACAGCTAAGCAATTTTCTCTTCACTTAGACGACTCCTACAGCACGTTTTACAGGGCTGATTACATCGCAAAGTACCTGCAACAGCCTCTGTATTTTGAGGTGGAATTGACTACATCCGGAAACTCCGTATCACTGGAGCTCGTGGACTGCTGGGCGACGTTGGAGGACGACCGTACTTCCCTTCCCAAATGGGATCTCATCATTAATGGGTAACGTCTTGATTTGGCCTGTTTGCAGGCACGGCACTTGTTCCTTTTTTTCTCACCAAGCAGACATCTTTATAAAATGTTTACTACATTTGTATCTTCAGCTGTGCAAACCCACGGAACCCCCACAAGGTGATCTTCCATCCGGTTTTTCCTGATACCAGAGTTCAGCATCCATCGAACTTCAAGCGCTTTGAGATCCCAATGTTTGCCTTTACTAAAGACGAAAATAACTTAAGCCGCCAGGTAATTTTAAACTACTTTTTACGACGTCTCTTTTCCTAAAGCTTTTGGGGAAGCAATGTGAATATCTTCTAGGTCTTTGTCCATTGCGACGTGGTGGTCTGCGATGCTACGAACCCAGTGGGACGAGCTTGTAATGTGACGTGCTCCGACCAGGACGCTGAGATGAAAGGTAGGAGGTCTCTAAATCTGACTTCACCGTTGCACACTAAGGTTTTCCATTTGTTGCTCAGACAAGGGATGGAATAAATACAATATCGAAGTGGCTTTAATGTGTATTTCTTCTTCCACAGGGGATAAACCTGCAGTTTCAGATGGCCGAAGTATCAACCGCCTGACATGAGAACCAATGCTTATAAGTTAAAGCTTTTAAATGGACTTTTCACTATTCTTAAATGTCACTATTGATTTATTTAGTCAAACATGCTTTTGTGGTAAAACAATTTGCTGTATTGGTCTTCATATGGTTAAGATGTTCTTTACCTGTACAAGACTATTAGTAACTTCGTACTGTGACAAGTCAACCCAGCTTGTTGACAATCTACATGTTGTACCTAAACATTTAGAACTGCTTGCAAAACACAAACCAGCTGAACATTTTTAAAGACTAAAGCTTTTTTTTTTCTGTTCTTTCATACAGGCGGGCCTATAGTGTAGTCAACCATTCTCCTTAAATGTGAAAGGATAACGCTTGGTCAGTGGCACTTGAACCTGAAGGAAAATGTACTTTACTGCAATGTGTAAATATTCTGTTGAAATAAAGTCTGTATATACTGAAGTGCTCAGGTTTACTTAAACTTTGCCTCCCAAATGTTAATTTCTGATTTAGAATCAATTTGCACTAATCTCTTGCTCCCTTTCAGTCAAACTACTATTAAAATGCCTTAACTACCTAGCCTGCTTATTAGATTGCTAAATCAAACGTCTATCCTGCAGTCTATTATAGGAGGACATGCGTACGTTGTCTTTATATTTTCATGGACTTTTGTACTGATAAATTAAATGTGACTATCTCCATTTACTGTAGCGTTAAGCACTGCATTTTCCTCTTTAAATATTTGCATGGCATCATGCATTTATGAAACTCCTGAAGCAAGCTTCTCTGGAGAGCACATCAATGAAAGCTTAAAATTACAATTTTCTGTTCATGGCCTTCCAAGCATTTTGATTTTGGGTTTACGAAGCTGTACACCCATACATGAAAGCACCTGGCAGTTAAATAGGACCAAGCCGCTGAAGTTAGACTTCCAGAAACTTGATAATTGCTGAGTTTACGGCTTCCATGGATTAAGGTGCCCCCTCCATCTAGCATGACTGATTAATGCAGCGCAAAGTGTCGATTGCACTGAGACACCATTGGAAAGTCTAAGCTTGTAGCACTAGTCGCTCATTTAGTTTGGCATTGGGTGGGAAAGTTGCAAGATTTGAAGCCTGTTCGGCATAAATGGGCCTGCTCTGGTTTTGCCAGATAAAGTATAAAATCTGACCAAAGCACAATCATTTCCTTTATCTGCAGTTATGATTTAAAGGAACACTGTCTTACATTTAGTAAAGGAACACTGTCTTCCATTTAGTACAAAGAGTATTTAGGCACAATTCAGATTAATGATCTGGCAAAAACTGTCACCATTTTAAACTGGTCTGTTAACCAAAGCATTGCCAGAGTGCTAATTTTATATTTCTGCTGAAACTGACATTAAAGGGCTTCAAACCAACCACTGGTATGCATATGTGCAGATTATAAAATTGACATGAACATTATAAATTCATCAAGTCAGTTTGATGTGTTGAGGACAAAAGTATTTGAAATTACATTTAACCCCCCCCAAAAATGGGTTTTACAATTTGATGATCAGATATAATGAAAGTTGCAAAATGTACATTGTGCCAATAAGAAAAAAAAAAAAAATAGATTAAGCGCCAATACTGAAAAGTTAAATTAGAAAAAGGGAAAATATTCTGGAGTTAAGTAATCGACCATGACATTTATTTTGAAGGGAAGTTAGTTTATTTCAAGAGGAAAATGCTGTTATACAATTCTAAACTGAATTTTACAACCTTTCCTCCCCCTGCCTAGAGGAAGACTAGATCACAACATTGATATTCTGAGAATTTTGTAGCTAGAACCACATCTGTATACAAAAAAAAAAAAAAGAAATTAACCACCTAATCCAATATGCAACACTTCATTCAAATAGCCTATGAATCCAATGTATGAAATACAGGGCAAGAAGGTAATTAGACGATTGACATTAAAGACAACTTCTTTATTTAGAAGTTTAACCAGATGTTAACTCAACCGGCCCCGATGAAATCTGCCTTTGCCGGGTAGAGTTTGTTCCTCTTCGTGCTAGAAACACAAAACAAGTTTAGATTACAAAATGCAAAGTCCTACACCATTTTTTTTTTCTTTTCTTCAATTTCCCTTACTGCGTTTTGCTCCTTTCTGCTCATACGGTCGGGCGTTACTCTGGCGTGTAGGCTGCACACATTGGCCTCTGCATAAACCATCTGCTCGGCTGGTTGTGTCACAAATCACTGCATCACAGTGGACATAGATCTGTGGACACAGAAGGGTTTATTAGGCAGGAAGACGTGCAGCGTTACCATGTGGGCAATAGAAGATCATCATTTAACCTCGTCTTTCAGAACTGCCTGGTCTTTGGTGAAGGTGAACATATTCATGGAGAAGCGTTTGATGTGGGATGGGAATAAAACCCTGGAGTCACTCACAACAGGATGGAAAACTGTCAAATAGATGTCATCAGGATTCTCACAACTGGGGAAAGAGATGACACTTCAGAATGCTTTTGTAAAGCATTAAAGTGGAAGATTTTGTGCAAATTGACCACAGTAAAACACATTTTGAGTCTACAATACCAAAGGTGATACTTAGTTTTTAATGCCGCTCATTACCCGTCCACAATGATATCCCAGCTAGGCACAGACGTCCGGTCTTCATCAAGCGTCGCCCAACACTTCTCCACGATGAGCTCCAAATTTGGGTCTGTAGATTCAATCAGCTCCACCTCAAAATACAGAGGCTGCCTCAGATATTTCACAACTGGATAATCTTCTGCTTGGTAGAAGAGCTGATATGATGAATCTGGAGGAGACGTCTCATTAGGAAGAGAAAGAATATTTGGTGCATTCCTCCGCTTGATAAGGCTTTGAGTAAATGCAACCTCACCTTGTGCTAGCCTGATTTGCACCATCAGCTGCCCTGAGCTGATATCGGCTTTGGGTTCATAGAGTCGTTGTTTAGATCCGACGGCAAAAGTCTGCGTCTCATTGACCACGTAGTAGCAGGAAATGGTTTGTCTACAAAAAGAAACACTCATGGGGGTTCATCTCCTACTGGACGGTATTTCAGGATAACGGATAGAATGAGTCCTTTACCTGTATGGTGGATCAATTGGTGACGTGTTGGCTACTCCTCTGTTGTAATACAAGCCTTTTTTGTCATTGTAATACAAGCCAATCTCATTTTCATAAAGGATGTAGTGGTCGAAGAACTACAATAAGATATTGGAGGGGTTACAATTTAAAATGAGTCTTTTTGGATTTAGGGCAATTTAACACTTACTGTTCTAGTGGTTCCACAGGAATCAACACTGAAAGAGAACAGTGCAAAGCGATCATCACTGAATACTGGTTTGCAGGACTGGTCCTTTAGAGTCAGCCTACTTGGAACGAGCTGAGCCACAGATTGCACCTTCACAGCCGTAGCGGTCATTGTTCCATTTGGATAGCATGCTGAGGGTACAAGTGGCTATTAAGAAAATGTCCAACAAACCAATCAGCAGAAATCTTCAAATTTGCACGTCTTACTGGTTGTTGTAAAGGGGAAGGTGCAGGACAGGTAAAGATCAGCAAGCACCCAGTTGTTAATGTGATCCAAAAGCAGCAAGTCGACTCTGGCTCTGAGTGAATCCGTCTTCATAAGCTGAAAGACAAACAGACGTTATTCAATGCAGAAGACTTTATCAGGCGTTCTTGTTTGACATACCTCGAACGCTGTGTCCGCTGCATCGTATGGCAGTACGAGACTGAAGTGTGTGCCGTTTTCTTGGAATTTGTATTCCTCAGCCATCTCAGGGTTCAAATGACGATATCCAACCATTGCCTGGAAATTGTTCCCTTGACTTCCGTATTTCACAGTGATGTAAAAGTGCTTCTGATCACATGTGCCAGTGGTAGTTGGTAGCACTAAAAGGCAGAAAGTTTAACAATTAACAGAGCACAACTTTCTCCCAACATCTTTCTGCAAACAGCGGCATTGCATGTAGTTTTCAAATTAGTGCCCCCCCCCCCCCGAGCAAGCCAGATTTGGAGTTTTGAAAAGCATTACAGACAGTCTCACCAACATCCTTTAGGGACGCCTGCAACTCAACTTTGTGGGCAAATGGAGTTTCTTCAGGAAGGATGACGAACCCAAACGCAAGAGGGAGGAAGTAGGTTGTAACCAAGAGTTCAGGGTTCTGCAAATACACATGCAGTCATGTCACTGAAACACCAAAATTAGTATGGGAAAACAATAATATTGATCTATAAATTTGACGTACTTTTTTCAGGACTACATCTGAATCAAAGGGCACAGAGAGAGAGTAGCCCTTCGTTCCATTTTTATAACGGTGCTCCTGGATGGTGAAGCCTCTGGCGTTGCCCTCCTCAACAGTGAGCACTCCAGTGGAGAAGGTGATGTTCTTCAGTACCACATCATGAAGAAAGGTGCCCAAGACGACGGTAAACACCCGGGCCTCTGGGACAGTATCTGACGAACAGAAGGAGATGTATAAGATTCTACGCAAACCTCAAAGTCTTTAAACTGCCAGAAAAGGACTTACTTTCTTGGAAGTGTGGCAGTTGAGGCATGAGAGGGGTTGTAATGGGGAACAAAACCTTGTATCTGGTATCATCTTGGGTGCCAGTGGTCCTCCACAGTACCTCAAGCATGGGCTCCACACTGTAGGTAATGTGGTACTGGTAATCTGGGGCATGGCTCTGCAATTATTCATAACATTTAATTAAACATGCTAGGCAGACCAGTGACGACCACATTTCTGTTCTTAAGGACTTCCCAACCTTGAAGTGACCATCAGGCGAGCCCACTGGGATCTCAATGACGATATGCTGGTGAGTGGTGGACAGAGTGTACCCCCGAGTGACCATCTGAGATCGATCAAGCCTTTTTCCATTGATGCCCATGTGCAATTCTAGGACTTCAAAGCTGCCATCTACCAGCGGTGTCATACGGCGAGGTACGTGCCACGAGATTACATCGTTGATGAAGAGGACTCCCCCTGTCAAACGAAGCAAGCGTTGACTCAATGACCATATAATGTTTACCACATCCATCCAGATATCACAAGGCGTACCTGTGGGACAAGCAGCTGCCATGTTCACCACATTCAGCCCATGTGGAGTCTGATAGTAGGCGCTCACCCTGATCACCTCCATGGGGACTCCACCCACCTAAAAGATTGAGTTTAATGTCATAGTGGAAAAGGATCTTGTAAAATGAAAAATACAGGAGTTGAGTTTCTCACTTCCTCTGAAGTAGCCTCTGCTGTATTGTAGGGGGATCGCACAACCAGGCGTGTCGAGGTCAACATGAGGCCGTAGCCGGCTTGTTCAGCCTCCCTCGGCACCATTGCTACTGGTTCTGGAGTGTAAAATGTTAACTTCCAGATACCATGCGCTGCCCCAGATGCCTATAGGGAGGAGAACTTTTTAATTACCAGATTCATGTAATCAATTGCAGTAACCTTGTTAATCTTACACATACATCAGGAAGGTTGTTGCCCTCTTTAACATCTTGAGCCGGTCCCTTTGCGCCAGCATCAGCTATAAAGCCTGACACCTAAAGATAAGAAATGTTTAATAGTTTCTTAGACACCATTTGGTTGATCCAGTAAAGTGACCTACTTCCATGTAGTTCCTGTCGCAGAGAATTGCTTTCGAGGCCCACTGAGTATAGCTGCAAGTCTGCGCCACATCATGGGAAACCACACCGGATTGACTGCTGTATATTCGTAGCCTCAAGCCAACATTGAAAATACGGTCACCCTAAAAAGTGCAAGAAACAAGAATTTGGCTATTAATGAGTAAATAGTGTTGAAGCAGTAATCGTTTTAAGTTGATGAGAAATGGCAAACGGTTGCTAATTTTGTTCATGTCTTATATTATACCAAGAAAAAAGAAAAAAAGAAAAAAAAGTCCAGTAAAATACACACTAAGTTTGCAGGAAGCACAATACCCAAGTTCATGTGTACACAAACACTTAAATAACAGGCAAATAAATGTAAACTACAAAAAGTTAGTAAAAACGCACTTTGTTGTCCACATAGCAGCCCAGCAGAGAGGAGTAGATTCTGGTGTTCCCCCAGGGGTCAGACTCCATGCTGTATCCACACTGAGCAGCTGACCTGGGTGTTAACACAATGTGCTGGGTGCCGTCTGAGGGAAATCAAAGACAACCATCACGGTACTGCACTAGTGAGGAGCCAATAATGCTCAGTCACAGACGTTCTACTCACTGACGGCCTGGACCTCGAGCTCGTTCCCCACTGCTAGGGCCTTGTCCAATGAAAGCCTCATTAGATTACCCACACAGTCAGACCGTAAACCACTGCCTGTAAAAGAAAAGTCTGATGAGGAAGAGCGAAACAATGAACGCGGGAGAAAGGATTTGTTTTAATACAGGCTTACTTGACTGGGTATTGAGCTTCATATTTGGCCTTGTATCAACAGAGAGGATTACTGCAGCCATCAAGCTCCATAACAAACTTGAATAAAAAAAACACAAGGTTTAGAGACATTACAAGCGTAGCTGGCACTCTTATTAAACAAAGAAAATAAATGAACTTACATGTTCCCAAACCTGGCCATGTTGTAGTCTGACTGCAGCCAAACAAACAAAAAAAACCCTGTAGGGATCCAATCACTATTCGCGCTTGGCACTGAACAACCAGCACACCCAACAACAGAGCAACTCTGAGGAGAAGTGACTGATTGCCCTACTGCTCCGTCACCTGCGGTTTTATCCCGACATTGTACACGCCCACTTTCAAACATAAATGGTCAATGCAAAGCACCATGTGAATGTTGATGCATAGAAATGAGCTTCTAGTCATTGGGTCTTTACGGTGGATCACAGTGACTATAGAGAAGAAGAACATTATTTCCATCCCAATTCGTCCATTTACAGTTTTAACATCATAAGTCGTCTCGCAGTCTTTATATGTTTCACAGGAATTTGACAATTACTTCCAAAATGATCCCAACAATTAGTGGTTTCAACCGCCCTGGATATTATATAAGAAAATAATTTATTGATGTTTTCTTTTAGCATTAAGATATTTCTCTGATTTGTAAAATTGTTGCAGTTGGGGATGGATTGCCAGGTGAGCTGACTGGAGAAAGTATGTGAAAGGGACGCCTCTGTTCCAGTGAGCTCTGATACTTCTCATCGGATAGCTGTTTTCAGTGTGTCTGTTTGAAGTATGCTGTTTTTAATACCAACCATGAATGAATAAATAAAGTTGCATTAGCTCGAACAATATTAGTTACCAATTAATATTGCTCACCAGTACATGCCCAAATAACTCTTTTGACTCTCTATGATAAAGAAAATATGCAAGTGCAAATTAATGTGCGGTATGAGGTGAGATAAAAAGTGAGAGGCACCACTATACCTGCAATGATGCCATTTACATTCATTTTCTACCGTCTGGCATCAACTTAACATCTCTCCATCCGTGTCTCCAAAATGTTTGAGTACACATTATCCAGTCTTCTTTGTTTTTATCGATCACATTTTTTGCGTGGGTAGTGGCTTACGCCTCTTTCAGAACCCCCGTTTTGTATTTATGTAAAATGACGCCGCTGATCAGTTTCCTTCTAACTTCTGGCGCTTTGAAACACAAATGTTTGCCTTCACCAAGAACATCGAAAACTTGAGTTGGCAGTTAATTTCAATGTAAAAAATGAATGCTCTTCTTCCTTTTTTTAAAGGCTTTTTTTGGGGGAAAAAATGTATAGACTGTAAATATAAATGACAATAAAATTAGTTTGTATTTTGTAAGTCTTCATTTACTGCGATGTGGTTGTCTGCCATGCCAGAAATCCAGGGTCTGTAGCTTGTAATATTCAGTCACAGGATGAAAGGTAAGAGTGTTTTTTTGTTATTAGGTATAACATACATTGCTAAAACATGAACATTTGCAGACGAGGCCATCCGAACTCACCAAACCCAAATAATGGATGTTATTACTACAAAGGTATCTTATGTTGACTGCTGCAGTTCCAACTAGACCTTAAACCTATTACACAGAGACAATACCAAGGCTGGGAACAGACCAAGAGGAGGACAGCTGTGAATGGGGGGTAAGGTGTATGTTAAATCTTTATACTTGTTGTTCGACCTTCGAACCAGCTGTGGGGAGCTCAATCATTCAACGAAATTATTCAAAAAGTCTGTTCAATACCGGGGGGATTGCCTCCTATTGGGGTGGGGCGCAGTGGAACTACAGAGGGGGGCGCAACTTAATCACCAACCAACACAAACAGGCCCACGGACACACACACACTGGTAAAAAAACAGAACAACAAATACAATTGCAAACAGGGTGTGAAGACAGTGCACTAAATCAAATGGTTGTACCTAAGAAATCAAGCGGAACCAACATGACACACACTGTTCACCAACCATATCCCCTAAAGAGAGAGAGAGAGACATAAGGTAGAGGTCGTACATATTAAGAGAGAGGGGTCAAACTACGTGGACGCTCGTGGTCAGATGATGAAGATATCATCAGCTATAAGATGATGTCAAACTACCGACATTGAGATGCAAAACACATACAATTTATTCATTGATATATGGTTTGAATTACAAAGTGACATATACAGCAGACTGCAAACAGAAAAAATGAAAAAAGCTATCTGATGAAGGCAGAGCTCACTGTGTTCACCTGTCAAACTTATTTTAGTTTTTTGAAATGATATCCAGGGTGGTTGAAACCACTAATTGTTGGGATCCTTTTGGAAGTAATTGTCGGATTCCTGTAAAACATAAATACCTCGAGGCGACTTAGGATGTTAAAACTGTAACTGGAAGAAATGGGATGGAAATAATGTTCTTCTTCTCTATAGTCACTGTGATCCGCCGTAAAGACCCAATGACTAGGAGCTCATTTCTATGCATCAACATTCACAAGGTGCTTTGCATTGATCATTTATGTTTGAAAGTGGGCGTGTACAATGTCGGGATAAAACCGCAGGTGACGGAGCAGTAGGGCAATCAGTCACTTCAGTATAGAGTTGCGCTGCTGTTGGGTGTTCAGTGCTAAGCGCTGACAGTGATTGGATTCCTTCAGGGTTTTACTTTGTTAGTTGGCTGTGCTCCAATTACAACATGTGGAGGTTTGGAGACACGTGTAAATTAATTTTATTTCAATGAGCCCTCGGTTTGCTCATAATGTTTCTAAACCTTGTTTTCTTTGTTCAAGTTTGTTATGGAGCTTGATGGCTGCACTAATTCTCTCGGGTCAAGCAAGGCCAAATATGAAGCTCAATTCCCAGTCAAGTAAGCCTGTATTTAAACGAATACTCTTGCTGCAATTATTGTTTGCTCTTCCTCACCAGCACTTTTTTCTTTTACAGACAGTGGTTTACGGTCGGACTGTGTGGGTAATCTAATGAGGCTTTCATTGGACAAGGCCCTAGCAGTGGGGAACGAGCTCGAGGTCGAGGCCGTCAGTGAGTAGAACGTCTGTTAATGAGCAGGATTGGCTCCTCACTAGTGCAGTACGGTGATGGTTGTCTTTGATTTCCCTCAGACGGCACCCAGCACATTGTGTTAACACCCAGTTTAGCTGCTCAGTGTGGATACAGCATGGAGTCTGACCCCTGGGGTAACACCAGAATCTACTCCTCTCTGCTGGGCTGCTATGTGGACAACAAAGTGCGTTTTGAACTAACTTTTTGTAGTTGACATTTTTATTTTGCCAGTCAACAGAAAATATGGTGAATTCCTTTTATGTACACGCACTTCTGCAGGTCTGAGAATATGGTGTGTGAACATTTAGATGTGTATGTTTCTATTTTGTATATGCTTTCCTGAAATACCAGAATCCAACTTCCTGTATTTTATGGAACAAATTTGACTTAAATGACATGTTTTAAAAATAACTTAATCTTCTATTAATGGCCAAATCTTGTTTCTTGCACTTTAGAATGACCGTATTTTCAATGTTGGCTTGAGGCTACGATTGTACAGCAACAGTCAATTTGATGTGGTTACACATGATGTGGCGCAGACTTGCACCTATAGTCAGTGGGCCTCAAGAGAGATTCTCTGCGACAGGAACTACATGGAAGTAGGTCACTTTACTTTACTGCATGTACCAAATAGTGTATCAAACAACTAAACCACATTTCTTACTATTAGGTGTCAGGCTTTATAGCTGATGCTGGAGCAAAGGGACCGGCTCAAGATGTTAAAGAGGGCAACAACCTTCCTGATGTATGTGTAAGATTAACAAGGTTACTTAGGCCTGTTTTTTCAACTTGCAGTTTGTTATATGATAACAGGTAATTAAAAAGGGTTCTTCCCTAATAGGAATCTGGGGCAGCATATGGTATCTGGAAGTTGACATTTTACACTCCAGAACCAGTAGCAATGGTGCCGAGGGAGGCTGAACAAGCCGGCTATGGCCTCATGTTGACCTCGACACGTCTGGTTGTGCGATCCCCCTACAATACAGCAGAGACTACTTCAGAGGAAGTGAGAAACCACTCCAGTATTTTGCATTTTAAAAGACCCTTTTCCACCATGACATTAAACCCAATCTCTTTTAGGTGGGTGGAGTCTCCATGGAGGTGATCAGGGTAACTGCCTACTATCAGACTCCACATGGGCTGAATGTGGTGAACATGGCAGCTGCTTGTCCCACAGGTACGCCTTGTGATATCTGGATGGATGTGGTAAACATTACATGGTCATTGAGTCAACGCTTGCTTCGCTTGACAGGGGGAGTCCTCTTCATCAATGATGTAATCTCGTGGCACGTACCTCGTCTCATGACACCGCTGGTAGATGACAGCTTTGAAGTCCTAGAATTGCACATGGGCATCAATGGAAAAAGGCTTGATCGATCTCAGATGGTCACTCGGGGGTACACTCTGTCCACCACTCACCAGCATATCGTCATTGAGATCCCAGTGGGCTCGCCTGATGGTCACTTCAAGGTTGGGAAGTCCTTAAGAACAGAAATGTGGTCGTCACTGGTTTGCCTAGCATGTTTAATTAAATGTTATGAATAATTGCAGAGCCATGCCCCAGATTACCAGTACCACATCACCTACAGTGTGGAGCCCATGCTTGAGGTACTGTGGAGGACCACTGGCACCCAAGATGATACCAGATACAAGGTTTTGTTCCCCATTACAACCCCTCTCATGCCTCAACTGCCCCACTTCCAAGAAAGTAAGTCCTTTTCTGGCAGTTTAAAGACTTTGAGGTTTGCGTAGAATCTTATACATGTCCTTCTGTTCGTCAGATACTGTCCCAGAGGCCCGGGTGTTTACCGTCGTCTTGGGCACCTTTCTTCATGATGTGGTACTGAAGAACATCACCTTCTCCACTGGAGTGCTCACTGTTGAGGAGGGCAACGCCAGAGGCCTCACCATCCAGGAGCACAGATATAAAAATGGAACGAAGGGCTACTCTCTCTCGGTGCCCTTTGATTCAGATGTAGTCCTGAAAAAAGTGTGTCAAATTTATAGATCAATATTATTGTTTTCCCATACTAATTTTGGTGTTTCAGTGACATGACTGCATGTGTATTTGCAGAACCCTGAACTCTTGGTTACAACCTACTTCCTCCCTCTTGCGTTTGGGTTTGTCATCCTTCCTGAAGAAACTCCATTTGCCCACAAAGTTGAGTTGCAGGCGTCTCTGCAGGATGTTGGTGAGAATATTTATAATGCTTGACAATGAA